GATCTAACTTCGGATACCAGAACACAGTGCAGGTGATCACAGCTGTACCTATCGTCGGCAGATGGTGTGGAAATATTGGCCCACATTATCAGTGAAAGTAGAGCTTGTGCAGATGTATTTGGGAGAGGCCCTGCTCCCACTGACTCCCACTCAAAACTCAACCAACTGTTTTACTACAAACTCACTGTTACAAAGGAAATTATGATGTTACACTTTACTTATTAGTGAGAATTAGCTGTGTGCTTGTTTCAAACATATTTTCAAGAGCAGTAATTGTATTTTAGTAGCTCTGTGTGCTTAAATGGCTCCTCTGGTGTAAATTAGGAATATGAATCGATTAAAAGCAGTTAGTATAAATTAGCATGTGTGGTTAAATTAAATTGTTTTAGATTTATTTCCCATCTTTTAGTTAGTTAAAATAGTTGGCCTCTAGTGTCTTGAATCAAACACTTCTTATAATGTTATATAATTTATTTTCCCGATGATAAAATATGATAGATGGTCTTGAGTAATGACTGAATCTTGCATGATGTGTATATTGTGTTGTGTGGACATCTCGTATGGCTCACTTTTGGATTGGTGAATCAGTGGGCAGAAGGTACATAGAGAGAACCATGACCTGATGAAGATCCACTGATCAAAACGTTGTCATTTATGAAAGGGACAGTCTGGAATTTTGGACATAGGAGCTCATTTCCTAGTGAGCCAGAGTATTGGAGATGTGTGGAGAAACTTTTTAAAATATCCCATCCAGTCCTTGTATTTGCAGAGGTCACTGGCGCTAGGCTAGTGCATGTCAATGGCCATAGTTAGCCTGCCACTAAAAACAGTCTTATCCACTCCACAAAACACCCGAAGCAAATCTATTATTACACCAGACTGTCGATGTAAATGTCTGTGTTGATAGAATAATGTTTGAAATAAATCAAACCTTGCATCTCATGAATCGTCGCATGTTGAGGGACTATTTTCTCATATATCAGTCCGCCGCTGCCAAGCTTTCTATCAGGAAGTACAACTCACTGCTGCTGCTCAGACTTAAATCCTTCAAAAGCAAGGTTGGATTTACTTCTAAAATTATTCTATCAACACAAACATTTACATCGACAGTCTGGTGTAATAATAGATTTGCTTCGGGTGTTTTGTGGAGTAGGTAAGACTGTTTTTAGAGGCAGGATAAGTATGGCCATTGACATGCACTAGTCTATCACCAGTGACCTCTGCAAATACAAGGACTGGATGGAATATTTAAAAAAAAAAGTGTCTCTACATGTCTCCATCACTCTGGCTCACTAGGAAATTAAGATCTATGTCAAAAATTCGGGACGGTCCCTTTAAATGTAGTTTGTACCTATATTTTTTATGACCACCTTTTAGTTCCCACTTCAAATATCTTCTTTCACCGGCTAAATTTTAACAATGACCAGTGTTGGGAGTAATGCGTTATAAAAGTAACGAATTACAGTAATGCATTGCTTTTTGCTGTAACGCAGTAATGTAAGGCATTACAGGGGAAAAAATTGTAATATTTTACTCGGTACAAATGTGAGTAACGCGCGTTACAATGCTTTTTTAACCTGGATCGAAGTGGTGTGTTTTTCTTCATACAAATTCGCTAAAATCACCGCGATATCAGCAGCGGTGAAACGCCGGAGACGTGGCCGAAGTAGACCTTCAGGTAACCGCGGGGAAAGGACCGACACAGAACTCTACGCTGTTTAGACCTGGCTTAGACCTGGGTCAGTTCTGGTTTAGACCTGGTTTACAGTCGTCCGAAGTGCTGTATGTTTGCAAGTTTTCTGTCCGACAAAACCCACAACGTCGACAAAACGTTCTGCACTTGACAAAGGCTCCTGTGCTCGCACCCAAAAGGCAGAGGAAGATGCTCACTATCGCACAAAAAGTTGGACTTCTGGACACGCTGAAGGAAGGTAGAAGTTACGTGCTGTAGCAGAGTCTTACACCGGGTCGGGTACCCGCAAATAGTTGCTGAAATCAGGGCCGCGAGCCCGCGGAACACGGTGTCCATAAAGCGCGATCGGGCGACAGCCGCTCTTACCTCCGTGAGGTGCGGAGCAGAGCCGCTCCTTTCTCCTGCGGTCACCTTCGAGCCCATCCCGACAGTGAGTCCTGTTTTAGTCCTAGTTCAGTTCTGGTTTAGTCCTGGTTTTGTTCTGGTTTAGTTCTGGTTTAGTCCTGTTTTAGTCCTAGTTCAGTCCTGGTTTAGTTCTCCTCTTCAGTCCTGGAATCAGTCCGAGGTTAGTCCTGTTATAGTCCTGGTTCAGTCCTGGTTCAGCTCTGGTTTAGTCCTGGTTTAGACCTGGTTTAGACCTGGTTTAGTCCTGGTTCAGTCCATATACGGCGCAAAAGTTCAGCATCTTCGCATTTATTTTGGTGAGAGTAACTTAAAGTAATGCAATAGTAATGTAATGCCTTACATTTTAAATGCAGTAATATTGTAATGTAACGAATTACTTTGAAATGACAGTAATAAGTAATAAATAACGCATTACGTTTTTAAAGTAACTTGCCCAACAGTGACAATGACACAACAATTTGTCTACTTTTCTGTGGTAATGCCATGTCAACATTGTCTGAACACTGTATTGTGAGTCCACTAATTTGACTTGAATGAATTGTGTTTAAAATTAGGGATACACCACTCCTGCTTTTTCAGGTCAATATCAATTTCTTTACTGTAGCTTTCAGTGCAGATAAGGACCAGTCCAGAGAAAACAGCATCTTATTTCCTTTATACAAAAACAAAGACAAAAGTAGAGCAAATGTGTTATGCAGCTGTTATTTATCCCGAATGGAATCACAGAACAAATTTGTATAAATAAATATTCAAACATTAAGAAACTTTCTGGGGCAACTGCAAAAGTAAAGTAGTCTTATTACATCAATTTATATGTCTAGGATATCGAGTTAACCGATATTTGGAAGCCGATATTTAATCTAATAAACTTTTTCAGTATTGTGCCGATATCAGATACCAAAACCATCCCTTAAAATTCACATAACTTGTCATTAAAGTGGGAAAAAGTTGCATTTCCGTTTGACTTTTCACTCACACGACGCATTGCAAGACTTTTCTATGTCAATATTTTGTTTTCAGTCCACCCCTCACTTTTGTTTAGGCTGCGTTTGCACTTTATTCAGTTTCACAGGTCGTGCCATCACTTCTTATTATAACTGCGGACAGCAAAAAGGACAATTTACATAACTTGCCTATTGAAATGCAGACATGACCTGTTTAGAATATGATCTATTTCCTCTCACAAAGCGTTGACCCAGTATTTAAAGATGTGAATTTTAGGTTTGACACTTTTAAGTCAGTGCCCGGAACAAGTATGCATAAGTTAACTTGTCCTCTTCTCCAACTGTAACACACTTGACTGTTATGGAAAAGAACCTTATAGTGGGAAATAAATGCGCACATCAATACTAGGGATGTAACAATATCCAAATCTCTGGATACAATATTTTCACGATATGACTCTTGCGGTACGATATTTGTTGCCATATTTTGGAAAGACTGATATAATTGTAGATGGGTCACTTTTTTGCTTTTAAAATACCTTGACAAGATTCTGGTGCATCATAATCTGAAGAATTCAAGTAAAAAACAAATTTCTTCATGTTGTCTGTGCTGAAATGAATCATGGGATATGTAGTTTCCTATGTTTACTGGCTACTGCTACTATAAAACCAAGCATTTCACTTGTAATTCGATATATTGTGACAGCCCGCGATATTATTTTTAGACTTTTGGTGGTATGATATCAAGGTATTTTGGTTATTGTTACGTCCCTAATCAATACATATCTTGAAAGGAGGGCTGATCGATTTGGGAACAATATCTTAATTGCGATTTTTCTGCCAAGCCGTATGATTGTGATTAGATTTTCAATTTATCTAGTAATAACAACACCTCTAATTGAATATATGTAACATAGTGAATTTTAATGCCATACTGTGAAACATTCCAGGGCAAACAGTAAGGTTACGTTTATATGATGATGGTCTGAACAGAAGACGCAAAAGTGGCATCGCTTCTTCACTTTTTATTCCGCGTTTAGACGAGCGTTTTCAGGAGGAAATCGGCATGCATACGGTGACGCAAAAGTCTGTGGAATTGGATGCATGCCAGGCAGCTTGGTGGTGATGTATGTGACGTAAACGCATACGCGACGTGAGCAGATCTGACCAGAGTTTTGCGTCTTAGGCAGTGTAGACGGAAACACTACGGCGGTGCGTATTCAACTTTTTCACTCTGGAGGGTGGTTTCAGATTTTAGCATTTTTAAGCCCCAAAAACGCCATCACCGTCTAAATGAAAGGCACTTTCACTTGTCATTTTTACCTGCAAGCATTTTCGTGTAAACAGGCCCTAAGATCTCCATGGTAGCGAACCCCCCACCAGAGGAGTTTCATCGTTCACCTTTAATAATCTGAAGTTTGGCGTTTCGAATCCCGCTCTCGACTTTTAAATCGTTGGTTGAACGGTCAGATCCACTGGCCCACAGGTTGACGGTGCAGTTCCAGCTTTCACAGATGACTGTTGTCGTTGTGTCCTTGGGCAAGACACTTAACCCACCTCGACCACAGTGCCTGCATACATTGGTGCGTGTGTGAATGGGTGAGTGTGTTACCTTGTTGTAAATCGATTTGAGTACCTTGAAAGTGGAAAAGTGCTGTATAAAAATGTGACCAAAGTTCGCATTTTCAGCATCTCCAGAATTGACAAAAATACTGAAATATGAACTGATACAAGAATCACATTTTAGAGCTTGTTTGTGCAGGTTTAGCTTTTTGTGCAGAATAAGAATATTTTGTTGTTTGTGTATGAAATTATAGTACCTCAAAAACTGCAGCCTTTGCGATTTGCTAACTGCATCGAATCTCAATTAGGTTGTGATTAAACTTCTGGAAACTCCTCTCCAAAGGTCACTGCCGTTGTTGTTCTAATACATGTTTTGATTTTTGTATTATTCACAGACACATTTGGGAGAAGGAGGGCACGCCGATAAATGTCCAGTCGATTCCCAGAATGAAGTTGGACACGGACGGGACCCTGCATATTTCCCAAACCTGGTCCGGAGACATCGGGACGTACACCTGTAGAGTCACGTCTGTGGGAGGGAATGACTCACGCAGCGCCCACCTCAGAGTCAGGTACTGTGTTTAATGAATCATAATCATAATCATACATCTTAAAGACTTATATAGCACGTTTTGAGACACTCAAAGAGGTTACAAATAGGAAGAAAGACTATAGGTGAGAAGTTAAAGGCTCTGTACCTAATGTTTACCATCTCAAATCCAGTGATAGAATGTAACAAAGTAAAGTAGTAAAGTACTGTACTTACATGAAAAAAATAAATAAATAAAATAAAATAAAATAAAATAAAATAATAATAATAATAATAATAATAATAATAATAATAATAATAATAATAATAATAATAATAATAATGGTGTCTGTACTTTACTTAAGTTGATTTTAAAGTGGATACTTTTTACTTTTACTTCAGAACATTCACTACATTTCTGAACAGGACTGAAAAGTAAAAGTATGTTTTATTATTGCGTGAGACCTGCTGAAATTAGGAGTTTTTTTTTGTTTTTTAATCAAGTTCATAATTTGAGCAAACAAAAATATACAAATAAAATCAAATTACCTAGAAAAAAAGCAACGATTCACATGTGTGTTGGACAAAATTCAGCACAAATCTTTATCAAAATCACTACATTTGAAGCCTTATTAGATCATAAAATCTGCACGAAATGCTTTTACTTTTTACTCTTGAAGTACATTTTCAAACAAGTACTTTAATACTTTTACTTAAGTAGATGTTTTATGTCATGTCATGTCATTGAGTATTTTGTTTTTGCTAATGTTTCTGTACTTTTATTTAAGTAACAAAATTGAGTTGTTCTTCCACCACAAATCATGAAAAACAAAACTATTTCATTTTGAATTTTGTATTTTTTATTTTTTTTGCAGTCATTCAAAGTTATCCCTTACTTACCTTATACTGTATGTATATTCTGAGCATCCAAATTAGATGCAAAGCAGATGTTACATGCAGTTTCATTTTGACTAAGAGCTGCTTATAGAAAAAAAAAAACACTACATGGACAAAAATCAGGCACAGAAACTTTGAAATGGTCACTTTTAATTAATTATTTTTTTTTGCTTTTCGTGTGAGCAATGTTGACAAAATTAATATCTAAGTATTTTAAGAGTTTGTTTTAATATCTAAGTATTTTAAAGAGTTTGCAGTGATATCTTGTACATTCTGAGACTCCTCATTATTCACCACGATGAGTTTAAAAGCACTTTTCACAACTTTCAAATGCCAGAGCAGCGTTTTACCCTAATGGTTAAACTAAATTAACCAGCTAGCATGCTAACAGTACACTTTCTGATTCATGAATGCTAAAAAGACTTGTGATTATCTGCAGACAGCACACGGAGAGCTGCTTTTACAATATATTTGTTACTATACACCAACACAAATTGGCTATAGCCACTTTAAAATGATCACGTTTTAGATCTTATTCCAACTGCGGGCGATGTTGACAAAATTAATATCTCAGTATTTTTATCTATTTGACTTTTTTTTTTTTTTTTTTTTTTTTTTTTTGAGTCTCCCAGTAATATTTTGACAGTCTGTCTGAAATGTGCTAAAAGTCCCTGTGAAGGTCTGGTAGAGGTTCAAGAATGGCATATTGCGCTTGACAAGCCTCTCAAACATTACACTGTAGTTGTCATTCATTCACGTCACACTGACTTCAAGCTGCTCGCAAAGCCACTGCTCCCCTACACAGGCAAAGTAGGTGAAGTGTCTTGCCCAAGGGCTGGTGGACGAACCCTCTAAACACTAATTATTACTTTAAAGGGCCCATATTACACTATTTTCTGATCTATGTTGTAATGTTTTTCCTCAAACATACCTGGAGTTGTGTTTTGTTTCATTCACACATGTTTAACTCACAAACCCTGCATATTTATTCTTCTCTCAAACAGAAAACACTCTGTTCCACCTTGTGACGTCATGTGGTAATACAGGAGGTGCTCCACTGTGTTTTTAGTTTTAGTTTTTAGTTTTAGTTTTATTTATTTAAAAGGGACAATGCATATTCTTGAACATATACTTATAGTCCGTGGCAGGTCAGAGAGATAGAGACAACATAACACACGTCACACAATAGACAAACTGTCAATGACAATTCATAGCACAAACATGGTAGAAACTAGCCAGGCGGGCGCCACCTAGTGCCTCCGCTCGATTTAATTTCCCTCCAGCGACTAGGTCAGGAATCAGAATACACTAGGCGGTTTGCAAGAACCCTGGAAGTGTGAGTCCGGACACTAGCCAATCAGCGAAGAGACATACATTCTGTGTTGGCAACGATTCCCGAGATCGAGGATTTAAAGCCGGAACAAAGAGAAGGTTTGGTGAATTTTATCAAAGGGAAAGACGTTATTGTCCTTCTTCCTACGGGATTTGGGAAAAGCTTAATATACCAGTTAGCCTCGTTAGAAGTGCATTACATACGTCACGACCAAATAGCTGGAATTGGTTAAATGATAAAAAGTATCCACCTACCATCGAGCGAACAAATCCAAACACTGCGAGGTCAGATGGTTTCCATGAAGTGAAACCGGCTGATGAATCAGGCTAGGTAGAAACCGCACAATAAGACACAATCTTGACATCATGAGATACCACACTGACATTGACGTAGAAGCATAACATTAGAGGTTACAAATCGGATTTCTCTTTAGCCATTTTAACTTCCACACACCTTCACTAGAAACATTTGCATGATTTCAGCCTTGGAATTGTCAATCTCTACTGAACTAGACGTAAAAGGAAGCTGTAAATGTGAAAACTACAGCTTGATTACACAAGATCACAACATGGAACAGAGCATTTTGAGCTTTGGTGATGTAAACAAACTAATAATAAAGTGTTACTCAGACACCCGTGAATGGAACAAAACACAACTCCAGGTCTGTTTTTTGATGAGGTAACAACATTATAACATGACTTAAATCTCACGAGAGTCAGTTTTGCGTAATATTGGGTCTTTAAACCATTATTGCGCTCACTAATCCAAAAACAACACTGAGTAATCGTCATTTTCCTGCACTCACGAGGCCCATTGCTTCGAAAAACCATTTTCAGCAACCCACCATACACGCCCACTGCTTTTTACTTACTTTGTTCAATTTTTATTTTTTTTTTTAAATTTTAGATCAGTATTGTGATTTAAAATATCTTAAATATAAATAATAATAATAATTAACTCTAATGCTAACGTTCTGGTTTAGTCCTGATTTTAGTTCTGATTTTAGTCCTGGTTTAGTCCTAGTTTAGACCTGATTTATACCTGGTTTTAGTCCTTACTTTAGTCCTGGTTTAGACCTGGTTTTAGTCCTGATTTAGTCTTGGTTTTAGTCCTGATTTTAGTCCTAGTTTTAGTCCTGATTTTAGTCCTGGTTTAATCCTAGTTTAGAACTGTTTTAGTCCTGATTTTAGTCCTGTTTAGTCCTGGTTTACACCTGGTTTACACCTGGTTTAGACCTGATTTTAGTCCTGATTTAGTCCTGGTTTAGTCCTGGTTTAGTCCTGGTTTAGTCCAGGTTTAGTGCTGGTTTAGTGCTGATTTAGACCTGGTTTATACATGATTTTATTCCTGATTTTAGTCCAGGTTTAGACCTGGTTTATACCTGATTTTAGTCCTATTTTAATCCTGGTTTAGATTGAGTTTATACCTGGTTTTAGTCCAGATTTTAGTCCTGGTTTAACCCTGGTTTAGACCTGGTTTTAGTCCTGATTTTAGTTCTGGGTTAGTCCAGGTTTAGTGCTGGTTTAGACTTGGTTTACGCATTTAAAATATCCAAACCATAAATAAACGCTCAATAAACCGATGTCAGATTCTAATAGCGTGATGATTTCTCTCTGAATCTGCTTCGAGAATGACACGTCGACCTTTTCTGGTTTATTTCAGATGACCCCCCGGCGTGCTCTAATCCTCACTCGGCGTCAGTCTTATTCTCATCTCTGTCTTTTCCAATCTCCACCACATTCTCCTGTCCAGAAATACAAGGCTCGACATGTCCCTCCCGTACCCACAACAAACAAGACACCTCTGACTCATTCCCACCTAAACGCCAGCATCTCCGCACTTTCTCTGTCCTCATTTTCACCCTGCTACCCACTAGAGACTATATATATGTTTTTTTTTGTCCTGTCTCTCTAGTCCCTGTACTCTCCTCGCTGTTCCCGTACACTTCCACTGGCTTTCTGTACTGCATTTGTGATTTGCGATGCTCTTTTCTCCAGTCTAACTTTGTCTGTTTCCCGGCGCGGTGCAACGCTACATCTCAAGCTAAATTGAATATGAATGAGATGTCTAAGTTCCCGGCGTCTTGAGCTGACTGATGTTGTCATGGCGTGTGTTGCTGCGTGGTTTTTGACAGAGCTGCGAGCGTCTATCTGTATCTATCAAACTGCGCATCTGGAATCGCACGGAAGGAAATTAATGCTTCTTAGCTCTGTGTTTTGTTTTCAAGGTCATTCTAAAAGGAGAGTAAATGAAAAGGAGTTCAAATGGTTTAGACCTGGTTTATACCTGGCTTTAGTCCTGGTTTAGTCCTGGTTAAAACATGGTTTAGTCCTCGTTTAGACATAGTTTAAATTTGGTTTAGATCTGGTTTAGTCCTGATTTTAGTCCTGGTTTATACCTGATTATTGTCCTGATTTTCGTCCTGTTTTATTTCTGGTTTACTCCTGGTTTAGACCTGATTTAGTCCTGGTTTTAGTCCTGATTTTAGTCCTGGTTTAGACCTGGTTTATACCTGGTTTTAGGCCTGATTTTAGTCCTGGTTTAGACCTGGTTTATACCTGGTTTTAGGCCTGATTTTAGTCGTGGTTTAGTGCTGATTTTAGTCCTGGTTTAGACCTAGTTTAGACCTAGATCTAGTCCTGGTTTATACCTAGTTTTAGCCCTGATTTTTAGTCCTGGTTTAGACCTTGTTTCAGTCCTGATTTTAAGTCCTGATTTTAGTCCTGGTTTTAGTCTTGGTTTATTCCTAGTTTAGACCTGGTTTAGATCTACTTTTAGTCTTGATGTTAGTCCTGATTTTAATCCTGATTTTAGTCCTGGTTTAGACCTGGTTTTAGTCCTGATTTTAGTCCTGGTTTAGACCTAGTTTTAGTCCTGATTTTAGTCCTGGTTTAGATCTGGTTTTAGTCCTGGTTTTAGTCCTGGTTTAGTCCTGGTTTAGTCCTGGTTTAGTCCTGATTTTAGTCCTGGTTTAGTCCTGATTTACTCCTGGTTTAGTCCTGGTTTTAGTCCTGGTTTTACTCCTGGTTTAGTCCTGGTTTAGTCCTGGTTTAGTCCTGATTTTAATCCTGATTTTAGTCCTGGTTTAGACTTAGTTTAGACCTAGATCTAGTTCTAGTTTAGATGTGGTTTAGATCTGGTTTTAGTCCTGATTTTAGTCCTGGTTTAGACCTAGTTTTAGTCCTGATTTTAGTCCTGGTTTAGATCTGGTTTTAGTCCTGGTTTTAGTCCTGGTTTAGTCCTGGTTTAGTCCTGATTTTAGTCCTGGTTTAGTCCTGATTTACTCCTGGTTTAGTCCTGGTTTAGTCCTGGTTTTACTCCTGGTTTAGTCCTGGTTTAGTCCTGGTTTAGTCCTGGTTTTAGTCCTGGTTTTAGTCCTGGTTTAGTCCTGATTTAGTCCTGTTTTAGTCCTGGTTTTACTCCTGTTTAGTCCTGGTTTAGTCCTGGTTTAGATCTGGTTTAGTCCTATTTTTAGTCCTGGTTTAGATCTGGTTTTAGTCCTGGTTTTAGTCCTGGTTTAGTCCTGGTTTAGTCCTGGTTTTAGTCCTGGTTTAGTCCTGGTTTAGTCCTGATTTTAGTCCTGGTTTAGTCCTGATTTACTCCTGGTTTAGTCCTGGTTTTACTCCTGGTTGAGTCCTGGTATAGTCCTGGTTTAGTCCTGGTTTTAGTCCTGGTTTAGTCCTGGTTTAGTCCTGGTTTTAGTCCTGGTTTAGTCCTGGTTTAGTCCTGGTTTAGTCCTGATTTTAGTCCTGGTTTAGTCCTGGTTTAGTCTCCTGTTTTAGTCCTGCTTTAGTCCTGATTTACTCCTGGTTTAGTCCTGGTTTTAGTCCTGGTTTAGTCCTGGTTTAGTCCTGGTTTAGTCCTGGTTTTAGTCCTGGTTTAGTCCTGGTTTTAGTCCTGGTTTTAGTCCTGGTTTAGTCCTGTATACAAGGCAAAAAAGGTGACGCTCCAAACTAGTTTGTCAAAATGGTGACAGAATTTTACATCTGATACACACACACACAATCACCAATATCAACACTGCTGCAGATGTGTACAGATGTTATTTTTTGCTCCTCCTCAGTGGCTCTTCTTCACCTATTGAAAATCGCTGATATAAACAATCGTAGGCGTTTATATTTTTTGTTACGTAGATTTTCGCGAAGCTGTTAGCACTTACAAATAACACACAGTTGATACTTTACACCTGATGTCATCAATATTCCTTCGGGGTGTGAAGCAAACTAAAAGCAAATTAGACTTAATCTGATCTTTATTTTAACACAATCTGCCCAGAAATAGCTGATTTGGTTGGTACTACAAAAGAAGAGATGATTTGTGTGCTCAGAGTTTCACACTGTTTTGTAGTTTGTCACTCTCACCTTTTTTTATTGAAAATCAGTGACATGAACGCTTGTGTTGAAAATGTGTTGTTTTGTATTCTTGAATTTTCAGACATCTTAAAACTTGCTTGTCTGGTTTTGCTCATGTGTGCGTTAGGGTCCGACCAATATGGATTTTTTTGTGGCCGATATGATACAGATAAAACGAGTTGGAGGAGCCGATATATTTAGTGGTGTAAAAATTCACTGTAAATCTTCTGTAAATTGATTATGAAACTTAGGTCTGGCTCTACTGGATTTTAAATTGGGTTTATTTAGGCAACATTTATTGATATTCTGCCTCTTTACAGTCATTTTCAAAGACAGTAGGTCGGCCTAATGGCATTTTTTGTTTGTTTTTGTTTTTTTCCATGACATTCTAGCCAGTAAGGAAAGTAATCAAACTACTGCTATTATCCTTTAGTGGTAAATGCCTGCTCGCGGTGGTAATTAATTATGCCAACCGAAATATCAGTCGGGCTCTAGTGTACATTGTGTCACCATGGTAACCTTTGAACCTTCCACCAAAAGACATACATGTAGAAGACCTCCAGTGTGATGTTACTGCAAAGTATCGATAAGATAATCCTCCAGCTAGGTTTTTCTAACTTTGAGCCAAGATTAAAAAAAAAAAAAAAAAAAAAAAGGTAGCCCAAACTTCATTAAAGGATTACAACAATGTACGGACAAAATGATCTGTGGGTTCAGTAAAATACACAGAAGTAAATTTCCTATAAATTTTTCTATAGATGAAATATTCAAATGTTAAGAGTTTAAAGACACAATTCAAATTCAAAAAGTTTATTGTCAATTTTCATATGAAACATGAAATGAAATTGTGTTCCTTACTCCCAGTCTCCTAAAAAAAAAAAAAAATTAAATAAAATTAAAAAATATATAATAATAATAATAATAATAATAATAATAATAAAATAATAATAATAATAATAATAATAATAATAATAATAATAATAATAAAAAATTAAAAATTAAAAAATAATAATAATAATAATAATAATAATAATAATAATAATAATAATAATAATAGGAAAACCAACAAAAACGAACCAGAATTGGCTATGTGGTAACCAACGTCCATAATAGTGTTTTTTTTTAGTCCTAAATACATTTGTAAACTGAAAATTCGATGGACAATTGTTATAAATTAATGTTTTATTTTTAAGTTTCAGAAAGACATTTTTAAATTCAATTATAGACAAGATTACTCCCAGGCAAGCTTTCAAAGGTTTTTTTTTTTTTTTTGAAAGCCTGAGGAAAATGAACAAATTAGTGGCTACCATTAAGCTAAATAGAGTAAAAAAAAGTAATTACATTACATTACAAACATTACTTACATTATTACAACTTTATATACTTTCTGTGCAGGTTATATTTGATTTGACAGTATAGATGTAATAATTTGTATTAACTATGAATTAAATTATGTGCCAAATAATCATGATTATATTGTAACATTTCCAACCTTTCTGCATATTTATTTGTAAATTTTGACTGATTCTGATTTATCCGTAATATCTTTTAAAACCTGCTTTCACTCTCCTTGTCCATCCAGCCCGTATCTCTTTCATAAAATATTTACCAAACAAAAGGTCCTGTGTTGTCCTGTACGCCCTTGGCACCGCGATAGAGATAGCATTTCTTTTATGCTTTTATTCTCACAGTTGTTGTTGTATCCCCCACAGGCAGCTGCCCCATGCTCCGGAGAACCCCACGGCCGTACTGAGCGCCTCGGAGAAGAGAGCCATAGACCTGAACTGGAACAAGCCTTTTGATGGGAACAGCCCCCTCATCCGCTACATCCTGGAGGTCTCCGAGAACAGTAAGGAGCCGTTTACACAGTGTCATGGGCAATTCTGCTCTCACATCTGTACTTTGGCTACACTCTATAATTTATAATGGCTGGACTTCAGTGAAAAAGTTGGAGGTTTTTTTGCTTCCAGGTTTGTTTGAGGAGTTTTAAACGTGCACTATGTAACTTTTCGGGTGAAGGGTTGGTCATGTGCTTGTTTTCTTAGAGACTGTATTGCATAATTTATAATGGCTGGACTTACGAATGTAAAAAGTGCAGGTTTTTCGCTTCGAGTGAAGAGCAAGAAGAAAGTGATTTGGAATGTAGAAATAATAATTAGAGATTTGGACATTTCCTAGTGAGCCAGAGTGTTGGAGACGTGTGGAGACACTTTTTTTAAAATATTCCATCCAGTCCTTGTATTTGCAGAGGTCGCTGGTGCTAGGCTAGTGCATGTCAATGGCCATAGTTATCCTGCCACTAAAAACAGTCTTACCCACTCCACAGAACACCCGAAGTAAATCTGTTATTACACCAGACTGTCGATGTAAATGTGTATGTCGACAGAATAATTTTAGAAGTAAAAACAACCTTACATTTGGAGGATTTATGTCTGAGCAGCAGTGAGTTGTATTTCCTGATAGAAAGTTTGGCAGCAGCGGACTGATATATGAGAAAATAGTCCCTCAACATGTGAAGATTCATGCGATGCAAGGTTAGTTTTATTTCAAACATTATTCTATCAACACAGACATTTACATGGACAGTCTGGTGTAATAATAGATTTGTTTCGGATGTTTTGTGGAGTGGGTAAGACTGTTTTAGCGGCAGGATATCTATGGCCATTGACATGCACTAGCCTAGCACCAGTGACCCCTGCAAATACAAGGACGGGAAGGAATATTTAAAAAGTGTTTCCACACATCTCCAACACTCTGGCTCACTAGGAAATGAGGTCCTATGTCCAAAATTCCTGACTGTCCCTTTAAAATGGTTCAAAGGTTTTGAGTTTTTGGTAGAGGGTCCCTCACCTGCTTGTTTTCTGGAGATCTTAATGTTTTGTTACAGTTGTAGGTTGAGAAGCAAGTGAGAATGAATGTTGTTTAATGTATTTCCTCAGTAAAACACCTATAATTGAAAACATGCTAGAGAGTATTTTAATGGCATACTACGGAAAACCCCACCAAAAATGTTATCTGTCCAGCCAGATCCATACGCATTGACAAAACTTCACAAAGATGAGTGGATCTAGAGCTGCATCCTAGCGTGATTGACAGGTGGATTAACCAATCAGAGAGACGCATGCTACTTTTGCTTCAAATACAAACACGGCTGCTTACACATTAAAAGGGGAAAAAACAACTTACAGGACTGAGAAACAGTGTGGATTTTTGCTGAATCAACAAGGGAAGCACTAAACCAGGCATGTCCAAACTATGGCCTGTGGACCAAATGCGGCCCTCAGATAAATTATTCTTGGCCCTCAGGCTTCCAGGTGAATTACCCCTAATTACCTTGCATCAATTAAAAATGAACTTTTTACTACAATTTTTTTGAAAATCTACCTTGATAAAGCGAATATTTATATTTAGTGTGAGGTTTTAAGGATCTTAGCATGAATAAAGACTGATGGCTCATTCTAACGTGTTAAACATGCACATATTTTAATGATATCCACTGCCCTCGATCAGCCCTCTGCGTCATCTTTGTTTAGATATGTGGCTCTTGATGAAAAAAGTTTGGACAGCCTGCACTAAACTGTTATTTATTGCAGGTATAAAAAGTTATTAAGAAGCAATATCGTGTTTTGAAGGTTATGAGAATTTTCGAGAGCAGATGTTTCCGGCGTTTGAGAGACAAGTGATATAAATATAGCAGAGACGGCGCGGTCAATCAAGCAGAAAAGTGACATGATGCACCATTAAGTTAAACTGTATTGTTTAATGTTGTGTTGTTCTTGCAATCCATGCAGATGATTGAATCACATGTTCAGTTGCGTATTGTGGTATGAATTGTTTGTGAAGTAAAAACAGCTGATTACTTTGCCATAATAATGTTTTTTTAACTTTTTACTGAGCTAGTTTATTAGTCCAAACTTTTAGTAATATAAAGTTGTATAACAAATCGCATCATATGGCAACAATCCACTTTGACATTTCACTGACAGCTTTATAGCGCAGCTCTAATTAACCTGCTGTCTTAATGATCTGTTCCCCAGACGCTCCGTGGGCCATCCTGCTGGCCAATATCGAGCCGGAGTCCACGGCGGTGACGGTGAACGGGCTCATCCCAGCGCGCTCGTATCAGTTCCGCCTCTGTGCTGTTAACGACGTGGGGAAGGGACAGTTCAGCAAAGAGACGGAGAGGTGAGCCCCCAGCACACACTCACAGACACTAAAGAAGAAAAGTACTGTGTTTTTATGGTGCTGTATTAGGTATTTATGTTGTCTCAGTCATTTGGATAGAGATCTAGATGCGTAGTGTACCAGGGTTTTTAATTAGTCTGAAGATCATAGGGCCCCCAACACACATGTACAGATACTGAAGAAGAAAAGTACTGCATGTTTTATGAGTGAGCAATCAGGTATTTATGATGTATGGTCCAGCGGGGTTTTTAATTAGTCTGAAGGTCATACTTAATTAAGCATCTCTATCTTATTTTGTCTTGTCTAATTGCATGATCTTATATGTTGTTGTTTGAACACCCGAGACCAAACGCTTTTACCCCAGTTTCCAGTGGTTGTGATTGACAGATGGATGAACCAATCAGAGAAATGCATGGTCCATTTGTGTGAAACTCTAAGCCCTGGGTAAAGGGAGCTCTAAATTGGTTCTGAATGTTACAAGAATATTCCAGTAGAGATGTCTTTCACTTTTGGAAGATATTGAACCATCTCAAAATTGGATGGTTGTCTCTTGTCTGGTTTTAGAACCTCCAATATTTGTATAATTGTAAGAAAAATAAAGCCAGTTTACCTAGACCAGACATGTCAAACTCAGGCGCGGGGGCCAAATTTGGTCCACAATATAATTATATTTGGCCCACGATCATATTAAATATGTATTAGAGCTGCCCGCTGTCTGCTATGCCATTTCTTTTTTCCTTTGTGTACTTTTTCCAGGTAGTTAGTTAGTAGGAAAAAAAATAGTTATACCACAGATAATAATCTCAAGACCCAGGAGTTTAGCTTAACTTTGTGGGGGTGTGGGAGGAAATTTGGTATTGGTTTTATCACTGTAAAGCGTTTTGTGTTGCCGTTTTTTTTTTTTGCATGAAAAGCAATCTATAAATAAATAAAATTAAATTATAAATAAATAATAAATAAAGTAAATAAAGTTTGATTGATGGCACATGCATGATACTACGAATCCCAGAATGCTTTGCAAATGTGTAGGCGCATTTTGACTGGTTGTTGGCTTATGGAAGAAAAAAAAAAAAAATATTTAAAAGAAGTTCAAAAGCTACAGATACAGAGACATTATTTTAAATTTGTGTTATTTTTTTATTTTATGTTATGCTTGTTTTGGATTCAGTGCTTAACCAAAGCTAATATTAAACATTTACTTTAATATGAAAAGGTTTAACTTGACTTTTCTCTTCTTTCGAGATGTGTAATGTTAAACCTTTGTTTGCAGATGTTGTTAAAATTTTTCAGTAAATATTTAGTTTGGCCCAAGACTTGGCCCAGTTTTTAGTTTTGGCCTCTGTGAATTTGAGTTTGACACCCCTGACCTAGACTATATATACAGAGTTTTTTTTATAATACAGTTTCTCCTTTAAAATATATAGTTTGGGGAAAATGTGTAATATGTTATTTACCAATATAAGCAAACACTTCTTAAATTTCCCATGCTTGATAATATATTTTTACTTAAGATTTCACCAAAACAGAATGTGATTTTTTTTTCTGTTGAAGAGTGAAGAGATGAGCTTTCTGACTAATACTGCTTCAAGCACATCACAGTCTTCACTTTGATAATTTGAAAAACTGAAAATGTCAAAACAAAATTGAGCACTACCTGCCAGCAAAGTTTAAACCTCTGCGTCAGTATTACCGCGCTGACACAATCCGTTACCCTGACAACCGTTTTGACTGATCCTTTGAGTCAAGAGTGAGTGACAAAGGATGAGAGCAGATCAGGGATGGACGTCATGTAGCGCTGGCATCACAACTTTTCACTGCTACTACAAAATGACTTTTTTTCTTAACGGTACACTGTGGAACATTTCAGGCGTGGGGTCTACTACCTGCTTCACGGAGATGTCATTGCTTTACCTGGAATGTTTCACAGTAGGGCATTAAATGTGTCTATTCTGTAACATTGCACTTTCTATATTGCAATTATTTATTTACAAGTGTTTTATTGATTAGGAAAATATCTTGAATATCTTGAAAACCTCCATTTAGGCTCACCTCTCCACAGATCTGACCTGTAACTCACTGGAGCCGCATGCTTTTCTTGGATATAGATACATTTAATGCTAAAGTGTGGAACATTCCAGGCAAAAGTAAGCAAGCAAGTTTCAAGATTGAAGATTTTATTGTCATCTTCTTAAAAAATAAGCAACAAAGTTACACTTAGAGCATCAAATTGTACAACTGCGTAGTTTAGGAAAGTTACATATCGACTTGAAAAATTACAGTCCATCTTTTTCAGCTCAACAATCCAATCCAATCCAATCCACTTTATTTCTATAGCACATTTCACAAACAAACAGTTTCCAAAGTGCTGCACAAATACATAATAATAACAACAAAAATAAGATGATAAAATAAACTACTAAAATAATACTAGTCTTAAAAAAATAAAACCAGTAAAATAAAATAAAAACTAAATTATAGAATAGAAATAAACAAACCCTTAAATCAATTACATCAATAAAAACACATAAAAATAAATAAAAACACAGAGGACCACACAACTCACATGGTGTTAAAATCCAGAGAGTAAAAGTGGGTCTTAAGACGAGACTTAAAACTCTCCACAGTGAAGGCTGTTCGGACATGGGGGAGCAGAGCGTTCCAGAGCTTAGGGCTGACCACAGAGAAGGTCCTGTCCCTCCTGGGTTTAAGTCTCGTCTTAGGCACCCTCAGGTGGAGCTGGACCTTGGACCTCAGAGCGCATACAGGGGTATAAATCTGAACGAGGTCCGAGTCCATTCAAATCTTTAAAAACAAACAATATTTAGCATATCCCTCTGAATGAAGACTTTTGATTTTTAGATTTAATGGCAATAAATCCTCCAATCTGCCGTAAGAGCTTTGTGCCTCTTCAGAGGGAAAGCTAAACAAAGACCTAGAAAAATACCAAAAAATATATGCGTACACGTTTGCTCCGTATAACGTTTTTCCTTTCTCATTGTCAAGGTAATTAGACGAAGATAAACCCTTCAAAATAAAAGCGCTAAACATAAACACGTAAGTTAATGGTTAACAACAGAAAATGGTGCAATATAAAAACAATAATAAAAAGTCACAAGAGATTTTAACAAAGACAAATTATACTATAGGTTATTTACACAATAAAATCTTAAAATCAGTTCTAAAATGAACAGGAAGCCGCAAGGATTGGGGTTATGTGCTCTCTCCTTTTTGTTCCTGTTAAAAGTAGCGCTGCAGAGTTTTGGACTGTTGTCGGTAAAGTGCATTTTGTGAAATGCCGGCATAAAGTGCATTACAGTCGTCCAGGCGTGATGAAATAAAAGCGTGCATAACTTGTTCAAAATGTTTAAAAGATGAAAAAGGTTTAACTTTAGATAAAAGCAAATGATAAAAACTTGATTTTAAAACATAGTGACAATGTGAATAATAGTGAAATGAGTTGAGTGTGACATCGCTCCCCCTGCCCTGGAGCTCAGTGGGGGCTCCGTCTGTCTGAGGCTGGGGACCTGGCACCCAAAGCTGCTCCCTCCATGTGGTGCCCAAATTCTGAAACAGAATCTATTGCTACACAGATATACTACAATAAATAATGATATTGAAACTACTTTCTGCCACTGACACAAAGCAAGATAATCCCAGTGAACTCATTTTTAAATAGACAGTCTCATTAAAAAAGCGAGCTGCTACAAATGAATAGCAGAGTGAACTGATAATTAGCCATAGCAGTTATTTACTCTGCTCTTTACAGCTCAAATATTGTGTTTTTACAACTAAAATGACAAAAATCTCATCACTGTGGCAATGAAAAAGTACCCACGATAAATACTGAGCTCCAGCTTTCGTGTATTGAAAGGTAAGTCAATATTGTACAGTAATTATCGTGACAGATGTACCTGCGACTGCCACATTCAGTTGTTAGGCTCACAAACTTCAATAGTTACATTAGATTTCATAAAATTACTTTGGTGGATGTAAAGTAAGATGATAAATCGCACTTGTACTGACCAATCACAAGTTTGGATTCATTTTAAAAAATATTTTCTGTATAACTTTCTAGTGGAGGGTCAGGAATCCGAATACACTAGACGGTTTGCAAGAATCCCAGAAGTTGTAGACCGTGCACCGACCAATCAGTGAAGAGCTGTGAAGCCATGACGTCAAACTCCAGCACCTGTCTGGGTTTCTTTTGTGGTACAACACAACAGTAAACAAAACGGTCGAAATGGATGAAGACGAAGACAATCATTCTGTGTTGGCAACGATGCCCAAGATCGAGGTTTTAAAGCTGGAACAAAGAGAAAGTTTGGTGAATTTGATCAAGGGGAAAGACGTTATTGTCCTTCTTCCTATGGGATTTTAGCGCATTACATACGTCACAACCAAACAGCAGCGATTGGTTAAATAAAAAAAGTACCCGCCTACCGTCGAGCGAACGAATCCTAATGCTGCGAGGTCAGACGGTTTCCGTAAAGTGAAAAAAAAAAAATGAACAGCTACTTGCTTGTCTCTGTGGAAATGTTATTGCTCTGTCTAGATCACAGGTGTCAAACATAAGGCCCGGGGCCAGATCCGGCCCTCCAAGACCTTTAATCTGGCCCTCGGCTGATTTTCTACTAAAATATTTTAATTATATTTTCTATTAAAATTATTGGTAATTTTCTGCGCCGCTTAGCACAGCAGCGTCTCCAGTGTCTCTGTGTGTGGCCCCTCCCACCAGAGCAGCACAAATGAAGACTTGTCTCTTTCCAAACGCTCTTAAAGGACGATCGTTTTGACTGTTGACCGTGACACCCTCATCAACAAAATGTCCAACATGAGAAAAGTGGAGCCGAGTGCAGGATTTTCCAAGAAAAACTGACTTATTCCTATTTGCAGACAAGTTCAATGTAAAAACATTGTGTTGAAATTGCAGTTTTCTTAAAGTTTCAGGTTGTTCATAATATTATAATATTTTGTAAAAGAAAGAGTTCATCAATTAAAAAAGATTTCTGTAATAGATTTGAATTTCTCTGCACAAATATTTGAACTTATTGTTATTTTTGGGGCCATATATACCATGAGTTTTCTGATCCTGCCCCTTTGGGATCAAAGTAGGTTGGATACGGCCCTCGGACCAAAATGAGTTTGACACCCCTGGTCTAGATGTTCCACAGTATAGATTAAACTGGCTGTACTACAACAGATGTAGTACTTTGTTGTACTGTTTCTGATTTGTTTGTTTCCTCTTGCTGTATTTATGAAGATGAACTGGTGTTAAGATGAAGCTCTGATAAAGAAATAAAGGGTAGGCATAATAAGCTTTTCGGACCTGTTTATGTTAAATATGACTGTTGTGAATTAATGTCAAAATATACCTGTGACCGAAATAAATAAATAAACAAATAATAAAAAACCTGTCTATCACAAGCGAGACAAGCAGATCACAGCACTATGCTACATTACAATTCAGATCTGTGGAGAGTCGCCCCAATTCATAGAAGTTATTATTGTATTTTTGAGCAATAGAAACACCCATAATAAAGAAATGCAAGATGGATATGTTAAATGCCATACCATGGAACAATTCCTGGCAAAGCAATAACATCTCCATGGAGACAAGTAGGTAGTGAACCCTACAGCAGAGAAGTTACACAATCCATCTTTTACTTAATGAACATAATCAAGACCTGTTTTTAATTATGTATTTTAGCACAAATTATAGTTAAATGTATTCCTCCAAACTACATAGTTTTCTGGCTGTGGAGCTCTCGATCAAAAAGTCCCAAGATGATCATTGACGAATGGATTAGGCCGATGAGATGTCAAGTCAAGTCAATAGTTTGTAAAGTTATATTTGAAAATAACTCCTTGGTCTTGGCCTGGAACTAATTAGTCTGAGGTATATTAACTTACTGTTTCTCTTGTGGATACTTAATTATTAACAATTTTAGACCAGCGTGTTCATGCCAAATATACACTCCCATAGATGTAACTTCGTTTTTGCAGTAAAGTGAATCATTATCGGTAACCTTTTTATTTACAGCTAAGCCTCGTGTGCTTGTGCTGTAAAATTTCTCTGATTTGACTGTTCCCATGCTTATAAAATCTGAAATGGCGTTTGACGAAAATAATAAGTCTACAAAAATACCTAGAAATGTGTGCAGGTCTTTTACAGTCAATTGCGCTTCACAAAAACCTTACGCTTCACTGCTAAAACTCAACAGATTACTGAGATCTGCTTATAGCTTACCTACAAAAATGTAAATATATTAGTCTCCCGCAACTAATCAAAATCTAATATTGTTTTAACTTTACAGGGTCTCATTGCCAGAGGAACCTCCGAGCGCTCCTCCCCAGAACGTGATCGCGAGCGGACGCACAAACCAGTCCATTATGATCCAGTGGCAGCCTCCTCCAGAGAGTCACCAGAACGGCGTCCTGCGAGGCTACAACGTCAGGTAATAAGACCCTCAAACATTACCATACAGTTTAACAGAGACCAAGTTGTTGTTTTGCAAGTCTGAAGTAAGTCTCAAGTCCAAGTCAGGTCCCAAGTCAAATACAGGCAAGTCCAAGTCGAGTCTCAAGTCACTGGCTTATAAGTTCAAGTCAAGTCTAAGTCGTTTGCTTTGAGCTTCAAGTCATTTCAAGTCTTTAAACCAAAGTACCAAATACAGCTTAGATTTTTGCAATTTATATGAATTTTAAGATAAATTGTACTTATGAAGTCATTGTATATTTATATATGAGTGTTTATAGAGTATATAAGACTTGAAGAAATGCTATTTTTTCCTTTTTAAATGTTTTGACAAGATCTTAGAGTGAATCATTACAGTCAGAATAGAAAGAATTCAAATTTAAAAGTGCTTCTCAAGTCTTCTCAAGTCATAGACCTTCAAGTCCAAGTCAAGTCCTAAGTCTTTGTCCATTTTATCAAGTCATGTCTCAAGTCCTATAAATAGGGGCTCAAGTCTGACTAAAGTCCAAGTCACGACTTGCAAGTCCCCACCTCTGCAGTTTAATATACACAGTTCAGCCATAACATTATGACCAATGCAGTGAATGGTTTTATTTTTATTGAATATTTTTTCTGTTATATCATGTCCTTAATATGTGTCTGATAGGACAGGATGTTAAAAGATACCAGGACAGTACCAAAGAAATGTAAGGATTCTACTGTAATATATATGAAAACCTATATGATACCTACCCATAGCATTCTTCCCCAGTCAAATGAAGCTCACCGAGGTTGGCAGTTATAGCTGCAAATTTGAAGCTGAGTTCCATTTTTGGGATAGGAATTTATTAACGGACAAAATTGCTAAATAAAAAACACCAGGATCATGTAGAGCTGGTTAATATGAACATTTAAGACCAGAATGACGAGGCTCACCGCAGCAGTTACAGAGAGAGGGGTGACAATGTTTCAATGTAAAGTCAATTAGAGCCAGAGTTATCGGAACCAGAATGCTCACTTCCTATTTATACGGCAGCTTGTAGTAGTATTAAAGTAGTATTAATAACCAGGTATTGTTTAAATACTGCTAACAAAACAACTGAAAGCTACCCAAGGTTCAGTGTGATAAAACGGTTTTAAAAATGTCAATACAGTCATATTTTGCAGTTACCTTTACAATTAGATCTTGAACAGTTAGTGAGTGGGATGTGTGCAGTGTGTAATGAACGTTTGTCCTTTAAATGTATTTGTTTGAAACCTTGAAGTCCATGGTTTGACAGGTCAGATAATCTCCAAAAAAGCAGTTCTCATTTGGTGTTCGTAGCCAGGAGTGGTCAGTCTCATCTATCAAAAATGCTTGTATTGGCAGCATTGGCAGTGAAGGCCGTTCTTGTGCAATCCAATGTACTTGAGTTTAGTTAGTTTATATTCTTTCGTCATTTGGCAAACCGGAATAATTTGTACTTTTATTTAAAGGCCATATATTAAACAAAGTGGACTCTTGTGAGGTTTAAGCCATGTTAGAATGTTACCTCCTCAAAAACACACCTGGGGTTGTGTTTTGTTTCATTCACACATTTCAGTAATCCTGCATTATTAGTCGGTCTATATTTCTAAAGCTCGAAATGATCTGTTCCACCTTGTGATGTCATGTAGTAAGGCTGTGCAATTAATTGAATTTTGATCACGATTTTGATTTGTGTGTCAAACGATCTCCAAACTCATATAATCGAGTTGAAATGATGTAACTTAACAAATTTTATATTGGGGTATTTTTTATATAAATAAGTATATTTGTTTTATTTTTTTAAATGTAGAGATTATAGAACAGCTGGATAAATTGTTTATTTTAGATACATTTATGTTTTTCTAGTTTTTCTATGCCTTATTTCATGCTCAAAGTTTATTTTATTCATTTTATGTTTAATACATCGCAAAACTGCTCTGAGGTACAAGTTTGGAGCCTATTTTTATTTTCAATTTGAAAGTTTTGCATGAATTATCAATAACAAAGTGTTTTTTGAGAGAGAAATGCTGAATAAATGCATCGTGTAACTAAAAAAATAATCGTTTGAATAATCGTGATTTCAATATTCACCAAAATAATCATAATAATGATTTTTTTCCGTAATCGAACAGGCCTATCATAGAGGTAATATTCAAGTAAACTTCTACCTTTTACGTTTCGTTCAGTAGAGATCAGCAGTTCCAGACCTCAAATCATCCAGTTATTCTAGTGAAGCTGTATGAAGTTTAAAAACACAGTAGAGCACTTCCAGTATTATGACATCGCATCAAGATAAAACTGTGAACTCGACCTAATTATGCCTTATTTCTGTGTTAAACATGAATGAAGGAAACAAAACACAACTCCGGGGGAATGTTTTTGAGGAGCAAACATTACAGCAGAGATCAGAAACAGCATAAATATGGGACCTTTACGCACGTATACTGAAGTTCGTGCCATATAACCCATTCTGCAACGACTACACAGACAACTTACAAGCTTTCTATTCAAAGAAATCCCAGCCCACACTGTATGTTTTATTAATTGCAGAACGCCTTGCAGAGTTGAACAGCGTTACTGAAAAATACTTGCAATACTTAGACTTCAAAAACTTCGAATTTAAAAGTCAGCAAATTTGTCAGAATGATAGCAGAAAACATGTAATTAGTGTGTGATTTTCAGGCTTGCTTTTAATTATTCACTTTGAAAACCGCAGCAGGTGTACTCATGCAATAGACTGTAATGTGTTTCCATTGTGACTGGTGCATTGTCTCCCCCTAAAGAGCTACAAGTGTACTGCAGCGCTGCTTTCACCTCACATACTAGTACATACAGTACGTGTGTGTAATATATCTTTTGTGTGTTGCAGATATCGTCTGACAGGGCTGCCCGTGGACTACCAAATCAAAAATATTACCAGTCCAGAGGTTACAAATCTGTTACTGGAAGATCTCATCATTTGGACAAACTATGAGATTGAAGTAGCAGCGTACAACGGAGCCGGACTGGGTATTTTCAGCCATAAAGTGACTGAGTGGACACTTCAAGGAGGTGAGTGTTTATCAGAATGTGGCTATATTGTCTTGTGTAGCATTCACAGATAACATTTTTACTCCTGGGTAAATATAAACAACATGTAAGCACAAGTGGCAGTCTTTTAATTAAGATATCTGTATTCATCTTAGCAAACAAATACTCTATATAACTTATCTTTAAAAGTCAAAATGGGATAAGGGTGTTGAAAAAAAGGTTTCTTCCTGGACCTCCAGAGGATAATACAGAGTAGATAAAACTCAGTGGTGCTCTTTGGGAAGGGAAAAACCCAAAGCACTCACTGGTTAAAATAAAATGCCTTTATTAATTTACTTAATGGACAACTTACAAACTTACAAAGTCCTGACGCGTTTCAGCCTGGGATAAGGGTGTGTTTGATCTGTTGTTATTTATTGTTAAAAATTTTGATATTTTACAAGAGGTCGCCAACACTGAGTTCATTTGATTTTCACAACAGTGCTGTCTAATATTAGTAGGGTTTGGATGAGACACAATTTTCACAAGACGAGACAAGACAAGATTTTGACATAATTTGTAATAAATAAATAGTGCAATTTCAACTTCACTACTTTTTATTTATTCTATGTAATATTTTGGAACCACAGCTTCTCAAATTGCCCAACTCACTTACTTTTAACTCTTTTTTTGTTCAAGCCAAAGGTAAATTCACGGGAGAAAATCTCAAAAGATAATTTTTCTCATGTGTGCCCCGTCTTGTGGCAATTTTGTCTCTCCAGATCTTGTAGCTCGAGATCTTGTCCCATCCCTAACTACTAGTAATACTTAAAGGTGCAGTCTGTAACTTCCATGGAAATAAAAACGTTAATACTTAATAATTATAAATATTCTTCATGGATATACATTTTTAGTTTTATGGCATATTGTGGAATAGCCAAAGGGCCCTCCTCCAGTCCAAATAAGAGTCAGGTTTGTTTATTTTTTTGTAGGGGTGTAACAATATCCAAGTCTCACAATACGATATCGTCATGGTATGAACCGCACGATACAATATTTATTGTGACATTGTGGGAAAGCTCACGATATGGTGGGAAGGCTTATGATTAGGGATGTAACAATATCCAAATCTCTGTATGATATTTTCACGATATACATCTCACGGTACGATATTTATTGCGATATTTTGTGGAGGCAAACAAAACATGCTCCTTTTTCCTCTTAAAATGCCTTGACAAAACTTAATCTAAAGAACTAAGACTTAAAAGTGCTTACAACTGTTATTTCTTCTTGTAGTCTGCACTGAAACGGAGCAAAGGATCATGGTCTATGTAGTTCTCTGTCTTTTACTGCACCATAACTCTTCATTTAAGCAAAGAGACTTGTAATTCGATATATTGTGATGGTCCACGATATTATTGTGAGAACTTTGACGATACGATATCACGATATTTTGGTTATTGTTACATCCTTATTTTTCAGTGCAATAAAAACATTCATAGTGAAAAAACATACTTTTAATGAAATCCAAAAAAGTCACATACTACGGCTTTAAGTCTTCGCTGCCTCCGCCCCCTCCCTCCGGAACTTACTCCCACAATCCATCAGGAGCTCAGACTCACTGCAGCATTTTAAATCACTACTAACAACTCACCTGTTCAAGCTGGAGTTTCTCCCATGATTCTATCGGGTTTTCTAGTGTCACTTTCTATTTGTTTGTAAAGCGTCTTTGAGTGTCCAAAAAAGCACTATATACGTCCTATGTATTATTATTATCATTATTAAGTAATACTTCTGGTTATATCCAGTGTTGGGAAGGTTATTTTTAAAATGTATTCCCCTACAGATTACAGATTACATAGCCCAAAATGTAGTTTGTAACATAATCCATTAAATTACTTAAAGTGAGTAACGTAATCTGAATACTTTAGATTACTTGATATTGTCATGCTTTTTAAACTACATGAATGTAGTAAACACATCCTGAAAATTCTTGTTTGTTCTCTTCGGCTCTTCTCTGCAGTTTGTTTTTAGATGTGCCTGTAGCTCCGGTTTGACATTTAACTTGTAGGTGATTTTATATTTGTTATTTTTTTATATCTATCTTATTTATATTTACCTCGGAAGAAGTGGATGGACTGCGTTCGCCCTGTGTACCACACCTACCACATCCCTCTCTTCTTTAAATACAAAGTGACAAAAAAAAAAAAAAAAAAAAAAAAAGGGATATAGCCCAAAATGTGAAAACAGGAAAATACCTCTATGTCATCCATTTATTTCACCAAAGTAACTGTAATCCAATTCACTGAAACAATCCAAAACTCATTGAAACAGTCACTGTAACCGAATACAGTTACTCATAATTTGTACCCTGATTACGTAACGCCGGTACATGTAATCTGTTACTCCCCGACACTGGTTATATCATATTATTTTTGAATTCAAATTTTAACCTTAACCATTTAAACACAATCTACAGCTACTCAATTTATGTTTAAGAACAAAAATATTGACGAGCTACTTTAACTCTGAAACTGTGTTCAAACAGGTTTTCGTGCTGTTAAACTCTTACTATTGACCTGAAGATTAAAAGCTTAGATATAGAAATGTAGATTCACAGCTTCTTGGATAAAGTAGTCTTGTGATGTGGCTAATTTTGTTTATTCATTGTGTCCATTAAATATTGGTACAACGGTGGTTTTGTGACCCAATAGAGGTGTAATGCTTTTGTGTAATTCTATAACATTAGTGGTGATAAATGAATAAACATGGCCAACATATTATAAACAGCTCTCGATATAATTCACATTACCGGAAAAGCAATATTCTAGTCTGTGATGTCTACTTGATGTGTTTAGTATTGACTTGTCATTTTCCCCTCTCCTAAAAGCTCTCCTTAAAAGCCTTATTGACACACATGCGTTCAGACTGCACAATAATTGGCGTTGTACACAAATAAATCCAGGTTTTGACTGAAAGCTAGTTTATATTATGACATCCTTGTCCGATCTATAACCACCTCACATACACAGGCCTCTCAATGCTCTTACTGGGAGTCAAAGCATCAGATCAGTGTCTCTGGCCTGTCCTGTACAACACCAATCAATACTGTCATCAAAATAGATACGAAAACAGACACGCTCACCTCGGCTAACTTCTCTATCTGCGCTATTGTGGAAAAAGGCTTCGCTTCTGAAGAAATGTAGTGGACAAAGAGAAGAAAGGTCTGTCAGTGTAACATACAAAGCAAAATGTACAGCGACGGAAAATGGTTATACCTGGATACCTTTCAAAAGATCTATAACATTTTGTACTGATAATCGCTATGGCAACGTTACTAGTTTCTCATCATTCTGGACCCTGTGATTAGTTCAGGGGTTATTAATGCTTTTTCTGTCAGGCCACACAAAATGTTTGAACCGAGGCTGCGAATTTCTACCCAGGTTGGCGCCACCTAGTGCCTCAGCTCAATTTAATTTCTCTCCTGCAACTAGGTCAGGAATCAGAATACACTAGACGGTTCGTAAAAACCCCGAAGTGCGAGTTCGGGCATCAGCCAATCAGCGAAGAGTGATATATTCAGTGTTGTCAACGACTGAAAGAGAATAAAGAGAATGTTTGGTGAATTTTATCAAGGGTAAAGACTTTATTGTCCTTCTTCCTACGGGATTTGGGAAAAGCTTAATATACCAAAAAAAGCTTAATATGCACAAGTCATGACCAAATAGCAGCGATTGGTTAAATAAAGAAAGTACTCACCTACCATCAAGCGAACAAAATCTAAGGCTGCGAGGTCAGACAGTTTGTACGAAGTGAAACAAATTAAAACTGGCTCATGAATCAGGCAAGCGAATCTCTAACCACCAACACGCACACACCACTTTAATACTAGGCAATGTGGGTTAAGTGTTTTGCCTAAGGACACAACAGCAGTTTCAGTCACTGGCACCCCGCTGTGGCACCTGGTGTTCCCTGTGGTCTCCCATCCAAGTTCTAACCAGGCCCGGCCTTGCTTAGCTTCTGAGATCTGACGAGACCGGGCTTTGATATTTACGTGGGTGAAGTTGGTGTCACTGGTCTCGTCTCAAGACCCGCTTTTACTCTCTGGCTTTTAACACCGCGTGAGTTGTGTGGTCCTCTGTGTCTTTTATTTATTTATTTATTGGTTTTATTTATTTATTGCTATTTTATGGTTCTGCTCTTATTGTCATGGTTCATGTTTGTGGTGGTTGTATTTGCTTATTTTGGTCTTTTATGTTGACATTTGTCCTGTCTGCTTGCAGTTTTGAGTTTTACTTCCTGTTTTGATTGTTTGCCCCACCCTAATGTGTTTCATCTGTGTCTGTGTGCATTTATACCCTGTGTTCTCCTCTGCCCTTTGTTGTCAGCGTCTGCATCTTGTCTTGTCATGGCAGTTAAAATTTTTGGATTTTGGTCATTCTTCGTTATTAGCAGTTTGTCACGTAAAGTTCTTTAAAAACAAAGAAAGATCTAAAAAAATCCATAAATCCAAAAAATCCCAAATTCGAAACTGAACTGAACCATGACAAGAAACAAGACGAGTTAGTGACAATGGACCAATAAACGGCAGAGGAGAACACAGGGTATAAATAAACTCAAGTAAGTAAACTCAAAACTGCAAACAGACGGGACAAATGTCAGCATAAAAGACCAAAATAAGCAAATACAACCACTACAAACATGAACCATGACACTTATTTTATTTTACTGGTTTTATTATTTTAAGACTAGTATGATTAAATCTGTATTTTTGTTGTTATTATTATGTATTTGTGCAGCACTTTGGAAACTGTTTGTTTGTGAAATGTGCTATATAAATAAAGTGGGTTGGACTGGATTGGTCTTATGGCAAAAGAAAAAATAAAACTAGGTAGCAAAATGGGAATTATACAGTCCACAATATTGCTCATGTGCACAAAAGCAATATGTCTTGGTGGAAATGGGGATTAAACTGCCAACTTTAGTTCATTATTACAAAAACAAGAGCTCTCGTCTTTTATTGAGTGAACAGGGATTAAATCTAAATTTAGGGATTTAGAAAATATTTTTATTTCAGTTTCCATGAGTTTCATACGGAAGCCGAGAGGGGTCACACCAAACGCAAACGCCGCAACAAATACAAATGCGACGACACAACAAAAAGCCACAACACAACAAAAAAAGCCACAACGGAAATGACCGCGGGACTCTATTTTAATGCAAACGCCGCAACAAATACAAATGCCACAACACAAACACAAATTCAGATTCAGAAAACTTTATTGATCCCATAAGGCAATTCATTAGCAGCATCTCAGAGCAGTTCTCACTTCTCACACACCCAAACACAAACAAACACAAAGTGTGTCAGTCCATTGCCGTCCACCAGTGGAACTCAAAATAAAGTACAAATTGCAGTGTAAAACTTTCATAAAACTGTACCCTTAGAATTTAACAATTTAATAGCACAGGGCACAAAAGAATTAGAGAACCGGTTGGTTTTCCGTATCGGAGCATAAAACCGACGCCCTGAAGGTATCAGGATAAAATCAGGAGCCAGAGGATGGAGGGGCCGCAACACATTAAAAAGCCACAATGGAAGTAAAAGTAATTTATTGTTTTATCATTATTCGTTTCACGTTGTAGTTCTTCTTCTTCACTTGCTGCTTGATCGGTCCGTCGGAAAATAGAGTCCCGCGGTCACTTCCGTTGTGGCTTTTTGATGTGTTGTGGCTTTTTAATGTGTTGCGGCATTTGCGTTTGTGTTGTGGCATTTGTATTTGTTGCGGTGTTTGCATTAAAATAGAGTCCCGCGGTCATTTCCGTTGTGACTTTTTTTGATTTGTTGTAGCTTTTTGTTGTGTTGTCGCATTTGTTTTTGTTGCGGCGTTTGCGTTTGTTGTGACCCCTCTCGGCTTCCGTAGTTTCAGCTTCCTGTTGACTTCTTCTCTTTAAGTCGGCGAGAGATATAATATTTTCTTTATTATAAATTGCTAATCACCATGGCAACAGTCCTAATTTTTCATCATTCTAAAACTGGATTTAGACAGTTAATGTGTAAATTCTGTCACTGTCTCAACATTTTTTTGTTTTGTATAGTAGTAATGTCATTTTGTTACAGTATGTTCAATTCTTGCAGTTTTGGACTCTTTGACCCGTTTCTAACCTTCTCTTAAAACTGTCTTTTTCCCAAAACACTGTATAAATATATGCTTTCCTCTTTCTCACCTCAGTGCCAACCATCGCCCCCGGCAACGTCCAAGCTGAACCAGTCAACTCCACCACCATTCGTTTTACATGGACAGCCCCAAACCCTCAGTTCATCAACGGCATCAACCAGGGCTACAAGGTGAGTATCCGTCACCGCGGCGACCATCAGCACACCTGTCAGCGCTGAGGTTGTAGTATCAAACACGCGGCGTATCCAAGGCGCCGGGGGGCAGGAGATATTCGCCTGAACAATGTGCCATGTCCAACCATTCGTCAGTTTGAGGCACTCGTCTTTATCTCCCAAACATTTTTCAGCGGGTTTGTTATGGTGTGGGACTGTGTGCAGTGTACAGGTGATGGATGTCTTCATTATGTGGTCACTTGTATCAAATATGGTCCATTTTCAGTGTTTGTGTTTAGGTGAGTTAAATAAAAAGGCCCAGAGGGAGTCATCATGAGCAACTATGTGCTATTTAAAGCAACTCTATTTAAAGGGCCCATCTCATGCAAAATAACTCTTTTCACATTGTATCTTCTGCACATGTACAAGCATAATTTGGGTTTTATAACATCCATTACACAATAGTCATCAAATCTTACTGATTTCTTGGAGACAGTTACAGACCAGGAACTATGAAAGGCCGACCATTGCTCATCCCCCCGCCCGTCCTGAGAAAGCACAGGCTCCGCTCTCCAAACGTGACGTAGACTCTGAGTGAGCTGCCCTTCCTCCGCCCATCTCAGGGAGGGAGGGAGACAGGCACAGTGCACCCTGATAGCGGTAGGAAAAAACTTTTATTCATCATGGTGATACAGCGTGTTCAGCCGCATGTGTTGGACAATAAACACTAGTAGATTAATTTATTATATTACTTTTACGTTTACTTATTAAACTGCTACGTCAAACGTGTCGTAGGTGTATCTGCCGCATCATCGTTGTAGCAGCTTTAGTTCATTATCACGTGGGAGGGTGGCAGAAATACGCTGCAATTTGTTAAAAAAAACAACACAGAATCAATCTAAAAACCACTTCAGCGACATATACAAGGCCCACACATCACTCTTAGAAGATAAAAAGCTCTGAAAAGTTGATTTTGCATGAGATGAGGCCCTTTAACTTTGGGGAGGGTTGCTGCATGAGTCTGTGGAAATAGAAACTTAAAACCATCCAAACCAACCAACCTTCGGAACCTTCTCTATGGAGATGTTTTATGCCATAATGTGGAAGATTATAGCCAAATTAATAACATGTCAGGTTTGTGGAGATGCAAGCCCAACTACAGTCAGGATCATAGACTGTATATATAAATGGACAAAGCTAACCTGCTAGTCGCTGCGTTCCAAATAGGAAGTGAGCATGGGGGTGCTTCCAGCTCGATCGCCTCACTTTGTATTGAAAAAACTTTGTCCCTCTCTGCCACAGATCTACTAAAATAACTGGATAGATGTTGCTGCTTGTAGCTGCCTCCAGTTGACGTAGTGACACTCACTGGAACTACAGCAGGAAAAAATCCCCTTGCCTGAGAAAGGATTTTTGTCATAGAGGCAATGTAATCACAAACTGCTCGTGTTCGGCTGACAGGACACCTACAACTTTTAAAAATGTTGGATATTGTGGCGCTTTTTCCTTTTTTTAGATCATAAACTTTTTCTTTAGCTCAAAATCCTTCAAAAACGCTTTATAATCGTTAGCTCCGGCTCCGCTCTGCTCCTCTCTAGCTCCTCTGGCTCTGATTGGTCAAAGGGATCATGTGATACACAAGATCTCGCTCTGTCTATGCCCTTGTGTGCATTCGCGTGTGCCCGTGGTAGAAAAGAGAACTACTCCACATTCTCAATCGACCCACAGCCACCGGAAGTACCTCGCCGGACTAAACGTGAATCTGGAATCATGCGCCATTGAGCTTGGCCCACTGACTTGAATGGGCGGCCATTTTGAAACCCGGGGCTTGCTCTCTCCGTAACTCCTGCTGTCAGGTTCCTCAATTTGGTCAGAAAATGTTCGTATTAACCCGCTCTACGTGATCGTGGAGTTTTTATTTTGCTTATTTTGTCTGTAAGTCAAGTTCCTTTTTCTAATACAGAACTCAACTCCAAATTCCCCATAACTGCTAGCCTCGTGAGCTTCATTTGACTGGAGCCAAACTTTATGACGTCACACTCCCTTAGTCCTTCTTCCTACAGTCTATGGTCAGGACACATGTTTTTCAGTGTGATAAAAACAACCAGAATTTAAAAAAACATGCTTTTATTTCAGGCTATTTCTTGGCTTTAAGATCGCTCACCAACTTGTCTCCACGGCTAAATATGAAATTTCCCACAGTGCTTTAACTTATGCTTAACTGTTAGTGAAGGAAACTTATTTCTATATACTGGACTTACATTTTCAAGTGATGTGCTCAAAATATACCATACTCCCAAGCCCCACTTACACTACTTTACAATAGCCTTTATACACTTCCAGACTTATAAATGATTCAGAAGATAGTTGGCCAAGAAAGTTTCCACCGTCCAGACAATATTCCAGCCTCTAACTTCTCATAAAACCAGGGAATAAAAGGCCACTGGGACTTATTAGCAAAGCACCTAAATTGGTCATCCTCGGCCTGAACTCCCAGCAGTAAATACTTAGAATAACAAGCAAGATGGCTTCCTCCGAGCCCCTTTCTTCTGCGATCTGTACCGAAACTGCTCAACCGCTCACGGCCCAAAGCGTCTTCAGGGAGACCATTTCAGAAGCATAAAGCATTATAAAAACATAGTGATGTATTCAGTATTGCAAAGAAACTCCTGTGTGGTTCAGTTATGCAAGAGTGGAGAAGTATAAAAAAGTGTGGATGTTAATGTTAGAAAGAGACTAGTTTGCTCTGTTTTCGGCTGTCATTTTCGCTTGGCGGTTCATTTTCTGTCTTTTTGCTTTTCTGTTATGAGCTAAAAGCGCTTCAAAAAGTACAAAAGTTGAAGCGAAATGAAATGAAATAAAAGAAAAAATCCTTTGGGGAGTATTGATGTTCAGAAAGGCACTAAGCAAGTTTTGCAGCAGTAAACATGGCATTCTTCCAACTGAAAACGTATGTATGAAATATGTAGTGAAACCCACACTCTGATCTGTTATAATGTTGTTTTCCTCGTCACATATCTGGAGTTGTTTTATTTCATTCACACGTGTTTATCACACAAACCCTGCATATTTAATCATTGAGTCATTTACCCTCTCGAAGCCGTATTTGGAGAGATTTGTACATGTTTGAGCAATCTTTAATCACTTATTTTCAAGTTTTCACCGCCCACTGCTCTGTATTTACTTCATTCTCCAATTTTATTTTATTAATCGGTGATACACGTAGGATTCAGCAGCTTCACGTAGTCATTTTTGGTACAAATTTTTTGAAATCATGATCTGCGGCTGTCAGTGGGAGTTGAAGCGTCTTTGTTATGAAGACGTTTACGGCGATGTCTTATTTCTTTTATTAAAGGGACAGTCCGGGATTTTGGATATAGGAGCTCAGAGTGTTGGAGATGTGTGGAGACACTTTTTAAAATATTCCATCCAGTCCTTGTATTTGCAGAGGTCGCTGGTGCTAGGCTAGTGCATGTCAATGGCCATAGTTATCCTGTCACTAAAAACAGTCTTACCCACTCCACAAAACACTCGAAGCAAATCTATTGTTACACCAGACTGTCCATGTGAATGTCTGTGCCGATAGAATAATTTAAGTAGCAGCTGCATTGAGTTGTACTTCCTGATTATGGTTTCGCATCTATGTCACAAAAGCACGTCACCTGTTGTTTATGCCGCCATGTTGGAGGTCAAACTAACTATCTGGACCAATGTGTAGTATTTGTGTGCGATAAAATAAGAAGGACGCGCTGTGCGGTTTTCACTTTTGGCGGTACGGAATCCCACTGCTCCAGTCTTCACTTTCGGCGGCACGGAATCTCCCCCTCAATTTCCACCGCCCAGGGTAGCTTTTGTACTGATTTTGACCTCCATTCTACTTACCCTGGCTGTTATCATGAACAGATGTGATGGCTTGGTGATCAACAAATATCTCAAGAGCCCGCTACAAAATATTTAACCCCTGGTAACTTTTCAGTTCTTGGTTGGTGTAGGACAATGTAGAATGAATTAATTAGTTATAAATATCTGGATATTGGAGGTTGGGCACAGAGCAAGTGTCGGAATTAGGGATCTGTTCCACAACCCAGGAGGATGAGTTTAGCTTTATACCTTTCTAATGACGGCTGATCTAACGAGCTGGCATTTTCGGACAGTTTTATGTTGTTTGCGGTGTTTAAAGTAGCTATGATTACATGGTAGTAACTGAACCTTGACCAACCTTGACCTCCAGTATGGCCGGTCACGTGACTGCCACATCACACGCAAATCTTTAATAGAAAGTTTGGCAGCGGCGGACTGTTATCACTTAGCACCTATCTTACTGGCAAAGTAAAATTCCGCTGCTACTGAGAAAATAGTCCCTCAACATGCGACGATTCATGCAATGCAAGGTTAGTTTTATTTCAAACATTATTCTATCAACACAGACATTTACATCACCAGTCTGATGTAATAATAGATTTACTTTGGGTGTTTTGTGGAGTGGGTAAGACTGTTTTTAGTGGCAGGCTAACTATGGCCATTGACATGCACTAGCCTAGCACCAGTGACTCATCAATACTGAGATTTAAAATGTGCAAATTATCACAATGGTCCACTAGTGTCATAGATTAACTCTAGAGCAGTTTCAAGCATAATATGTCTTCTTTAAGTAAGTAAAGCAGGCGCGATGTATTGCTCATGAACGTCAACATCAGTTTGATTTTAGGAGAATACAAGATCAACAAGAACTTCTTTTTTGAGGTCAAGGATAACTTCATTTTGGATTACAGAAAAACATATTACCCCTTTCCTTTCAACTCGCTCACAGTTCTTTCATGCCTTCCTGTTTTGTCCGCCGCTGTTGTTGTAGCTGCTGGCCTGGGAGCCGGGGAGAGAGCAAGACGTTTCTATGGTAACGGTGAGACCCAACTTCCAGGACAGCGTACACGTGGGGTATGTGACAGGTCTCAAGAAGTTCTCCGAATACTACACCTCTGTACTCTGCTTCACCACGCCTGGAGACGGACCCCGAAGCACCCCGAAACTCCTGAGAACGCACGAAGACAGTAAGAAATTTTATTATTTTTATTTTCTATTTTTATTTTTTTATTTTTTGTCTTTTCTCTTTCATGGAGGTAAAAAGGGGAATGTCATCGCGGTCTCACATCCTGCAGGCAAGATGTTTTATTCATGCAGAGTTGTAGAACAAGCGCTAATGAACAAGTGGATTCCTAGCATCTAGCCGGGATTGCTATAATTGGGGCGCCCAGAGTTGCCTTGGAGATTATTGGTCTAAAAAAAGTCATTTACTTCAGCTTGTCATCAGCTAATTTGACTCTGCAATTATCTTGTTTTGTCTAATTTGTTCATAAATACGTCTTTAAAGTGGTGAATGAATTTATTCTAGGTTTGCGCAAGGCTGTCTACTATTTGGACAACTGCCTCCGTACTTCTCTTAAATTTATGTCGACAGAATCACCTTTTCTTTGGCTTCCAGTTTGAAACTTTGCATTTTTACTCTTATACAGTCCCTTTCTGTCTAGTTTGGGCAAGTACCTATGGTCATTTTGGTAATTAAGAGGGACTACATAACTTTTTTGATGAACCTGCCACCTGCATGTCTCCAAAGAGATATTATTGCTTTGCTTGGAATGCTCCACAGTATGGCATGACGTTTTTTTGTTTGTTGTTCGTTTGTTTTCAATTACAGGTGTTTTTGATAAAAACATGCATATCCACTCCACAGATTTGACCCGTAACATACTGTGGAAAAGTTCTGGTAAACAACAAAAGACATGCAAGTGGCACAAGTTACTAAGGGCCTGTTTATACGAGAACGTTTGTGGGTAAAAACGTCAAAATATTTTATCGGAAGTGCCTTTCGTTTAGACGGTGACGGCGTTTTTGGGCCTTAAAAATGCAAAAATCTGAAACCACCCTCCAGAGTGGAAAAGTTGAATACGCTCATCTACACTGCCCAGTATGTCATGTCATGTATGTGTTTACCTCACATACATACAATACATAGAAACAAACATATCGGATGGCATGTATACTAGGGATGGGCATGATTAATCGATAATTGATCATTAAGAATTTCATCGATTACGTTAATTTTAATCGACAAACCGAATGTAGGTTGCTGTGCGTAGCGTGACCAAACAGGGGTCTGTACATGTAGCTCTCTGCACTCAGAAGGAGTGAGACACAAGCAGTCGGTCAGTCTGCAACGTACCAAAGCACAAATGCGTATTTAACGATAATTTGTACAAGAAATTCCACGCTTTCCGTTGCGTTCGGGACAAGTGTGAGTCCATGTGCACAGTGTACAAAACAGGAACATATGTTTCGGTGTCCAGTGGGAAAAAGCTTTACCAGGTGAGAGTCGCGCAATGTCGATGACGAGTCCCCACCTCCCACCCCCCGTACGGTGTCTTGGTTTTGACAAACGCAAATATGGTCACACTAACCTGTATTCCACTGAATGTCTTTTAAGCCGACAGAAGTTGACCGCATCAGTGACACAAGAGCTGTAGTTTTATCTTCACTGAGTTTATGCAAATTAGCGATGCAGTTTTAAGTTTCGTTTCTGTGAGAGTTGCGCAAAACTGAATTAAACACATTATAATGCCAAACGGATTGATGTGGCTCTAGAGTGGTTACGGTTTATATGTCGTAAAGTTGAATTTATTTATGCAGATTAGTAGTGCAGATAGTAATAATAATGATGATCACTTTAATATAAAAACGTTAATGATTAATCGATAATCGATCGTTAATTCTTCCGACGATCGATTAAGAAAATTTCATCGAATGCCCATCCCTAATGCATACCCAATCAAATTCCACACACTTTTGCGTCACCATATGCACGCAGATTTCCTTCCGAAAACCCTCGTCTAAACAGGGAATAAAAAGTGAAGACTCGACACCACTTTTGCGTCTTCTGTTCAGACCGTCATCATATAAACGTAGCCTTAGTATATATTTAATTTAAAGTTGTTTTCTCTAGTGTAAGAGAGTTTTGTTTTGGATATTTCCTGTTCTTTGAAACCAAAATTTACCATTAAAACTATACTAAAACGTATAATTCTGAATGAAACTAACCAAACAAAAAACATTGCAGGCGTGCGTACTTTTCTGTATGGTCAATGTACATTTTGAATCTTAACTTTTCAGATTTTTTCCCAAAACATGAACTTGCTATGTCAAAGGTGTTGTTCAGAATCCTCATCACTAACACCAACTCTCCTCTTTCTTTGTCCAGCTCCGGGCCCGGTCGGACATCTTAGTTTTACAGAAATCTTGGACACGTCGCTCAAAGTCAGCTGGAGTGAGCCCAGCGAGAAGAATGGAGTTCTTACAGGTACACGCGCCATAATATACACTCCAAAAGTACAACTTACTGAGATATACGATTGTACAGGTTTAGATGTAGTAGTACTGAGATTGCTGAGAAAACACTTATTATGAAATGGTGCTTGCTGCGACCTCTCTGGCACCATTTCTTCAAGTTTTTTTTGAAAATTACTTTTGAAATGGACAAAGTTTTGGGACCAACTCAGATCACTATTGTCCACAGTGACTGTATTACAATGCTGCAGTGAGAGAGCGGCGTGGTCGGGCTATTGCCTCTTAAAGGGGAGGTTTGGGGTTCAGAGCTTTGGCCAATAAATCTACTATCATTTGAAGTACTTTTACCAACCAGTGACATTACGTAAAGATGTAAGCAAGTGCACGTAAAATGTGATCTACCTGCTAGTCTACAGTGATTTTAAAGGGACTATATTACACAAAATTGACTCTTGTGAGCTTTAAGATTTCTTAGAATGTTGATATCACCTCAAAAACATATTCAGAGTTGTGTTTTGTTTCATTCACACGTCACAGAAGTAATCCTGGTGTATCTGTTTATCTAAATATGCAGAGTTTTTGAGTTAAACATGTGTGAATGAAACAAAACACAACTCCAGGTCTGATTTTGATGAAGAAACTTCATTATCAGATAGATCAGAAAATAGTTTAATACATTATATACCATTCCTTCCATACCATTTCTAAAGTTGTATGTATACAAAATACTGCAACTACTAAAACTACTACTGCTAAGGCTATTTCTTCTACTCCTACTACTGTGACTATGACTCTAAAATTATCCTCAAAAATCATTTTCAATTTTTAATGAGCTGTTTTGGTGCATTTTTTATTCAAGTGTTATTCTCGATATTCCAAATTTGCTCATCTTCAAAACAGCATTCATAATAATATTGATATTTTGATTTGATCTGTCCACTTCTAATTACTACTACTACTACTACTACTACTACTACTACTACTACTACTACTACTACTACCAATTTTACTGGAATTTATGCAGGCTTTTTAGGCCTAGCATATGAAAAACAACCCTAAATCTGATACTACTACTACTACTACTACAACTACTACTACTACTACTACTACTACTACTACTACTACTACTACCATTTTTACTAGAACTTCTGCAGCATTTTTAGGCCTAACATATGAAAAACAACCCTAAATCTGATACTACTACTACTACTACTACTGCTACTACTACTACTACTACTACTACTACTACTACTACTACTACTACTACTACTACTACTACTACTACCAATTTTACTGGAATTTATGCAACATTTTTAGGCCTAGCATATGAAATACGACCCTAAATCTGACACTACTACTATAACTACTACTACTGCTACTACTACTACTACTACTACTACTACTACTACTACTACTACTACTACTACTACTACTACTACTACTACTACTACCAATTTTACTGGAATTTATGCAACATTTTTAGGCCTAGCATATGAAAAACGACCCTAAATCTGACACTACTACTATAACTACTACTACTACTACTACTACTACTACTACTACTACTACTACTACTACTACTACTACTATACTACTACTACTACTACTACTACCATTTTTACTGGAACTTATGCAACATGTTTTGGCCTAGCATACTGAAAACAACCTTAAATCTAACACAGAACATTTAAGAATCAATGTCTATTAATTCCACTGTCACATCTATTTACCTATAAGCCTTAAAGGTGCTCTGCGTAACATTTCTAGTGGAGGGTGATGTCTCCATGGAAATGTAATGACTTTGTTTAGAATGTTCCACAGTACAGATTAAACCTATTTATCGCGAGGGGGACGAGCAGGTTACAGCATATGGTACATTATAGGTCAGATCCGCGGAGAGTCGCTCCTATTCACAGAAGGAATTACTGTATTTTTGACCAATAGGAACACCCGTAATTAATAAAAGATAGATAGGAATGTTTAAAGCCGTACCAGGGAACATTCCAGGCACATCCTCCACCAGAAAAGTTGCGCAGTGCACCTTTAACTCACCCCACGCGTGTTTCGAAATACTTTATTGCCTCCACAGCAAAACAGTTCTATTTGTCTAGCAGGCTCACAGCTCATCCATTCCAGCAGATCTGTTTACACTTGATACTCACGTGTGATGAAATTCATAAAATAACTCTCCCAACCCAGTGCCTTCGGGCGGATGTGAGGTTCGGTGGAGCGGCCGGTAACGGTGGGGGCGTCGGGGCGTATGAGGTGCACTTTAAGCAGAGGACCAATTTGTAAGAGTGATTCTGTGTAATAGTGATGCAGAGACGGAGAGATGGAGTGGAGTAAAACACATGGTAGCAGGCCTCATCTTGTTAAGGCCTTAAAAGCTCGGGTTGTCAGGGAAAATAAACAGCCAAGTGGATGTGGTCAAAAGTGCAAATATCTCAAGTGCTTCCCGCTAAGAGACGATTTGTGTCCATAGAGGAGTAAACGTTTGTGCACGTTAAGGATTCATCTGAGCCCTTTTTTACACATAAAAAGCAGAATATTTTCAAGTGGGAATAGCTATTGTTCCACCGTGTTACTTTTATTTAATCCTCTATTGCCACTTAGTTGATGCATTTGTTAAACTGCCCCCTAGTATGTTTTTATTTACATCTGATTTTACCTCAGTTGCCCCTCCTGGATGTCCGCTCCATTTCCACTTTCTTCATCATCTCTTCATCACAAAACATAGCTGGAGTTGTGTTTTGTTTCATTCACGTATGTTTGAGTAATCCTGCATTATTAGTCTGTCTACATCTCCAAAGCTCAAAATCCTCTGTTCCACCTTGTGATGTCATGTAATGTAATGTAGAAGTTAAAAGGACAGTCCAGAATTTTGGACATAGGGCCTCATTTCCTACTGAGCCAGAGTGTTTGAAACTTGTGGAAACACTTTTTGAAATATTCCATCCAGTCCTTGTATTTGCAGAGGTCGCTGGTGCTAGGCTAGTGCATGTCAATGGCCATAGTTATCCTGACACTAAAAACAGTCTTACCTGCTCCACAAAGTACGTGAGGCAAATCTATTATTACACCAGACCGTTGATGTAAATGTCTGTGTTGGTAGAATAATTTTAGAAGTAAAATCAACCTTGCATTTGAAGGATTTATGTCTGAGCAGCAGTCAGTTGTACTTCCTGACAGAAAGCTCAGCAGCGGCGGACTGAAATATGAGAAAATAGTCCCTCAACATGCGACAATTCATGCGATGCAAGGTTAGCTTTATTTCAGATATTATTCTATCAACACAGACATTCACATGGACAGTCTGGTGTAATAATAAATTTGTTTCGGGTGTTTTGTGGAGTGGGTAAGACTGTTTTTAGTGACAGGATAACTATGGCCATTGACATGCACTAGCCTAGCACCAGCGACCTCTGCAAATACAAGGATTGGATGGAATATTTTAAAAAGTGTCTCCACACGTCTCCAACACTCTGGCTCACTAGGAAATGAGGTCTTATGTTGAAAATTCCGGACTGTCCCTTTAAAAGCTACCTTTTTGTTTATTAGAGATGGGCAATTCCAGGGCTGAGATTATCCAAATCATTCAAGTGAAGGTGTATGGAGTTTAAAAACACAGTGAAGCACTTCCTGTATTACCACATGACATCACAAGGTGGAACAGGGTGTTTTCTGTTTGAGAGAAGAGCACAGCCTAAATTTGCGGGAGTTGTGTCTTAAAAACATGTGAATGAAATAAAACACAACTCCAGGGCAACTATGTCTAAAGTACTATCTTGCCACTACTAAGTATGCAGAATAAATAAGTAATGTAGTTTTTATGCTCTTTGATGGCGTTAGATTCATGTGCACTGATTAGTATGATTGACGTCTTGAAGATTTTTGCACCAGATGCCCTTCCCACTTGACCCTATCAAATCACCCAGGCTTTGGTCGAGTTGTAACATCCTTTGTGACAGGCGAAACACGGCTGAGAAAAGACGCTCGGATCCATTGTTGACACTGGTATCCGCGTGCTTAGAGAGGTTAAGATTGTTGTCACGGAAACATACGAAAGCGCCACACGCTCCCCAGAGACCGGTGGTGCCGATGCCATGCGAAATTATCGATTTGGCAGCGAGTTTTGCCTAATGCCTTATGCAATCACATGAAAAGAGCTGCTGGCCAAGAAGCAAATGACATTAACTTTGAGAGGGTGAGTGCTCGCGTGTGGACTGGAGAAGGCGGGTGTAATCTCAGCCTGATTTCATTTGCTATATTCAATTTTTGATGAAGTTAATGTAATATTTCTGTTTCTGTGCCAGGCCAGAGTCGCATTGTGGTAACACTGCTGTCCAATTTACCTTAGAGAATAGATATGATAGTGGGAAATATTGGACGAAAAATACTCAGGTTTATTTTTGGATGTGTCATGAATGAGAATTTTGTCTGGCCAAAACTATAAACTTGCCAATGCCAAACTTAAGTACTGAAAAATATGACTAAGTACATATACTGACAGAAATACATTTCACATGAAGCTTTTGCAGTACTACTACTACTAGTAGTAATAGTAGTAGTAGTAGTAGTAGGTAGGTAGTGGTAGGTAGTAGCAGGTAGTAGCAGGTAATAGTGGGTAATAGGAGGTAGGTGGTAGTAGCAGTAGTAGTAGTAGTAGTAGGTGGTGGTAGTGGTAGTGAGTAGGGATAGTAGTGGTAGGTTGTAGTAGTACATAGTAGTACATAGTAAAAGTGTAGTGGTAGGTAGTGGCAGTATTTAATAGTGGTAAGTAGGAGGTAAGTGGTTGTGGTGGTAGTAGTAATAGTAGGTAGTAGGTAATACTAGTAGTAGTAGTAGTTAGTTGTCATCGCAGTAGTAGTAGATAGTAAATGTAAATGTATAGTAGTAAATAGTAAATATAAAATAGTAAATGTAGTAGGAGTAGTAGTAGGTAGAAGGTAATACTAGTAGTAGTAGTAGTAGTGGTAGTAGTGGTAGGGGTAGTAGGGGCAGTAGTGGTAAGTAGATAAGTAGTAGATAGTAAAAGTAGGTAGTAGGAATGGTAGTAGTGGTAGTCGTGGTAAGTAGGAAGAGGAGTTATAGTAGTAGTTGTAAGTAGTAGGTACTACTACTACTACTACTACTACTACTACTACTAGTAGTAGTAGTAGTAGTAGTAGTAGTAGGTAGTAAAAATAGGTAGTAAGAGTAGAAGTAGTAGTAGTAGTTGTAGGTAGTACGTAATACTAGTAGTAGCAGTTAGTAGTGGTAGGTAGTTGAAAGTAGTAGTAGGTAGGGGCAGGAGTAGTGGTAGTAGGTAACAGTGAATAATAGGAGGTAGGTGGTAGTGGTAGTAGTAGTAGGTGGTAGGTAATACTAGTAGTAGTAGTAGTTGTAGTAGTAGTAGTAGTAACAGATAGTAAGTAATAAGTAGTAGTAGTAGTAGTCGTAGCAGTACTAGTAGTAAAATTATTCATTATTAAAATATGGATATGTTTTACGGTAAACAGGATAGAAACAAGCACATTTTATAGTACACACATTGATACAAGTACATTTAACACTAGGAGTATTGGTTGCAGTAGTAGTATAAGTAATAGTAGTAGCAGTGGTAGTAGTAGTAGTAGTAGGAAAATTATTAATAATTATTAACAAATGGATGATTTGTACATGGAGTGATAGTACTACAACACATTCCACACTAATAGCTCACTTAGTACTTACATCACGAGTATTTGGTTTGTAGTAGTAGCAGTTGCTTCAATAATCAGATCCCAGACACTTTTGTTTAATCACTCGAGGCTGTATTGTAATAAATCTTCAGTTGAATACCCACTAATATCACTGCATCTGCTTTCTCTTTTTGTCTCTTCCAGGCTACCGTATTTCATGGGAGGAGTTCAACCGCACCAACACCAGAGTGACCCACTACATGCCCAACGTGACCCTGGAATACCGGGTCACGGGGCTCACGGCTCTCACCACCTACACCATCGAAGTGGCCGGGATGACCTCCAAAGGGCAGGGCCAGCTTTCCTCCTCCACCATCTCCTCCGGGGTCCCACCTGGTCAGTAACACCACGGGCTATTCACAAACACGGTGGAGGAATATATGAGGTTTTTGTACCAGTGGAGACTGATACACCTACTTGCATCACATCCAGGCTAAATAATTGATTCATGGTTATATTACATAGAAAGATGTGTAACTTTGATGAAAAGATTGCCAATACTACTTCAAATTGGCCTACTTACACAGCATTATTAGTATTAGTATTTTCCATCTTTTCTGGAAGATCTTGCACATGCTTTTGTCGCCATGGAGATGTTGGTTCCTGGAATGTTCCACAGTATGACCACATATATTTGTATCTATGGAGATAACAGGGATGTAACAATAACAATTTAGGCCGTACCTGAATATAAGCCGCAGGTGTCCATGTCTTCAAGAACATTTTCAAGTTTAGGCCGTCTGCTTTTATCGCCTCTGAAAGCTTATGTCGTCTTTTTGCATTGAGTCGGTTCGTCACGCTGCCGTTGCCAACGACTCATCATCGACTCATTCTGGTATCATGTCAGAGTCTCGCGTGGCGTCTCGTAGGATTTCATCAGATTTCAGGTTCTCCTGGTGCTAGGTTAGTTGTATTGATCAGGTATAAGTGAATGTCCGGCTACTGAAGTTTGAGACTTTTCTTGTCATCATTTACGCGCTCACCTGATTTAACGCATACGGATAAGACAAATCACACTTACTAATGTTCATTTAGCATCATAGCTTATTTTAACACACGGGGATAAACTATTTGAGTGTGCTGACAACAGCACTAGCTAATGTTGCATCTTCATGTGAACTCAAGATCCATGTGTTAACTGCACAGACAGCGACGTTTTCTGCACTCAGGCTACGTGTATCTGTTGTGTTGCCAAACCGTAGACTGTATATATGAATGGACAATGTGCCAAACAAATAATCCGTCCATATATTTGCCGCAATCGTTTTATTAGCCGCAGGGTTCAAGTGTGAGAAAAAAGTAGCGGTTTATAGTCCGGAAATTACTGTAGTGGTAGTTTTCACATTAACAGCTGCTTTTTACCTTTTGTTTAGCAGAGATTGGAAATTCCAAAGCTGAAAACAGCCAAATGATTCCAGCGAAGGTGTATGGACTTTACAAAACAATGGAACCCTTTCTGTATTACCACATGACATCGGAAGGTGGAACAGGTCCATTCACACTAGTACGTATTTGAGTGATTTTCGTTGTAGATGTAGTGCTTGTCCACACTAGTTCGATTGAAAACGGCTCCAGAGACAGAATGATCTGGTGCTGCAAGCTCCTACGGATTAATTTGAGTACGGATCTGATCTGGCACTGTGTGGATGCCTGAAAACGCTGAAACACTGATGTAGTTCTATGCGCCGCTAAGTAATTCACCGCCAAAACACTAAGAGGGTAGAATATGTCCATTCATATATACAGTCAATGTGTATGACCTGCAGATGTATAATCTCTGAAAAGTTTACCACGAACCATCTCCAACACGACAGAAGCACAGAACAGACTCACGACAAAGTCGTGTCCTTTAGTATGACAGAAGTTGAACTGTGTCAACGCACAAGGAGCGAGCTGTTTTTGGAGCGCTCAGTTTATGCAAATTAGCCATGCAGTTTTAAGTTCAGTTTTTGTAAAATATAAACAAATATGCTCAAACCTGTGTGGATAGGGAAGGATTGCGGACACAGAAACGACATGTCTGGACACAGATCGTTTCCGATACGGTGATTTGTTTCAGTGTAAACATAGTCTAAGAGAAGAACTCAGCCTAAATATGCAGGTCTGTGTGTTAAAAATGTGTTAATGGGACAAAACACAGCTCCAGGTTTGTTTGTGATGAGGAAACAACATTATGACTAAAAATGAGAATGTTTGACTTAATAATTTTTGTATTCATGGCTTCCAGTGTAATGTTTACTGGTGCCGCTTTGAGAGTCATCATTCAAAAGATAGAATATTTTGCTTTTAACTGTTAATTGCTATGGCACCAGAACAAATTTTTCATCACTTGCACCACAAACCCAAGTACCTCTTCACTGTTTGAGCCAAGCTTGAGTTGTAGTGGGCTACTGCATCAACTTGTGCCCTGTTTCTTTCCTCTGGATCTGATCCTGCCAAATCACAATGACATTTCCTGCTCTCTCCTTATTCCCCGGAGATATTTTATTCGTCTAACTTTTCTTCTGTGCACCTTGAAGAAGTAGACAGTTTTTTGGACTTTATGTGTCAGCCATCTTGTCTGCTTTCCCATATCCTTACAACCTATACATATAAACCCACCTTTATTGTCTATAAATCCCACTCTCTCCTCCACATGAACTGAAAAAGTCGGACATAAGGCCTTTCTAAGCACAAATATTGCTACTTTTTTATTCTTTCCTTGTGTGAAAGTGTGGCAGCCTTTTCTCAGATTTACGTCCTCTGTAGATTTATTGGGTTTTGTTGAACTTTTGTGAGGTGCTTGTAAAAATGGTCCATCGTAACCGCAGCTAACCAGGGAGCAAATACAAAAAGAACTTTACTTTTTTATTAGCGGAGAACTGCGCATATTCAAAGTCTTTTTAAAGGTGCATTGTGCAACTTTTCTGGTGGAGGATCCGGCAAATGCTTTTCTCCGTGGAGGTGTTTTTGCTTTGTCTAGAATGTTTCACAGTATGGACCAAACTAGACTAAGTTACAGGTCAGATCTGTGGAGAGGCGACGCCGCTCACAGTCAGAATGCCTGTTTTTTTTTAGGTATTTTTGAGCTATAAAACCACCTGTAATTTAATAAATGTGAAGGTAGAGCCGTTTAAAGTCATACTGTGGAACATTCCAGGCAGAGCAATGACATATCCATAGAAACAGACACCAAAAAAGTTACACAATGCACCTTTAACGCTCTTTAGCTTTTCCAGTGGATGTTCCTGCCACTTACTTGTTTCCATTGGGATGCTATGTTTGCCCAAAATGTTCCGCAATAGAGTATTAAATGTATCTATCATGTGTTTATTCAACTACAGTTTATTGATAACTAGAAAAGTTATAAAGTTGTTACCTGATTTTAACACTTTTAAAATGAGATAAACAGAACTAGTTCATTAAACAGTTTGCAGCAGACCTTTAAAAGCACATTCCTGACTTCCTAATTACTCACCATTAGTTTTATATTTTTTATAAACACTTTTCACAACTTTCGGAGGCCAGAATGTAGTTTTGCTGTCACTTCAAAGCTTGCAACAATTAGCAAGCTAACAGCATACTTCCTGTCTAAACTGCGTGCTTTATAATTACATAATGTGTACCCTATAAGAGCTTTTACAATATATCTGCACACTGGGGCAAGACATATTTTACTGTATTATATGAAAAATAATCAGGTATAGCCCCCTTAATGCAGTACTGTGGAACATTCAGGTCAAAGCAATGTATCCATGGAGACAAGAAGGTGACAGATGCTTACTAGAGAAGTTGAATAGTGCAATTTTAAAAGTCCTATATTATGTAAAATTGATGTTATAATGTTGTTACCTTCTCAAAAACAGACCTGGAGTTGTGTTTTGTTTCATTCACACATGTTTGAGTGATAATTTATTATTAATTTATCTACATCTCCAAAGCTCAAAATGCTCTGGTCCACCTTGTGATGTCATGAAGTAGTAGTTTTCAAGTTAACAGCTACCTTTTATCTTTAGTTCAGTAGGTGTTTGTGCAGTAGATGCTTTTTGCTAGTACAGTAAAATTTTTATATTATGGCTATGATTATGTTCAGATCAGGGTCAAGCTGAATCATCCATTCTAACGTAAAAGGGGGGATGCTTTGACAGTTAAAATAGATTTGACTATAAGATACTACTTTGATGTTGTTTTCATGTTTAAAAGTAAAATCACTTTCATTTAATGTCAGATATTAAGAGAAAATCTATTTACTCTGATGTTGCACTGAGGGCAAATGGTTGGGGGCCCCTCCAGGTTCGGCCGCCTACTGTTGCCTAATGGTAGCGCCGCCTCTGTTCTTATGAAGGTATGTGGAGTTTAAAAACACAGTGGACTCCTTCTTGTATTACTTTCATTACATCACAAGGTGGAACTGAACATTTTGTGTTTGAGAAAAGAACTAAACATGTAGGGTTTGTGTGTTAAACATGTGTGAATGAAACAAAACACAACTCTAGGTATATTTCTGATAGGGATGTCACAATAACTGAAATATCGTGATATCGTAGTATCATCAAAGTTCTGACAATAATCATGGACCATCACATTATATCGAATTACAAGTCTCTTTGCTTAAATGAAGAGTTATGGTGCAGCAATAGTTAAAAAAAACGACAGAGGGAACTACATAGACCATGATCCTTTGCTCCATTTCAGTGCAGACTACAAGAAGAAATAACAGTTCTAAGCACTTTTAAGTCTTAGTTCTTTGGATTAAGTCTTGTCAGGGCATTTTAAGAGGAAAAAGGAGCATATTAACAGTTTTGTTTGTTTCCCACCACAAAATATCACCCTAAATATTGTACCGTGAGGTGTATATCTTGAAAGTATCGTACCTAGAGATTTGAATATTGTTACATCTCAAATCGTGAGCTTTCCCACGATATCGTGAGCTTTCCCACGATATCGCAATTAATATCCTACCATGAGGTTCATGCCGTGACGATATCGTATCGTGAGACTTGGATATCGTTACACCCATAATTTTTGATGAGGAAACAGTATGACAGCTCAGAAAAGAATAATATGGACTTTTTAAGCAGCAATGGTTGGAACTTTGGTAATTTAATGTTTTTCTAATCTCACTGCGTTTGATTTCTTCACCTCTGACGATAAACATGCAAATTGCTCTTTAAACTTTCCCTAACAGTTCCATCCCTCCAGTCCCTTGTATATTGCGTACGAGATCACAATGCCATCCTAACTGCCATTAAACGATTAGGATGGCATTGTCAGGGGTGTTTAAACCCACGTGGCCATTCAAAACAAACGCCCAACCATCTCATTTTGTCGCACTGTACAATAGAGACAGCTCTTCCACATTAATTACACGCTCGCATCCTGTTTACATCTGTGAAACCTGCAAAATGATAGGGCCACTACCTCGCCAGCCACAGTTTGGAGTAATTACAGCTATTGTGCGCGAGCCTGCCACTGTACCCAAACAATTTAGCTAAAAGCCACCTACGTTATCAGTCATGCTAATGATTTAGAGCTAGATGTTTAACTATATTATGTACAATCTGCATTTTGTTATGTTTTGAAACCCGCGCAGTTAAGCAGCGGTGTGGAAAAAAGTGATAGCACCCACGGGAGTCGTTATAGTAAATTGGACCACATACGCAAGACGCAAACTGGCATTAATATCTGCGGTAAGGATTTATTTGAGCTATATCAGGGCACGCTTGAAGTATGGGATTTTAAGTTATTATTATTTACCTTAAGGACGGATTAAAATGAAGGATGGCGGATTTGGGACGAGAGCCGAGACGTGTAGAAATATTTGCGCAATGTTGAGAAATGGTTCGGAGTTTGGAGAAGCAATTTCCAGGTTTGTGTGTCTCCAAGGATTCTTCGTGGAGCTCATTGTTTTCAGAGCCGGAGCGTAAATAGGGAATATCAGATTGAAAGGGATCTCCGGATAACTGCAGAGTAATTGGCATTCAGTGCGTTGTCTCTGCCGGGGTAGCATGTGTACGCGTCTTTTACTTTGGGAGATAATCTACTTTTGAAGTCTCGAGTGAGCAGTACAAAAGAGCAAAATAATACAAGAGAGCTATGCACGTCTGTAGTTGGAGTATTAAAGTGTGGGCATGGTTAAAAGTTGTAATACAAAGGAATTGATTTAAGATTAAGATGAAAACAATCATAACATGGTTCCCAGATTTCAACACTGGTTTCAGTTGGAGTTGGAGTTGGATAAGTAGAAATAGTACTAGTATAGTAGATAGATATTTTAGATTTGTTTTTTGTTGTTATTGTTGTTGTTGTTTTTTCTGATTAATAGTGCATTCCCCAATTACCCCCAACTATAATAAGTTGAGAAAGTATTGAATTAAAAAAAAATTATAAACTACTACTACTACTACTAATGCTGCTACTACTACTATTACTACTAAATAAGAGTGAAAAGTTGAAGAATGTTTGATATAAAAAGATAAGATTGTTAAGTTAGAGAAGTTAAGATAGAATAATACTGTTATACCTACTACTACTACTACTACTACTACTACTTCTGCAACTACTACTACTACTACTACTACTACTACTACTGCTACTACTACTATTACTACTACTACTAAATAAGAGTGAGAAGTTGAGAAAGTATAGAATGAAAAAACAGTCAAGATATAAGTAATACTGTTATAACCACTACTACTGCTACGAGTAACGCTGCTACTACTACTGCTACTGCTGCTACTACTACTACTAAATAATAAGAGCGAGAAGTAGAGAAAGTATTGAATTTAAAAAGAAAAGTTATATGATATAAGTAATACTGTTACAACTACTACTAATACTAATGCTACTACTACCACTACTACTACTGCTGCTGCTGCTGCTACTGCTACTAAATAAGAGTGAAAATTTGAGAATGTTTGATATAAAAAGAACTGTTAAGATAGAAGTAATATTATTATACCTACTACTACTACTACTACTACTACTTCTACTTCTACTATTACTACTACTACCACCACTACTACTACTACTACTACTACTACTAATAAATAAGAGTGAGAATATTTTATATAAAAAGAACTGTTAAGATAGAAGTAATACTGTTATACCTACTACTACTATTGCTGCTACTACTACTATTGTTACTACTGCTACTATTACTACTACTACTACTGCTACTATGACTGTTAGTACTACTATTACTACAACAACCATACTACAGCTACCTCACAATTTCTACTACTACTCAAACCTGAGTAGTAGTACTCCAAAAAATATTCTATATATTTGTCTTGTCATGATGCCTGTTATCAGATATTATTTTTCCTATTTATATCACACATTTAATTACTTTTTAGAATAGAATATGTTTTCTTTTGTAATACAGTATCCTGCACAAAATATCCAAAAAATACTCTCTGTCCACTCCTAAAACACTGACTATATCTGATATGTGCATTATCAGTACCGCCACCAGGGAGCGCTGTTGTAAATACATTCCCCTGCTGCCTGAACCAGCACCAGCAGCCTCCTCTGTCTGTGCACTTCCACACAGTAGTTGAGTGTAACTTTTCCTCTGTCCTTTGTGTGACTCCAGAGCTGCCCGGACCGCCCACAAACATCGCCATCTCCAACACGGGCCCTCGCTCCGTCACCCTGCAGTTCAAACCCGGCTACGATGGCAAGACTTCCATCTCTCGCTGGCAGGTGGAGGCGCAGGTACTGGCTGCTTTGTTTTTCTTATGCAAAGTTATACTCCAGTCTGAACTCAAGTTTTGGGTTAAAGTGCATACAGTATGATGAGTTTTTTTTTTTTTTTACTTGCAGTGGTGAAACATAACCAGTGTTGGGAAGGTGACTTTTAAAATGTATTCCCCTACAGATTACAGATTACATACCCCAAAATGTAGTTTGTAACGTAATCCATTAAATTACTTAAAGTGAGTAATGTAATCTGAATACTTTGGATTACTTGATTTGCTGTAGAGAAGCAAAGACGAGGAAATCGTAACATAAGATTTTTTTTTTTGCTAAAAGAAAATAAAAAGCCCAGACTTTACTTAACCAAATTAAAAATATTATTGATAGAAGAGGAGGAGACACGTCCACGCAGCATGATTTAGTCCTGTTAAATCCTGTTTCAATCCTGGTTTTAGTCCTGGTTTAGACCTGGTTTAGACCTGGTTTTGTCTTGGTTTAGACCTAGTTTAGACCTAGTTTTAGACCTGGTTTTAGACCTGGTTTTAGTCCTGGTTTAGACCTGGTTTAGACCTGGTTTAGACCTGGTTTAGACCTGGGTTAGTCCTGGTTTAGACCTGGTTTAGTCCTGGTTTTGTCTTGGTTTAGACCTAGTTTAGACCTAGTTTAGACCTGGTTTAGACCTGGTTTTAGACCTGGTTTTAGACCTGGTTTGGACCTGGTTTTAGTCCTGGTTTAGTCTTGGTTTAGACCTAGTTAAACCTAGTTTAGACCTGGTTTTAGACCTGGTTTAGACCTGGTTTGGACCTGGTTTAGTGTCCGGCAATGAGTGGAATTACCGGGAAAAAAATGGATATTGCCCAAAATGTGAAAACAGGAAAATACCGCCGTGTAATCTATTTATTTCAACAAAGTAACTGTAATCTAATTACCACTCATGGAAACAGTAACTGTAACCGAATACAGTTACTCATAATTATTCTGATTACATAACTCCGGTACATCTAATCCATTACTCCCCAACACTGAACATAATAAAGAACTGTACTTAAGTATACATTTTAGGTATCTGTACATTACTTAAGTACATTTTAGTAAATACTTTCTTCTTCACTACATTTGAGACCAGGTACCTGTACTTTCTACTCCACTACATTTTTGAACTGGACTGAAAAGTAAACTTGACTTAACTTGAGTTCTTCTTCCAACACTGCTTGTTTATGAGGATAATAAATCTCAGTTTTACATCTCTGAAGTTACAGTTTGTGGAAAAAAGTTAAGAAGAAAAGTTCAGAAATTCAGAAAGTAGCACCAAGTTCTAAAACAGAATACCTCTGCCTTTGTCATCAATACATCAAATTCCAAACAAAATGTAAGTATGTGTATAAGCTGTCATCAATAAATCCTAATTATTGTGACATTGTGGCGTTTGTTAACATTGTAGTAGGGAGTAGTTATAAAAGTACTACATATATCACATCTGCTGCCCAAGTCCAGTCAGGAAGTACTATTATAAATTAGACTTTTTAGTTAAATCTTAAAAATGGTACCTATGTTTTAGTGAAATGAGAAATCTAATGTGTCATATGCACTTGAATATTGATTTAAATAAATAAAGATGTCAAATGTGTTTTATTTCTTTTTTTTGAAGGTGGGAGCGACAGGAGAGAATGACGAATGGGTCATGGTGCACCAGGTTTCAAATGAACCAGATGCCCGATCCTTGGTGGTCCCAGGACTCAACCCGTTCACGTTTTATAGGTAAAGTATGTGCTTGTCAATAAGGGTTAACGCAAAGTTGATCTGAGCCCAGTTTCATCTTGGTTTGGTTCTGGTTTAGTCCTGGTTTAGTCTTCGTTTAGTCTTGGTTTATTCAAGGATTAGTTCAGGTTTAAGTACTGAATTTAGTCCTAGTTTAGTCACAGTTTTGAAGTGCAAATGTGAATGCACAGAGTGAATTGGTTTAGTCCTGGTTTAGTCCTGGTTTAGTTCTGGTTTATTCCAGGTTTATTCCTGAATTTAGTCCTAGTTTAGGCCCAGTTTTGATGTGCAAATGTGAACACACATTATTAACTGTTTTAGTCCTGGATTAGTCCAGGTTTAGTCTTGGTTTAGTCCAGGTTTAGTCCAGGTTTAGTTCTGAATTTAGTCCTAGATTAGTCAGTTTTGATGTGCAAATATAAATGCACACTATGGATTGTTTTAGTCCTGGTTTAGTCCTAGTTTAGTCCAGGTTTAGTGCTGAATTTAGTCCTAGTTTAGGCCCAGTTTTGATGTGCAACTGTGAACGCACACTATTAACTGTTTTAGTCCTAGTTTAGTCTTGGTTTACACCAGGTTTAGTTCTGAATTTAATCCCAGTTTATGCCAGTTTTGATGTGGAAATGTGAACACACCCTGTGTCTTGGTTTAGTCTTTGTTTATTCCTGGCTTAGTCCAGCTTTAGTACTGAATTTAACCCAAGTTTAATCACAGTTTTGAACCCACACTATTTTTAGTTTCAGTCCTGGTTTAGTCCTGGTTTAGTCCAGGTTTAGTACTGAATTTTGTCTTAATTTAGTCACAGTTTTGATATGGAAATGTGAACGCACCCTGTGAATAGTTTTAGTCCTGGTTTAGTCCTGGTAATTTCAGGTTTACTCCCAGTTTAGTTGCATTAGTTATAATAATAATAGTCACTGAATTACCAGTCTTCTCTTTTAATGTTAATTTTATGACGTTAATTTATGTTTAGATTCTATTTGTATTGTGATTTTAATGTCTTTCTTATTCTGTAAAGCACTTTCATTTATTTTGTGTACAAACTGAATAAACTTGCTTTGCCAATTGTAGAAAAGGAAACTAGATTGCTATTTGGAGCATGTGGTGGTAGTATTATTTTATTACAAACTTAATTCTTATCTTATCACATCTTAAAACCGACCTATATTACTCAAAATTTTCATCTAACATTCTAACTTCCTTGATTAGTATGTATTTATCAGTAAACTAGAGCCTCCAAAATACCATAAAATGAATAAATACGAGCTTATATCTGCCCGCTATCAACAATATTCTCCATTTAAACCAATATACTTAGCTGGGACCGGCTCTAGCTACTTGCCAGATCTGATTAGAATAAACGCAAGGAAATTAATGAATTAGAAAATACACAGTTAAAATAGCATTACCCTATACACACTACAATTTCAGACTCCTAATAGCATTTTTCAGCATCAGCCTACTCATTACTTTTCCAATAAAGTACCAGCTAATATAAAACTGAATGAACAACTTGCCAACACAGCAGCGAGGTGTATTCCTGTAACAGTATCCCAGGAGCACTCTCACTTCTCTTCTATATTCACTACTTCCTGCGATTCCAACACAAGCATATAATGACGTGATTATTTTTACAGCAAGCGAAGGACTTTTTTTTATCTTGTAGCCGGCTGCTTGTTTTCCCAAATCAGACTGGAGATAGCGAATTAACACTACACTAAAAGCCAGTTCCCTCTAGACCAGCGCCAAGGGACTGCAACTTGTACATTTCGTTAAATCACTCTAGTCGGATTTATTCATATAAGCTCTACGCGTTCGTAACAGTTTTCAGATCCCATGTTATGATCGTAGTTCAAACCCCGTAAGCTCCATGTAAGCAGTTCTTAGACTAAAGTTGGATCTGTTGAGGTTTAAGCCACGTTATAATCAAAACATACCTGGAGTTGTGTTTTGTTTCATTCGCAGATGTTTGAGTAATCCTGCATTACAGTGGTCCCTCGTTTATCGCGGGGGTTACGTTCTAAAAATAACCCGCGACAGGTGAAATCTGCGAAGTAGTCAACTTTATACTTTACAATTATCTGTTATAATTATCTGTTTTATGGCTGTCAACACACACTCATTACACTTTTCTCACACAGGAAAGGTGCAACTCTTTTTTTATCCTTCTTAAAACTTATTGCTACTGTCGTCCTTACGTTATTTTCCTCCTTCTTTATGTAACAAACCAAAGATTCATTTATTCCATTATGGAGCCGTACAGCGCAGAGTCCTGCACGGGTCCATTTTTGGAGACCCGCACCCGCACAGTACAACACCGCACCTGCCCTTTAACCTGAGATTATATCAAACTTTTGCACTGCATACATCACAGACTGAACCAAGACTAAACCAGGACTAACCTAGGACTAACCTAGGACTGATTCCAGGTCTGAAGATGAGGACTAAACCAGGACTGAACTAGGACTAAATCGGGAGTAAAACAGGACTAAACTAGGACTAAAACAGGACTAAAACAGGACTAAAACAGGACTAAACTAGGACTAAACCAGGACTAAACTAAACTAGGACTAAAAGGACAAACTAGGACTAAACTAGGATTAAAACAGGACTAAAACAGGACTAAACTAGGACTAAAACAGGACTAAACTAGGATAAAACAGGACTAAACTAGGACTAAAACAGGACTAAACTAGGATTAAACAGGACTAAACTAGGACTAAACTAGGACTAAAACAGGACTAAACTAGGACTAAAACAGGACTAAACTAGGACTAAAACAGGACTAAACTAAAAAACAGGACTAAACTAGGACTAAAACAGGACTAAACTAGGACTAAAACAGGACTAAAACAGGACTAAACTAGGACTAAAACAGGACTAAAACAGGACTAAACTAGGACTAAACAGGACTAAAACAGGACTAAACTAAACTAGGACTAAACAGGACTAAAACAGGACTAAAACAGGACTAAAACAGGACTAAAAGGACTAAAAGGACTAAACAGGACTAAACCTAGGACTAAAACAGGACTAAAACAGGACTAAAACAGGACTAAAACAGGACTAAACCAGACTAAACAGGACTAAACCAGAACTGAAACAGGACTCACTGTCTGGACGGGCTCAGAGGGGACCGCAGGAGAAAGGACGGACTGAGAGCTCTGCACCTTACGGAGTTAAGAGCGGCAATTGCCCGATCGCGCTTTGAGGAACAACTGCTCAGTGTCCTCTCTCTTGAGATTAGTCCTGGGTTAGACCTGGTTTAGTCCTGACCCACCCATGTATAATTACTACCCGCCCGTAATACACAATACGCGTTCATACACTGTAAAAAAGCATGCAAAACTGCACACAAAAAAATCCGCAAAACAGTGATACCGCGAAAGGTGAACTGCGATATAGCGAGGGACGACTGTATTGATCTGTCCACATTACCAAAGTGTAACGCAAATTTTAGGGTTTAGGGGGCAGACTACGGCTACAGAAGCTGCATCAGAAGATTAGTTCTTTTAGGAGCCTGAGTATGAGTGAAAAATGTAGAGTTTTTGTGATGTATATTGAAATAATTTAAACAAAACACAAAATAAAACAAGAACAAAATAGACAGTTTATGGGTATAGTCTGTAATAATTCTATGATAGTTCAATCCGAGGTAGTTTAATCCAGGTTCAAGGTATATTATAGCTCGCCATCAGTTTGTCTTTTTGTTGAGTTGAAGAATGTGGTGAAGTGGAGTTAGAGATGAATCAGTCCGTACAAAAAACCTGACCTTAGAATTCCGGGAAGTAATCGTCTCCCCATGCAAGAACGCGTGTGGAGGCGCTAAGTAAGAAGGTTGTAAGATCCGTAGTTTTAAAGTTTGGTGAAATTGTTTGCCGTTGTCTTGTGACACCGTGACCTCCCAACGTAAAGGAAGTGGGGGAAATCGGGGTAGAGCGGAACTGACCCGCTACAATAAAAGCGGGTTACAAAAGTGTTTTCTGTCTGAGAGAAAAGCACAGCCTAAACCTATGTAGGATTTTTTGTTAAACATATGTGAAGGAAACAAAACATAACTCCAGGTATGTTTTTGATGAGGAAACGACATCATAACAGATTGGTAAAGAGCGTAATATGGGCGCTTTAAGACATGCCAGATTTCCACCATCTTTCGTTTTGTTTCAGGGCATTTTTCGTCATGTTTTTCCCCGTGTTATTGCAGATTCCGGATGCATCAGGTGAATATAGTTGGCAGCAGTGTTCCGAGTCAGCCCTCCAGGAAAATCCAGACGCTCCCAGCCCCACCGGATATGGCTCCCGCGAATGTGACACTGAGGACAGCCAGCGAGACGAGTCTGTGGCTGCGCTGGATGGTAAGAACACATCGTTACGAATGTATGGGCATTAAAAGTGCACACTGGAGCTTTTCTGATGGGGAGCTGCAGAGGTGGGGCCAAGTCGTTGTTTTGTAAGTGTCAGGTAAATCAAGTCCGAGTCAAGTCTCACGTCAAATACAAGCAAGTCCAAGTCGAGTCTCGAGTCACTGGCCCATAAGTCCAAGTCAAGTCCAAGTCGTCTGCTTTGAACTTCAAGTCATTTCACATCTTTAAACCAAAGCAGCTTAGATTTTTTTGTAATTTATATGACTTTTAAACCAAATTGTACTTAAATAGTCATGGTATATGAGTATTTATAAGTATTTAAGAGCTATAAAAATTTAGAAGTTTTTCCTTTTTAAATGTCTTGACATATTAAAGTGTGAATTATTACAGTCAGAATAAAAAGAATTCAGATTTAGAAGTGTTTAATAACAGTTATTTTGTCGTGTCGTCTGCACTGAAATGGAAGGATCATGTTCTATGTAGGTCCCTCTGTTTTACTGTACTGTACTGCATATACTGTATTGCAGTAGTACATTTGATGACACCATCTCACAGTACTTCAGTTACATCCAAAGTAACAAATAGAGAAGTGGGAGTATCAACTGTACAGAGAAAAGTATTTTCTAAAAAGTTATATTTTTTAGGAGAAGCATCAAGTCTTCTCAAGTCACAGGCCTCAAGTCCAAGTCGAGTCCCAAGTCTTTGTCTATTTTATCAAGTCATGTCTCAAGTCCTAAAAATAGTGACTCAAGTCTGACTCGAGTATGGCTTTGTCTGGAATGAACAGTATGGCATTAAACTTTTCTATCTTGTAGCGTTGAAAGTCGTGTATTCTTACCATAAACTGGGTTGCTTCTCCACAGATCTGACCTTTAACTTGACCTGATGGTATGACTTTGTTGTGTCTATGGAGATGGATACATTTAATGCCATACTGTGGAACTTTCCAGGCAAAGCAAAGACACATTGTCACTTCCTACATGTTACAACTGAAGCCATAGTTGCCCTTTGACTACAGTATCTGTTGATAGAAAAGTGGCAGCCAGTCTAAACGAATCACTTAAATAATCCAATGAAGTGTCTTGCCTAAGGACACAAGGTGATTATGTTAACACACAAACTCTGCATTTTTAGGTAGAGTTCTTCTTCTTCACACTAAAAACATCTTTCTTTTTTTTTCTGTGTTTTTAAAGTCCATACAACTTCACAAAAATAAATTGAGTCATTTAATTTGAATCATTTCAGTCCTGGAATTTCCAATCTCAATGAAAGGTGGCTTTTAACTTGAAAACTACCACTGCATGACATCACAAGGTAGAACAGAGCATTTTTGAGCTTTGGAGATGTAGACAGATTAATAATAAAGGGTTAATCAAACTAGGGGTGTCAAATTATCGTGTTAATTGCGATTTATTCATTACAGTCATATTTAGCGCGTTATGTTTTTTAATCGCGTTAATCTTATTTTTAATCTTTACCTTTACTGTTTCTGTACGTGAGTTCCCCTATTATAAAATCTGTTTTTATGTGTTGTTGGAACACAGTCCTGCACTGTGCAGTCCTGCTCTGCTCACTCCTGCAAAGAATTGTAGCCTAATTTTCATTTCCGTTCTCGCCGCATCTGCGATAAACCTGCACACGTCTGACCTCTGAAAACATCGCGACACAGACACAGAACAGACTCACCTTCAACATCAACATCCTCTGTCACAGAGAGAACATCTATATTCTACTGAGTTGTGTCCTTTAGGCCGACAGAAGCTGAACCGCATCAGCGCACAAGAGTGTTTTTTTTTTTTTTTTTTTCCTTCACTTAGTTTATGCAAATGAGCCATGCAGTTTGAAGTTTTGTTTCTGTGAGACTTGCACAAATCTGCATTAAACACATTATAATGTCAAACAGGCTGATGTGGCTCTAGACTGGTGATGGTTTAGATGTTGTAAAGTTGAGTTTATTTATGCAGATTAGTAATAGTAATAATAATGATGATACTTATATAAAAACGTTAATGAAAGTATGAAAATAATGTAATAATGAATTCAAATGAAAATACCTCAAGTTAAAGCTTTTCTCAGCAATTTTAGGTGAGATTAAAAAGAGATAAATTTGATTAATTAATTACAGATCATAATTAATTAATCCCTCAATTTTTTTAAGCGCTTGACAGCATTAAATCAAATGAAACAAACCACGACTCCAGGTATGTTTTTGTTGAGGTACGGTAATTATAACATGGCTTAAAGCTCACGAGAGTCAATTCCGCATAATATAGACATTTTAACAAGACAGAAATACCCCAGTTTAAACCAAAATAGATTGCTGAAAGTTTTATTATAATTGCTATGATGCCATTTGCATTTATGTGCAGCCCAATTGCAGAGTTTTACAGGTTTATTACAATACCCAGAGCAAGAATAGCATCATTGTGGGTGAGTGATAGGTGGAAAACGCCAGAGTTTGGACGGATTTTGGTGTAATTTTGGTTTAATTTTATGCCTAACATATTTTAATTCATCACATTTTCCACAGACAACTGCTTTTGTGACATCAACAAATGACAAATGATTATGGGAGCCCCAGTGTGAAATTGGGAACATATGTCAGACTCAAAATTGCTAGTCTCATGCCATTCGCTGTGACGACACGTGAATGTGGAGGGTTACAAAATTTGAGTTACCCCATATTTTACATTCATATGATCAGTTAAAATACAATGTGTGACTTTTCTGATGTAGGGTCCGTCAAATGCTTTTCTCCATGGAGGTGTTACTGCTGTGTTGGGAATGTTTCACAGTATAAGGTAAGGCAGAGCTGTATAATGTCACACTGTGGAACATTCCCAGCAGAGCAATGACATCTCCATAGAAACAAGCAGATGACCAGTGTTGGGAAGGTGACTTTTAAAATGTATTCCCCTACAGATTACAGATTACATACCCCAAAATGTAGTTTGTAACGGAATCCATTAAATTACTTAAAGTGAGTAATGTAATCTGAATACTTTGGATTACTTGATTTGCTGTAGAGAAGCAAAGACGAGGAAATCTTCACATAAGATGTTTTGTCTGCTAAAAGAAAATAAAAAGTCCAGACTTTACTCAAACCCTATTAAAAATATTATTGATAGAAGAGGAGGAGACACGTCCACGCAGCATGATTTAGTCCTGTTAAATCCTGTTTCAGTCCTGGTTTTAGTCCTGGTTTAGTTGTTTTTACACCTGGTTTAGACCTGGTTTAGACCTGGTTTAGACCTGGTTTTAGACCTGGTTTTAGTCCTGGTTTTAGACCTGGTTTTAGACCTGGTTTTAGACCTGGTTTTAGACCTGGTTTTAGTCCTGGTTTTAGACCTGGTTTTAGTCCTGGTTTTAGACCTGGTTTTAGACCTGGTTTTAGACCTGGTTTTAGACCTGGTTTAGTCCTGGTTTAGTCCTGGTTTAGATCTGGTTTGGACCTGTTTTGGACCTGGTTTAGACCTGGTTTTAGTCCTGGTTTTTAGTCCTGGTTTTTAGACCTGGTTTAGACCTGGTTTTAGACCGGGTTTTAGACCTGGTTTTAGTGTTCGGCAATGAGTGGAATTACAGAAAAAAAAGGGGAAAAAAAGGGATTTAGCCCAAAATGTGAAAACAGGAAAATACCTCTGTGTAATCCATTTATTTCATTAAAGTAACTGTAATCTAATTACCACTCATTAAAACAGTAACTGTAACTGAATACAGTTACTCATAATTTGTACTCTGATTATGTAACTCTGGTACATGTAATCTGTTACTCCCCAACACTGCAGGTGACATACTACACCTTTAAGTCGTCAAAGGTTACAAGACAGCTCTAGCTAAACAACAAGTTTTAGACTGTAAATAATGATTCACTCGGAACGTTACTGAATGTTCTTAGAAAAGACTTTTTCATCCCCAAGGGAAATTTCTTTGGTTGCAGTAGTTCAATTGTACAATAAAACAATCTGAAAACAGGAGCAAATAGAAAGGTAAAAACATGAGTAAAAAATACAGCAAAAGGGATACAAGTGCACATGGTTAACTTAACGTGAACTTGTGTGCCCTGCTATGGATTGAAAGGAGTTAATTTATGGAATAGTCTTGACAAACATATAAAGGAATCAAGTACAATGATGGCATTTTAAAAAAAACACATAAAATCAAATGCAGTGTGTTTGTATGAAAAAGAAAACTAAGCTGTTGTGCATAATAGTGAAGATTTCTGTTTGCAATTGATTAATAATTGTCCTAGAACAGAAAATTAGCCTTACAGAAAAATGTCAAAATGGGTAAGGTACAAACCCGAGGCACTCCAACTGAGTATATTAAAAGTCCTTTATTACATGAAGAGATGCCAACGTGTTTCGACCAGCAAGACCAGCAAAGTAATAAAAACAAGACACACCGGGTGTCAATAAATACAATCAATTAATCACATGACAACATCACATGACAGCAGGAAAAAGACAGCGAGCAAACCCCAAAACAAGAAAAGGTTGGCCAATTGATTAATGTAACTGAACTGTAATGTACAGATTTAAAATGTTTTAAAGTGACCATCAGTGTTGATGTTTTGTCTGGAAAAGGGAAAAGGGGGCAGATAACACAAGATGACTCTTCTTTCTGCTCCTTTTCATTCATTTCTTGTATGTTTCATGTTGTGACACTGTTAATGTCTTTTTATACTTTATGAATGAAATACATAAACTAATAAAATAAAAAAAATGAAAATATTAATCATGTAAAAAAAGGTATCAATCTGTATCAGGTCAAAAAAAAAAAAAAATAAAAAAGATTCCCTATTACATATCATAAATAGAAAAATGATATAATTTAATTGAGAATGATATGCTTACTTTAGACGGTTTGTATTTTTGAAATGTAAGATTCAAAAACACTTGTGTTGGAGACTGGAGAGTCTGACAAAGTGCTTGTACAATCATCTATAGTAAAGTCTCTATTTAGTTTTATTTAGTTTTTTGAGTGTGTTCTGTTGATTTTCGAAATAAACTTTCCGACAGCCTTTACCTGAATGGGAGTACAATGGGAACCCGGAGCTGGTGGGGTACAGGATCCAGTACTCTCGGGCGGGCTCGCCGGGTCGCGCTCTCACCCACGTGATCGCCGACCGTCTGGAGCGAGAGTTCACCATCGAGGACCTGGAGGAGTGGACCGAGTACGAGGTCAGGGTTCAGGCCATTAACGGCATCGGGACGGGACCGTGGAGCCAACCGGTCAAGGGCAGAACCAGGGAGTCAGGTGAGTCTATCTGCACCTGGGAATTCTATTTAAAGACCAGAGTTCAGTCTAAAGTTTTTCAGCTGGATGGGAGGACTATGTAATAACAGCCTTTGCATATTTTTCTCTGTTGTGGCCCAAACACGCATCTTAAAAGACCCCCGAAAAAGAACAACTCAAAAGGCAATCCTTAATTATTAACCCTCTCAGGCTCAAATACATTTTTAGTATCAGGAAAAATCTGATATTTGGGGAAAATTATAATATGGGGTAGTAATATACAATTCTGACTTTTTTATCCTTTGTAAACAAAAAAAGTATTTTGCACTTCTGGCAGGCCGTTTGCGTGTAGCCATTCTTGCACAGTCTGCATCGCTCACATTTATCAGCATGGATGGGAGAAAAGGCTCCTGAGTAAAAAAAAGCTCATATAATATGGATGTGGAGTAAGTAGGTACTTGGAATTTAGCTGTTGCAAATCTGCAACGCCTGCCTGGAGAGGGTTAAAGTTGCATTATGTAACATTTCTAGTGTGGCAGGGTATCTCCATGATGAATATATTGCCTAGTCCAGTAATGTTTCAGAGAGGCATTGAACTTACCAATCTTACACTGATGCCGAAAGTACACTGTGCGATATTTTTGATCGTTTTATTAAGCCCCAGCTCAAATTGTACGACCAAATCACAGGGTTTAAAAGTTCACAGCTCACGATTCATGTTCTCACACTATACGAACGACTTCAAAAGTGCAAAATCCTCACGAGAGGCGATTGGATTTTACACAGGTTTGATATTTCTTGCGATCTATGATTGATTGCTGATTGGGAGCTGGGCGTGAGGTATTAATCGGTTCTCATTACCCCATGTAAACTACACGAAGCACGACACATGATTAAGTGAAAAGCACGAGTGAAAAATCGTCTCAAAAAGGGCCAAAAATCGCAGCGTATACCCGGCATTATTCAATTACATGTGATCATTTATTGCTTAATGCATTTATTGAAAACCATGCATTCTTACTGGGAGCAGGGTCGCTTCTACACAGATCTGACTTGTAACTTGGTCTGGTGGGGTCACATGCTTGTCTCCACATGTCACTGGCAAACTGTGGAACATGGTAGAGCAATAATTTGTCTTCATAGAGGCAAACAGGTGGTTTAGGGTTGAATAAGTGAAAAATGTATGCTATATAAGCCCTTCTACTACTATTGCCATAAATAATCACATTTGTGTAAAGATCCGTTCAAACCACAGCATCAAAAAAACGCCCTGGACACCTCTATCTGGACGCCTTTTCCTTTGAGTTTAGATGCTCCCTCTTTGATGCCGTGGACGAACGGGAGAAAAAAATACTTGACACGCATCCAGGGCGTCCGTTGCCCTGGAAACAAATGCCATTTCCCGGTCTTTTCCTGGAAAAAAGGGAGACCAGCCTGAGAGAGTGACTTTAGTGTATTTATAACGTAAAACCATCAGCGGAGATGATCTGCTCGGAGACTGTATACATTTATACTCCGCTAATGACACACTGATGACGCCTGTTTTGTCCTGGTTTTGTCCTGATCTAGTCCTGGTCTAGTCCTGGTCTAGTCCTGGTCTAGTCCTGGCGATCAGCTCAGCGGCTGCGGTGTGTATATATTTATGCTCTGCTAATGACACACTAATGACACTGATTCAGTCCTAGTTTAGTCTTGGTTCAGTCTTGGTTTTAGTCCTGGTCCAGTCCTGGTTTAGTCTTGGTTTAGTCCTGCTTTAGTCCTAGTCCTAGTTTAGTCTTGGTTTCAGTCTTGGTTTAGTCCTGGTTTAGTCTTGGTCCTGGTCCAGTCCTAGTTCAGTCCTAGTTCAGTCTGGTTCAGTCCTTGTCTAGTTTAGTCCTGTTCAGTCTTGGTTCCTTTGGTCCAGTCCTAGTTCAGTCCTAGTTCAGTCTTGGTTTAGTCCTGTTTAGTCCAGTCCTAGTTCAGTCCTAGTTCAGTCCTGGTTCAGTCTGTCAGTCTTGTCCAGTCCTAGTTCAGTCTTGGTTCAATCTTGGTTAGTCCTGGTTTAGTCTTGGTCCAGTCCTAGTTTAGTCTTGGTTTAGTTCTGGTTTAGTCCTGGTTTAGTCTTGGTCAAGTCCTTGTTTAGTCCTGCCAGTCCTAGTTTAGTCTTGGTTTAGTCCTGGTTCAGTCCTGGTTTAGTCTTGGTTCAGTCCTGGTTTAGTCCTGGTTTAGTCTTGGTCCATTTTAAAATTAATCAAGATCACAAAAAAGTTATTTATAGTGGGTCAAAAATGGATTTGAGCTGACGTCCAAACACATCACCTATTGCTATTATATTAATATAACTTATTTGAATAAAAATTGCTTCTCTTCACCGTCCCAACTTTTCCCATCCCACTTGAGGAATACCATCCTTGAAACAAACATTTATAACTGAGCTGTTACAAATATAGCCACACCAACTCCTGAATTACCGCCAAAACTACTTTCACAGATTCTCAGAAAGTAAAAAAAACCCTCCTTATTACTTTGCTAACACCTTGACTCGTCTGAATTATTACTCATATCATTTAGACCGGCCCATATGTTTTATTCATGACTGTGAGGACCTTCACTGTGGGTTTGCTGGCTCTATTTCAACATCCCTTTTTTTTTTTTCCCCCTGGTGCCAGACGCCGCGAGTAGCAGGAATGGAGGCACTGAGGAAATTAGGAACACATGGATACCAAAGTTTGAATTCCAAGGCATTTTTTTTTTTCCTATTCGCTGCTGAAATAGTGTTATGTGGACAGGAGAGCGCCCAGGCAAAGAAAGGGACTATTCTCAAGTCATTTTTAGTACAAAACCAGACAGGGACATCAGATACTGTGCACACAAACCCGGCTACTATAGCAGTTTTCTTTAAGACCTCCTGTATGTAGCTGAGATATATTTGTATTACAATATTTTTATGTTTTATTTTTACTTGGACTTGAACATTTTAAAATTATGTCTTATTTGCCACCAATGATAAGAGTACTAGAAGTATTTTTCTCTTTAGTGGTGCATCGTGTAACTTTAATAATGCAGGGTCTGTCAAATGAGGAGATTAAACCAGACCAGAGGTTACTGGTTAGATCTGTGGAGAGGCGAACCCCGCTCACAGTCAGAATGCCTGTGTTTTTAGCCAGAAAACCACTTGTAACTGAATAAATGTAAGGTAGAATGTCCTACTGTGTAACTTTCCAGGCAGAGCAATAGCATATCCGTAGAAACAAGCATGATCCACCACCAGAAAAGTTACACAATGCGCCTTTAACACACTGTGTCTGATTTTATTGTCTTAAAAATGTGAAAAAAGCAGAAATAGTTCATTTATTTTATTTATTTCAGATTGCAGCGGTTCAAAGTTATCCCTCATTTACCTTATACATTCCTTGCATCTGTGTAAATCTCTACAATTAGTTTATACGTGCTTTAATTAGCATGCTAACACGCACTTTCTGATTATCAAACAATAAAATGCTTTTAAATTTTAATGCAGTCAGCAGCAAGGAGATATTTTGACCTCAAATACATGGGAAAGAATCTGGTACCTTGTCTTCAACTCTTCACTAAATGTGTATTTTTACTTTTCTTTCTAAAGGTGCGGCTCATATTGAGTGTATTGTAACTCTTATTGCACTTTTATGCATTTGAACCGTACCTCAATAGCACTGAAGCAACCTGTCAGGATTACATATAGCTTGAGGCTTAACCTAACCTGCATTTTATGGTTCATATGATTGATTTCGCAGAATTATTTTGACTTCTGCTTCAGTAATACACTCTGGAGTTATTGCCTTTTTCTTGCATATAGATTTCTGCAAACTTATTTTACTTCCTTCTCCTTCAAGATCACCACCGTCACAAGCAAAAACATGGCATCTGAAAGCATAACATATCTCTTCTTTGTTTACCAGTCCCCTCCTGCGGTCCGACCAACGTATCCGCCTTTGCCACTACATCCAGCAGCATCCTGGTGAGGTGGTTTGAAGTCCCCGAACCCGACAGAAACGGCCTTATCCTGGGCTATAAGGTCTGTGTCTGAAGTTTACTGCTTTTCATGTAACTTTTAATCAGTCTCAGAGATGTATGCCAATTTCTGTATTCCTTTGGAGTTGACTATAATGTGTGCGCTTTCCCTTCCAGGTGGTGTACAAAGAGAAGGATTCAGATAATGGGGTGCATTTCTGGACAGTAGAAGGGAATGCCACCCACAGCGTCCAGCTCACGGGCCTCGGAAAATACGTGCTCTATGAGATACAGGTCCAGGCTTTTACGCGGATTGGAGATGGACGACCAAGTTCCCCTCCCATACTAGAAAGGACACTGGATGATGGTAGGAGAATACAGGGTTGCGTTGATCTTATATTTAGTCAAAGATCATTGTAGCGTGGAGTATTAAAACTTTGATAAGTGCTGTATATTAGGGCTGAACGATCTGTTGTTTTGGACTGAAAATCGCGATCTCAGACAACACCATTTTGGCAGCGTCAAAGCCACGTTTTTTTTTTTTTTAAGTACTCCTGAAGCCCAATTGATGGATTTATGGGTCTGAGTCAAGGTCTATGCGAAGTAATTCAATGCCACAACGCAAGGAGGTTAAGATTTAAATCGTGTAAAGTTTAATATGAACCATCTCCAACGCGATAGAAGCACAGAACAGACTCACCATCAGCAGAACATCCCTCTGTCACAGAAAGAACACTCATATATTCCACTGAGTCGTGTCCTTTAGTCCGACAGAAGCTGAACCACATCAGGACACAAGGAGCGAGCTTGTTTCTTATAGTTTATGCAAATTAGTCATGTGGTTTTGAGTTTAGTTTCTGTAAAACGTAAACAAATGTGCGCAAAGCTGAATTAAACACATTATTAGTCAATGTGTATAGAAAGAAAGGAAAGCAGAGTACAGGAAATATGTAGAGCGGTGGTAGAGAGGACCAATCAATCTGCTGTCTGCGTCGTTTTGACACGTAGTTACGGGCCAACATCAAATCATCGGTGCAGGACTCTGGTGTGATGTAAGTTTTTGTGATGTTTGCAAATGTCCATGTGCACTGAAACTTGATCTGAAAAAAATCGTGGATGAAATCGAAATCACAATATCTGCCAAAACAATCGCAATTCAATTTTTTCTTTAAAATCGTTCAGCCCTACTATATGTATTTCATAACTAAAACATAAAGTATTGTCTATGGAAAGAAGCTTCTAAATTGGGTAACGACTGAATCAAAATCCTTTCTACTGACAGGAATCATGTCTTTAATGCTGAATAATGGAACCACTTTTGAAAGCTATCATGCAAAAAATATATATCATTTCTTATAGTCACATAGAAAATACTAAAACTCTGTGGCAGGTTTTGTTTGGATGTGGATATGTGGATAGGTCCAGTAATTACAGAGATATTAAACACAAACAAAGTTCACAAAACCATAGAATTCTGACGTGTCCTGGAGCTCAGTTTTAAACTATAACAATAATGCCTGTTTTATATTTAATTCTACTTTATAATATAGCTCTAGTATTATTGTAATGTCCAATCACCATCAGTAAGCCAATCTTTACGATAGTCCCAAGCTTCAATAAAGAGCACTGTGCTTAAAACGGTATCTACCTTAACGTAAAAATTCACTATAACAACAAAATAATGCAGTACATTTTTGTATTTGATTTAAGTGGTTGCATAAATAAGATGTGATATAGTAAATAGTTTAAATCTGTGCTTACAAAGGACTTAGTGTCTATATGTTTATGCATGGAATAATACCTCTAGAATGACAAACGTGCTGATGCGTTCATAACAGGCTCCGACATTTCTTTCAGTTTTTGATTGTCCTGTCTGCTGCTCTAACTGCCTTGTAATCATGATTCACATTATTTGATTAGTTTAAAATCTTTGACATTGTATTTTGTTTCCATTGCTAATTCTAACTCTCCCCGCACAAGCAACTATATCTCAAAACACAAAAAAGTTCTTTGCTACAACTTCATGACTTAACCATTGTCCTGGCTCTCCCTCAGTGCCTGGGCCTCCGGTGGGGATCCTGTTTCCTGAAGTGAGGACCACTTCAGTGCGTCTCATTTGGCAGTCCCCGTCTCAGCCCAATGGCATTATTCTGGGTATGTAGCTTCTACAGTCTTTTAGTATGATTTTATATTCTTAGAAGAACAGTTAGGCTCTTAAACCTCTCATGCCTGAATACTCAGAGGCTTTCTTATTGGACTTTAATACAGCCCTTGGCCCATAGGTGCAATTTGTGACGATTTACGAGCAGGGGTGAAATTATGAGGTCAATCTTGGTTTAAGCCACGGTCGGTGCTCTCACTGTTCTTTATATGGCAGATATACAGCGATTTTAAACTTTTAAAATAACATTTAACAATTAAAGTCACATACCACCTTGAGAATGCCCGTTTGAGCTCAGAGGCCGAGCAGGGTTGAGGCTGGTTTAGTATCGAATGTGAGGCTGCAGGGAACACCAGGTGACATAGTAGGACACAGCAGTGGCTTTAGGGCTAGTTAAAGTGCATAATGTTGCTGTGTCCTTAAGCAAGACACCACACCCACTTTGCCTAGTATGAAAGTGGTGTGTGTATGATTGGTGGAGATGGCTCGAGGGGCTGAGGGTGCAGACTGGCTGCCAGTCTACCCTAGGGCAGCTGTGGCTACAATAGTATTTTACTATTAAAAGTGTGGAGTGAATGAATAATGCACAAAATGTAAAATTTACTATTTTGTGCAATGATCAACGTGTGTGCTAAAATACTGTTTTGCACTAGTTGCACTTGCAGTAAATATGAAATGCATTAAATATACTGCTGCTAAAAGTACCGTAATTTTCAGACTATAAGGGGCACTTAAAATCCTTTAATTTTCTCAAAAATCAACAGTGCACCTTATAATCCGGTGCACCTTATGTATTAATTCTGCCTGTGTTTACTGATCTCGACTTTGGTAAGCTACAAAGCCGCACAGCTTAATGGATTGCCAGAGCATTACAGCTACCGTAGTCAAGAACCTCGTGGAGTAAGTCCAACAGAGGCTGACCACATCAGCGCACAAGTAGTGAGCCTTTTTTTCAGTTCTTATACTTTATGCAAATGAGCTATGTGGTTTTAAGTTTCGCTTCTGTAAAACATAAACAAATGTGCACAAAGCTGCATTAAACACATTGTTACTCAATGTATATTTGAGTTATGCCACGATCTGCCAATAGATCGTGGATGCCTGGGCTAAGGATCAGTCTCAAGTGTCGTCCGTTTGTTTCACTTAATGCACCTTATAATCCGGTGCACCTTATGTATGAAAATAGATGAGAGAATTCAACATTATTGATATTGCGCCTTATAATAGAAAAATACAGCATTATTTGACCATTACATAACTGTTTGGCCTATGTTTTAATATAACTGCCCTTTCTGTTTTGTAGATAATATTAAAAATGATACAATATTCCTTGCACCACAAATATATTATTAGTAATTTTGATGTATTTTTCTGCTATGCTAAAAACACTGATACTGAAAATACAAATACAGTTAAGTCAACATAACTTTCCCAACTCTAACTGGAGATTGATTAAATAAAGTACAATATTTTCTTTCTTTTGTGTCTCTCCTCCAGCCTACCAGATCACCTACCACCTGAACTCCACCCACAGTAACGGAGCCACGGTGGATGTTCTGAACCCCAGCGCGCGTCAGTACACCGTCACCAGCCTCAAGCCCGAGTCCGTGTACGTGTTCAGGATCACGGCACAAACCCGGAAAGGCTGGGGGGAGTCTGCAGAGGCGCTGGTGGTCACTACTGAGAAGAGAGGTAATACACTGTAATTATGAGGTAATTAGACATGATTAGCTGTTGTAGGTTTATAGCAAAGATTATGTGGTTTACTCTTAAAGGGGCCTTGTTACACTAGTTTCTGGTCTATGTTATAATGGCGTTTCCTCGACTAACTCTGTAGCATTGCACCTACATTAAACACAAGTTATAAATTGAAGAAATTATTGATTAGACTTGTGGTTTAATGGTCTTATATATTATTCACTATTCTATGATCTGTGTTATAATATTGTTTCCTCATCAAAAACATCCCTGGAGCACATGTTTCACTCACAAACCCTGCATATTTAGGCTGATTTCTCAAACTGAAAACACTCTGTTCCACCTTGTGATGTCAAGTGGTAATACAGGAAGTGCTCCACTGTGTTTTTAAACTCCATACACCTTCATCAGTACCATTTGGATGATTTTCAGCTCTGGACTTGCCAATCTCTACTGAACTAAAGTTAAAAGGTAGTTGTTAATTTGAAAACTACATACTTCTACGTAACATCACAAGGTGGAGCTGACAGACAGATTAATGCAGGATTACTCAAAAATGTGTGTGTGTGTGACTGAAATTAATGAAACAAAATGGAGGCAGTAACAACATATAACATGAATAAATCTCATAACAGTAAATTTAGGATAATATAGGACCTTTAAACTGACATTTAAGTACAGGTCAGGGCAGTGGTCTATTAGCCAGGCTGGTGCCAGATAGTGCCTCTGCTCAAATTCATTTCTCTTCAGCGACTAGGTCAGGAATCAGAATACACTAGATGGTTTGCAAGAACCCGGCCAATCAGCGAAGAGCTAAATCAACCCGAGTTGCGATAGCAGACTGTGTACACTATCCTCCTTTGGACTTCCTTTGTCAAATACAAACTTTGCATTTTTATTGCACCTTTAATAATAATACATCAGACTTATATTGCGCTTTTTTGGACACTCAAAGACGCTTTACAAACAAATAAAAGTAACACTGTAGAAAACGGGGGAATCATGCCAGTTTGAACAGGTGAGTTTTTAGATGTGATTTGAATTGCTGCAGTGAGTTCAAGTTCCTGATGACTTGTGGGAGCGAGTTCCAGAGGAAGGGGACGGCAGCGGTGAAGGCTCGGTCCCCCAAGGTCTGGTGCTTTTGGCCAGGTTATGGAGGGACTTGCAGGTCCTCGTATGTAATTTTTAATTCACAAGTTCACCTCGCAGAACGACAATGATCGTTGACAGACATGTTCACTCTCTGCTTTGTTTGCTGTTGTACCAGCAATGACTTGGACACCACTGAGCGTTCCTGTGCATTACATACGTCACGACCAAATAGCAGCGATTGGTTAAATAAAAAAAGTGCCTCCATACCGTCGAACGAACGAATCCTAATGCTGTGAGGTCAGATGAAGTGAAACCAGCTAGGCAATTACTATAGTTTAAATGTTCTCTCTTTGTACATTGACATACATTTCTTCCTAAACATTCTTAAAAGCCTGCTTTAGACCTTTGCGCAGCACTGTATTCTGATCTACACATACATAGTGATTATTTATGTGCTGTTGATGGCGCACGCAGGCGGCAGATCTGAATAAAACCCCCACTTTCAAACATCTGTAGTCTTCAGCGGTCTTAGTTCATTTTAGAGAACAATTTGATATACGCAAATGTATTTCTTAGCAGCCTCTTTGCCCCACAGGTGTTTATCAGTAACAGTCAGATGCTGTTGTGAGGATGAATCAATCCATCTGGCTCCCCCGCAGTCACGTTCAAGATTGTTTACTCTGCAACTTCCATTTTTCTTTCGCTACTTTCAATTCATCAAGATCACATTTCTGTCCACGATACGCAGACTATATGCAAATACAAGCCAAAAAGGTGCAGGTTTATATTTTGGTCTTTTTTCAGTGCAAATAATCTCTTACAAAACACTTTATTTGCCTTCAGAAGTGTTTATAGTGGGTCTTCTAAATCTTTTCCTTCGCCAAGCTTCAGTTTCATATTTTTTTGCTATCTTTTTTATTTGCATTCATTGAATTGTTTGATCTCACGGTGCCCCGCTGTTCTCATTTTTCATTTTGCTCTTATCCGACCTCCGTTACCCAGAGTTCACCTTGTTTCTATTTAACATTCTTCGTAGGTGGGTAGAGGAAGTCAAATATGTATTTAAGCATTACTAGTGTGTTGGTTGAAATTATTATTACTGTCAAGTATATGGGAAGAATATTCATTATACAAATCCTGGTTTGGTCCTGTAGGAGAGCAGTTAAATCCAGATGTAGACTTGGTTTGGTCCTGTTCTAGTCCCAGTTTAGTCCTATTTTTTATTTTATTTTTTTCCTAAACTTTATGTAAGAACAACTTCCAAATATCAGCATTGTCAGGATAAAATATTTAAATAAAGACAAAAAGCTGAGTAAAACACACACACAAAAAATAAAAAAATAAAATAAATAATAATAATAATAATAATAATAATAATAATAATAATAATAATAATAATAATAATAATAATAATAATAGTTTAGTCCTAATTTTGATGAGTTGTGTTTGCATGTTTGAAACCACCCAAAGTTATGACTTATTTTAACATGTTTTCAGTGTAGAGAGTAATTTCCAAACTACAGCAGAAAGATTTTACTGGCTTTGCAAAATTCTCAAACTTAAAAAAAAATTTCTTATGTTTGTTCCTCTTAGATTTAAGTATTCATGGGTTTCAGCAGTTTCACCTACTTCCTGTTATATGCAACTTTTTTAGGACTTTCAAAACACATTCAAAAGACAGAATATGGATTTAAATTCTTAATCACTATGGCAACTGTCCTAACATTTCATCATTCTGAAACTCATGGGTAACAATTGTCTTACACATGCGTCTAGGTTTTATTATTTATCGTTTATCTGACTCAAGTAGAGTAAGAGTGTAAGTAGACTCTATTTAATAAAATGTCTGTAACTCATTCCTTTGCTTCTCTGTATTCCGCCTAGCCCGTCCCCAGCCCACCAGTCGCCCCGGGGTGCCCCAAAAGGACGTCTCCGCTCGACAGGTGCTGTTGACGTGGGAGCCTGGCAGCGACGGTCTGTCCCCTGTCAGATACTACACCGTCCAGCTCCGAGAACTGCCCGAACACAACTGGACTGTCCACTCCGCCTCCGTCAACCACGAAGCCTCCTCCTACGTAGTCACGAAGTGAGCTGAAATAAAGATGCATTGTGTAACTTTTGTGGTGGCGGGTCCATCAAATGCTTGTCTTCATGGAGATGTTATTGCTTTGTCAGGAGTGTTTCACAGTATGGCATTAAACCTTTTTATCTTCTCTTCTTGAAGACGAAACTAGGCCAAGTTACAGGTCAGATCTGTGGAGAGGCGACCCCACTTACAGTCAGAATGCCTGTTTTTCTAGTTGTTTTTTTTTTAGCTAAAAAAACACATTTAATGGAATAAATGTAAAGTAGAGCTGTTTATTGTCATACTGTGGAACATTACATGCAGAGCAATAGAAACAAGCAGGTAACAGACCCCAAAAAGTAACTAAAATTAAAACTTTAATCTGGGTTAACTTATTTAAAACTAGCAGATCATATTTTAGCGTATCCCTCTGAATGAAGACTGACACTTAAACTGGCGATTTTTGGGTTTAATGGCAATAAATCCTCCAATCTATCATAAGAGCTAAAAGGAATACAAAATACAGTGTGTAAATATGCATTCACAAAACTCAACGCAACTTTGATTATTATTTACATTCACCTTGACAACACCAATCAACACAGATAACAGCCAGACACAAAGTTATCCAAAGGAAATATTTAAATCAATAACATACCTTTGTGCCTCTTCAGAAGGGAAGCTAAACAAAGGCATAGAAAATATCTGAAAATATATATATACACGTTTGCTCTGTGTAACGTTTTGCCGTTCTCGGTGTCAAGCTAATTAAAAGTTTTTTACACTAACTGGAAATACACCCTTCAAAATAAAACTGCTAAATGTATTGTATAGCCTCTAACCACATCAAAAAACGATTGAGCGCCCCACAATCCAGCGCGCCCCATACACGAATCCACTCAGGTGTCCCAGCACTACTTCAGTAAACTACAAAGCCGCACCACCGGCAGCGCACGCAAACACACACGGAGCAGACAGCGACCGCACAACGAAACAGACCCACAGACACACTCATCACTCCACGAGGACGAGGAACGGAACGGAGGAACGAACCGAAAAAGCAAGTGCAATGTGCCACTTCTAGACACAACTGAACAACTGAGTCACTGCGAACACGCCGACAATCCAGCGGTCCCAGACAGCACCCTCCCTACACACCACAACTGAGCAAAGCCCAGAGTCACCGTGAACGCCACAAACAAAGACCCACTGACCCATCCAACTGTTGTGTTTACTTTAAAGTCCAGTGCGGTTTATTTGTGAAAAAAACTTCGGAAATAGACCATTTAATGACAGTGCGTCTTATAATCCAGAGCGACTAATCGCCCGGAAAATACGGTAAACGTGAAAGTTAATGGTTAACAACAGAAAGTAGAGTGCAATATAAAAATAATTAAAAAATGTCACAAGAGGTTTTAACCAAGGCAAATTATACTCTGGGTTATTTACACATATTATTATTGCAATATTTGTACATTAAAAGCTAGTACTATTACCTACTAATAGAAAAAATGTACAGTAATATTGTGTGTGCTCCTCTCAGGCTGAAGCCGTTCACATCGTACCAGTTCAGAATCAAAGCCACCAACGACATCGGAGACAGCGAATACAGCGAGGAGAGTGAGGCCATCACAACTCTGCAGGATGGTAAGAAGACACACCTTAAGAAAAGTAATATGTAGTTAAAATATGTATGCTGTATAAACTCTTGGGAGATAGTACTTTGTTTGGTATTGCTAAAAGTAAACACATTATTACAGAGGGCAGCCCAGCTCAGTTGGTAGAGTGCTCATCCTCTGATCCAAAGTCTAGCTGTTCAAATCCTTCTCCTGACATAAATCTTGTTGGTGTAATGTTTAGATCCACTGATTATAGGAGGTTGATGTTTGGGTATCAGCCGTTACAGATAAATGCTGTTGTTCCTTGGGCAAGACACTTAATCCAGCGTCTGTGTACACTTGTGTATGAATGTGTGTGTGAATGAGGGATGATGATACCTTGAAAGTAGAAAAGTGAATAGAAAAGACAAAAGACTTACCTTTGTTGTTAGGTTTGCAGTTATGATGTGTCGAAGTTTACGTTCAGACTGCAGAGCTTACTCCTCATTTTGGATTTTTTCATGAAATCCGATTTTTTTGCGAGGCCGTTCACATTTCCAATTAAATGCGACTTGTATGTGAACTCCAGTGTGAACATTCAACGCCCCAAAAGTGTCCCACATGTGCATTGGAGTACACGACGACATCACACACCTAAACGCTGGGCTTGTCTCTCAAAATACAGTCCAGTTCTTTGTAAAATGGACAGGTTACACTATTATTGTATTGGCCAGATTGTATTTGGCTCACAGGCTCACTATTTTTTGTTGACTTTGGAGACAGGACCGCCTGTATCCACGCTCGCACATTTCTTTGGCAATCATTTCAAAAAACACCCGGTTCCAATAAGACCCCTCCAATTTGGCCTGAATACAGCGATCCCTCTAAATATTACTGTATTTTCCGGGCTATTAGGCGCGCTAATCCTAAACCTCTAACCCCATCAAAAAACGGTCCGCGCGCCACAATCCAGAGCGCCCTATACACGAATCCACTCGGGTGTCCCAGCACGACTTCAGTAAACTATAAAGCCGCACCACCCGCAGAACACACAAACACACACGGAGCAGACAGCGACCGCACAGCGAAAAACACCCACAGACACACTCATCACTCCACACCGACGAGGAACGGAACGAAGGAACAAAGAGAAAAAGCGAGTGCAATGTGCCACTTCTAGACACAACAGAACAACTGAGTCACTGCGAACACGCCGACAATCCAGCGGTCCCAGACAGCACCCTCCCTACACGCCACAACTGAACAAAGCCCAGAGTCACCGTGAACGCGACAAACAAAGTCCCACTGACCCATCCAACTGTTGTGTTTCCTTTAAAGTCCGGTGCAGTTTATTTGTGAAAAAAGTTCGAAAACAGACCATTTAAAGACAGTGCGCCTTATAATCCAGAGCGCCTAATAGTGCGGAAAATACGGTAATTAACTCATTAACCTCAATTTCGCTCCATCAACTAGACTAGAATATGTAACGTTTTTAGGAGCACATATCCAAGTGGACTGGGTCACATTTGAAAAAATCTGATCTGTATCATTCAGACTCTCATTCAAAGATCAGATACAGGAGCAAAAAAATCAGATTCGGGTCACTTCAGGCTGCAGTCTAAACATAGCCAAAAAGTATTACAAATGTATTATATAGTAGTCAGCACCCTAGTTTTAAACCCCTTCACGAAGCTTAAAAAATATTCTATCTTTTGTTTTTAAACACATCTTGTTGCAGTCATCATTGCATCACTATTTCTCAAAATAACTCCCTGAAAATGCTGCAATTGTTGTATTATTTGGACATCTTGACCCACCTCACCTCCGCGCCCAGGGCTCTCTCTCGCTCGCGCGGTTTATCTTTAACTTTGCAGCTCAGGACGTGGTCATTCGGCGCCCCCTCTCTGCTGGGAGGACACAACCCTTTGTTCACATCGCTGCTGGCTCGATCCAAAGGTGATGCCGTGTGATCACCATCTGCTGTTGCTGTGATACGAGAGCCTAAAACCTTTTGGCAAATCCGAGCGCTTTACCCACCGCTGTCATGGCCCGGCATAATTGTTCTTCCCAGCTGTTGTGTCTGCCTCCACTGATGGCTTTTTAAATGGTATTTTTAGATGCGTGTACAATAGGCGTAGTTGGACAGCGAGGGGACGACGCTTGTTTTGTTGGGTGAAACAATGTAGAGCTGTTTGTGTGTGTCAGCTTCTTGTTATTGGCGACATTCTGATGACTTTTTACCAACCAAACGATAGGATATTATGTTTTGAATTGTTACTATATTACATAAAACTGACTCTTGTGAGTTTTAAGCCGTGTTAGAATGTTGTTACTTCATCAAAAACATACCTGGAGTTGTATTTTTTCATTCATACACGTTGGAGTAACTCTTTATTATTGGTCTGTATCTGTAAATAATCCAAATGAAACTAAAGATTAACAATAAAGACTTACTCAAACATGTGAATGAAACAAAACACAACTCCAAGTATGTTTCTGACGAGGAAACAACATTATAACATGGCTTAAAGCTCACAAGAATCAATTCCGCATAATATAGGAGTTGACATGCATTTTGTAATTATGCATTTGTTTTGTTTTCTTTCATTTGTTGCTATAGATTTGATTTGTGTTTCTGAAGCCGGTGTCTTTGTGCCCGGGAGAGAGCCACAATGGCTGGCTCTTCTGTGTCTCTGTATTGTTTGTTTACGTACCATGAATGCCAGTGCACACGGCTGGATTAAGCGTCTTAAGTCGTGCACATTTTCCGGTCAATTTAGCTCATTTATCGCCTCCTCTTTTTATTTCCTGCAGCGCCCGACGAAGCTCCCATCATCCTCTCTGTCACGCCGCACACAACCACGTCTGTGCTGATTCGCTGGCAGGTAAGAAAAAAACAAAAAGTTATAATAATGCAAACTGACATCAACTGATATCTTTTTAGACTATGTTTATATGCACACCAAAAATCTTTGACGGATTTAAACTAGACTTAGACAAAAATTATTGAGCCACAATTACTTTTCTGGAAAATTCTGGAGATTATTGAAATACAAAAAAAAAAAAAAAAAAGAAAGACAATCTGTTAAAGAGAGTTGTTTTGTGTTTCAAATACAACAGTTAATCCAAGAAAAATCCACAAATTAACTGAGTGTTGATCAAATTAATTTTGTGTATAGACTGTAAATGTTATATGTTTTCTTCTTTCTACTTCTTTTTGATCTTAAATAAGAAAAAAAAGGTGAAATGTACATTAAGTGCACTACATACATGTATACTTATTTCTGGTGAATTGTGAATACTTTCTGGAAATAAATACGTGCAAAATGAAAAAAAAATATAATAATAATAACGACAAAAATGAATGGACATAGCTAGCCCGCTTGCTGCCAAAATCCAAACAGAAATGAGTATGGACATGAAATGGTTCCTCTGAGCTCTGGTTCCAATTCAGTTCTATTGAAAAATGTTGCCTCCTTTCTCTTCTTTTCTCTATAAATGCTGCTGTCAGCTCTTCATTCTGGTCTTACAATATTCACATTAAAACACTCTACATGATCGTGTTTTTTTATTTTTTTTATTTTGCTATTTAGTCTATAAAGTCAAAATATGAACATTAATAACTGACCAATGAGGTGCCTTCTTTCCCTGAGGTTCTCTCCTCTAGCGCTAGCAACAGGTTTGATTGACAGCTATCATGGCCCCTTAATAAGTGTCCACTCACTGCCAAACCAGAAGGAGTGACAACTCTGCTCTTGACAGAGTCCTGCACAAGATATGGGATGGGTATGGGCAAATATTTGCTGAACCTGGTGGGTGTTAATATTCTGGAATTTTACGGGCGAGTATGCGGGCTGGTAATGATTACACATGTGTGGGTCAGTACTAAATCAGGACTAAACCAGGACTAATCTTGGACTAATCTTGGAAGAGAGAGGGAGAACCTGGAGCTCATGGAACAGGGTGTCCACAAAGCACGATAGGGCTACAGCTGCCCTTACTTCTGTGGGGCACGGAGCTCTATGCCAGTCCGCCTGCGGTCACCCGACGGTCTACATGGGTGCACCTCCTAGCCTAGCTTCCAGAATTGAGCCCTGGTTCAGTTCTGGAGGTCTAAGTCTAGGTCTTGTTTTAGTCCTGGTTCAGTCCTGGAATCAGTCCTAGGTTAGTCCTGGGTTAGTCCTGGTTTAGTCCTGGTTCAGTCTGTGGCGTAGGCAGCGCAAAAGTCCAGCATTTTGAACAATGTTTCTTCTGCTCAATAAATAAAGCCTGTGAAGTGATGACAGTCGAGTCGCATCTGTGAATTCGTATTCGTACTGAAGAAAGCATAACCATTTCATTTCGTGATTTTAATTCTTGAAGTCATAACTTTTCAGTTCGTATTCTGATGGATGCTTCAGTAAAAATGCATTTAATTTGTGTGTTCTTTATCACTACAGGAGACCTCACACTCTCAAAATCAAAACTCTAATCTTTGAGTTTTCTGATTATTCTCGGTATCTCATTTTTACTGGCGAGGTAAATGTATTTATCTCGAGTAATATAAAGAGGGATGAAAAATCGGACTATAATGGTAAACTGCAGATGACACAAAATGCACTTTCACTCACATCTTCGGAGTGTAATAAAAAGTCTCGCTCCTGAATTAGCAGATCATAAAACAGAGCACTTATGGGAGCACTTGTAGAGTTATATGCATACATAGAAAACTACTTGTGTTTTCAGTCTATGAGTTGCCTCTGGGCACGCTCACAAACTAAACTAAAGGGGTTTTATTCTGTCTGACTCACTTGTGAAGAGAAGATGCGTTATTATTTTGAAGATTTATGGCCCTATTTACAGTAAAGTGCTGGCGAGTACAAACAGCACAGTACAGGAAGTGACTACAAGTGTTGTTTTGGGTCACGCAGCCTGATGTAATTAAAAGTGTTAGAGGCATATGTGCGCTGTAAGAACCATCTTTTGGAAATATATTAAATGCACTGTTTCTTGTTTCCCTTAGCGACCGTCGGAAGAGAAGATCAATGGGATTCTCCTCGGGTTTCGGATCAGATACCGCGAGCTCTTGTACGACCGTCTCCGTGGTTACTCCATTCGAAGCATCGCCACTTCCTCATCCTGGGCTGAACTTAACGGTAAGAAGAACTTTAGCACTCACCCCTCACAGCAAGAAGGTTCCAGGTTTGACTCCCAGATTGCCCAGGCTTTTCTGTTTGGACTTTATATGTTCTCCTCGTGTCTGGGTGGTTCTCCGGTTTCCCCCATCAACCCAAAACATGCACCATAAGTAAAATTTTCCAACTGAGCTAGTCCTGATCAATCATAGTTCAAGATCTGGAAATGGGTTCCAATGTTCCTGACAGGTTTTCCTACAGTGAAGGATGGGTCAAATGCAGAGAATATACTTACACACACCTCCCAAGGGATTAAAGATGCACTATGTAACCTTTCTGTTGGAGGGTCCGCCACCTTAGCCTGATTCATCAGCCGGTTTCACTTTGTGGAAACTGTCTGACCTCACAGCATTAGGTAGGCGGGTACTTTTTTTATTTAACCAATCGCTGCTATTTGGTCGTGATGTATGTAATGCGCCAAATCCCGTAGGAAGAAGGGCAATAATGTCTTTCCCCTTGATAAAATTCACCAAACATTCTCTTTGTTCCGGCTTTAAATCCTCGATCTCAGGAATCGTTGCCAACACAGAATGTATGTCTTCGTCTACATCAGGGGTGTCAAACATATGGCCCAATGGCCGGATCCGGCCCTCCAAGATCTTTAATCTGGCCCTCGGCTGATTTTTCACTAAAATATTTAAATTATATTTTCTATAAAAATATTGATAATTTTCTGCGGTGTTTAGCATAGCAGCGTCTCCAGCACTTCTGTGCGTGGCCCCTCCCACCAGAGCAGCACAAATGAAGACTTGTCTCCAAACGCTCTTAAAGGACGATCGTTTTGACAGTTGACCATGACACCCTCATCAGCAAAATGTCAAAAATAAGAAAAGTGGAGCCGAGTGCAGGATTTTACAAGAAAAATTGACTTATTCCTATTTACATACAAGTTAATGTTAAAACATTGTGTTGAAATGGCATTTTTCTTTAAAGATTCAGGTTGTTCATAATATTACAATATTTTGTAAAAGAAAGAGTTCATCAATTCAAAAAGATTTCTGTAATAGATTTGTGTTTCTCTGCACAAATATTTGAACTTATTGTTATTTTTGGGGTTTATATGACATGAGTTTTCTGATCCGGCCCCTTTGGGATCAAAGTAGGTTTGATACGGCCCCCGGACCAAAATGAGTTTAACACCCCTGGTCTATATCCATCTCAACCGCTTTGTTTACTGTTGTGCAGTACCACAAAATGGACACAGACAGGTGCTTGAGTTTGACGTCATGGCTTCACAGCTCTTCACTGATTGTCCGGTGCACGCTCTACAACTTCCAGGGTTCTTGCAAACCGTCTAATGTATTCCGATTCTTGACCTGCTCGCTGAAGAGAAAGGAAATTGAGTGGAGGCACTCGATGGCACCTACTATTGCCCCCTTTGTCTCCAAGGAAATATTACTCTTTTGCCTTTATTATTCAACAGTATGGAAATAAACTTGGTAATCACAATGGAGACAAGTTAATAGTCAGATCTATAGAGAAGCAAGCCTGCACATGGTAAGAATTAATGTTTTTAAGGTATTTTTGAGCTATAAAACACCTGTGATTGAACAAATGCAAGGGAGATATGTTTAATACCGTACTGTGGAACATTCCAGGCGAAGAAATGTACATGGAAACAAGCAAGAAGTGGACCCTTCACCTTAGAAGTTACATAGTTAACCTTTAATAAAGTGTACCTAGCTTCATCTGATTCAAATATAAAAAAAAAAAATCGTACTATTGATTGAGTCCCAAAATCAGTTGACATCTACTCATTTTTATTCATTATAGACTGTATACATCCTGTGAAGTGCAACACTAATGTCATATATTTCCATAGCGGGTTTTATCTTAGCTTTAATTAAATAGTTGAGTGTTAAATAAATCTCCCCATAGTAACGTTTAGGATGTGAGACTTTAGAAAACCCTCTCTCTTCACAGCTCCTGTAACGATATATTTTAGTGCAAATAGTCTTGTTTCAAACACTTGTGATTTGTAGAATTGCTCACTATAGTTGTAAGGGTTCATCATTGCTTATTATGATCCCTACACAGGCTCTTTATGTGTCAAGCGGCCCCATTATCTCCATCAAAGCCCAACCTTCACACAGCCTCATTCGCCTTCCACGATTTCCCCGGCGGTCCTGACACTTTTCAGCAAAACATTTCATCTTGAGATCAGTAACTGTGGGCTGCAGGCTGTTATTAGTTTTACTGGGGAGTTGTGTATCGCGGCGTGCAGTAACTGAAGCTATAATTTAGACTGTGCTTGCATCATTCGTCGCTGGAGCGGTGATTACAGCGATTGTGTGGACTTAAACAAGGATCGTAGAGCTCTTGTTAACAGTGAAGCTATAAGATCAAGTATCAAGTTACATTATAAGTGCATTTTAGAAGTTCGTATGATTCTTTTGGATGAAAGAGGGGTCTGTACAACTCTATGGGTGATTCTGTGTTTTTGCAAAAGGAATAACCAAAAACCAAATAGAAAATCCGCATTTCTTTTAGCAGTTAGGTTGATGGTTGATGAAATATTTAGTTTTATTGTAATTGTGCAAAAGTAGATGGCTACATTATCCACAGATGTGAGGACTTGCAAGTCGTGACTTGGACTCGAGTCAGACTTGAGTCACTATTTTTAGGACTTGGACTAAATGGACTTGGGACTCGACTTGGACTTGAGGCCTGTGACTTGAGAAGACTTGAGAAGCACTTTTAAATGTGAATTCTTTCCATTCTGACTGTAATGATTCACACTAAGATCTTCTCAAGACATTTAAAAAGGAAAAATTTAGTAAATTAATTTCTACAACTCTTATATAAATACTCAAATATAAATATACTATGATTTTTTTTTTTTTTAAGTACAGTTTATCTTAAAATTCATATAAATCGAAAAAATCTAAGCTCTATTTCTATTCTATTTGTTTTAAAGGCTTGAAATTAGTTGAAGCTCAAAGCAGACGACTTGGACTTGACTTGGACTTATGGGCCAGTGACTTGAGACTCGACTTGGACTTGTTGCCTGTATTTGACTTGGGACTTGACTCGGACTTGAGGTCAACGACTTGAGACTTACTTGAGACTTGCAAAACAACGACTTGGTCCCACCTCTGATTATCCATTTATTGTTTGGTATAAGTTGACCTGACTAATACACTTAAGCATTCAAAAATGGGCTATTTTTATTATCTGCTAACACATAACATATTTAGATTATCATGTAACATTTTATTCATCAAATCAATGTATTACCAATAGAAAATTCACATTTGTTGAATCCTATATTTTCTTTTAGCACTTGGGTCCAAAAATTTCCCATATTAATCTTGTTGCTTAAAGTTTCACTATGTAACTTTACTAGTGGAGGGCCCGCCACTTTTTTGTCTTCGTGGAGATGTTAGTGTTTTGCTTGGAAGAAATACATTGATAAACAATAACCGAAATATCGTGATATCGTACCGTCAGGTATCATGGTCCATCACAAACAATCGAATTATAAGTTCCATTGCTTAAATTCATGGTTTTATAGTAGCAACAGCTTATAAACATCAGGAACTACATATCCCATGATTCATTTCAGCACAGACAACATGAAGAAATATGTTTTTTACTTGAATTTTTGGGATTATGACAGAAATAATTTACACCAAAATCTTGTCAAGGTATTTTAAAAGCAAAAAGTGTTCTACAATTATATCAGCCTCTCAAAAATATCGAAATACCGTGAGATGCATATCGTTATAATATCGTACCGAGAGATTTGGATATCGTTACATCCCTAATAAACATGCATTTTTACTATGGCTCAACTCCACAGATCTGACATAAGTTTCATGCAATGCCATACATTTCCGAGGACACAAGGTGGTATCGGCTCCTCCCTCAGAAATGTTACATATTACACCTTTAGAATTCTTTTAATGAAATATTAATTGTGAAAAAAAATACCGTAATATGACCGAAAAGACGTTCAACTTTATACCAGTTATTTTTCATGTGGAAAGACCCAGTAATTACAGAGATATTAACCTTAAACCAGGTCAAAACCTCTGCATTTTGACAATTATAACTCAAATTCTACCACAGAACTCTGCCCTTTAGCGCAGTTTTACACTATGAACAGCTTTGAATGTAATTAACCTAATGTTTGTCTTTCCCAGTACATGTTATTTACAAGCTAATAACTTTCTTCTCCCTACAGCTCCTTACAGCATCCGGAATCTGAGCGATCCAACAATGACGCAACTGGAGCTGGACAGTAAGTAGCGCCACAAAGCACAAAGCACAATAGCTCTCCCAAATGAGCTGGTTTTCTGTCTGCCATATGTTGTAAGCATTGCAGAGGGAGAAACATTTGGCTGAATAAACCACAATAATGGGACCAATCTAGCAGGGCCAAGGAAAGCTGACGCACTCGGAGAATCTTGGACACTGTTTTTAGTGTAATTGTGCAAAAACAGGTGGCTACATTACCAACGTTGCCACTTTTCATATATTGTTTTTCATGTGTTGACCTTACTAATACTGTTTCATAAGCATTTAAACTCTGCATGCCAAGTATTCAATAATTATTCTACAGAAACCTTCAATTGTACACTGTGCAAATGTTAATTGTTGTATTATAGGAAAAAAATCTATATTTCAAAGGCACAAATAATAACAATAACAATGCAGTAGTGTTTATTCATTCATTCATCAGGCAATATACTGTATTTTTTGGACTATAAATTACTCCAGACTATAAATTGCATCAGCCCAAAATGTGTAATGAAGAAGAAAAAAACATATATAAGTCGGACTATAACTCATACTTTTTTAGAGAAATTTATTTGATAAAATCTCACTCCAAATCACTAAATCCATTGAATTCTTCTTCTGAGCAACTCTGCGACCTCCGGAGGTAAACAGAGTGCCGTTTCTTCGTCAGACTCAGCATCAGTTCCAGTTAGAATTATTCTGGCCTTTCTGAATCCCAACAGGATGGTTTTGGTGTCACTGAAGTCCAGACTTTGTTGATCCATCCAGTGACTTCCAGGAAAGTTGCATCCTCCCGGTGTCACAAGTTTCTCGCTCCCTCCAAACTTTCTTTCTGCTGCTCGATTACCATTTTTCGGCTACAGATTTCACTACTTGCAGCTTGTAATCTGCAAAATATGATTTTGTTTTTGGGGGCATATAAGTTTGTTTAAATTAGTACAGAAGTTATGGTGAGATTGACTGACATGATACAGACAGAACAGCGACTCTTTCTGCAGGAGACATGCGCAGTAGGGTGAAGTGACAGTGGTACAAGAGTAGTAGGAGCAGCAGATACTGACACACAAGACTAGAGCCTCTCGCAGCTCTTAGTGTGAAAATTTTAATATATATGTTGCACCAGAGTATAAGTCGCAGAAAACACCCAAACCATGAAAAAAAGTGCACTTTATAATCCGAAAAATACGGTAGGTGAAGTGTCTAATCTAAGGACACAACTACAGCAATCTCCCATCCAAGTACTAACCAGGCCCAGTCCTGCTTTGCTTTTGAGACCTGATGAGGCTTTGACAAGGAGGTTTGGAAGAAAAAATAAATACATTTACATATTTTTAATTAGTTTTCACTCGGCATATTTTCTCTTTAATTTGGTCAAAAACTTGCCCTAGTCAATACAAACAAACAACTCCCACTGTCAATATAAACATCACTGAACGGTCAGATTCACTATACTATCGTTGTGTCCTTGAGCAAAACACTCAACCCACCTCATCCCCAGTGTCTGTGTGTGCGAATGGGTGAGTGATTCCTTAACATAAAGCGCTTTGAGTCCCTTGAAGATAGAAAAGCGTTGTGTAAATGTGATTTTTGACAACATTTTGACAACTTTTCTGTTTTTGTCTACATCTTTACTTAATATAGACCCCACTCAAACACGCCACATTATTACGAAAAACTAAATCTATTCTGTTTTGTGTCATGTTATGTCTGATCTGTGTCACTGCCAAATATGAATAGAAACATATTAAACAAGGTCAAGTTAATAGTCATAATATTTAGTCTTATTTAGCTCACACACACGGCTGTATTTGGATGAAGACATAGCAGCTGGTCATATCGCTATTTTGTGTAACTAATACTCATTGGAGATGTTTTTGCCACTGAAAATGTCCTTGGTATCTTTTCTATTATGCTATACTAACACAAAACAGGAAATTACAGTCTAAGTTGCGGTCTTCGTATCTTATGACATCTTGTTTACTTTTGATGCAGAGCTGAGCAAGCACAAGCGCTATGAGATCCGGATGTCTGTGTACAACGCAGTGGGAGAAGGGCCCAACAGCCCCCCTCACGAGGTTTTCGTCGGGGAAGCAGGTACGTACAGACGAGCCCTTTTTGTAAACAGCAACATGTATCCTCAAGGTTTTTAGATATTAAAGCTATAAATACCAGCTAAATAAATGATAAGCCAAGGTTTGCATTAGGAGATAGTCTGGATCATTTCATATTGATAGGAGAGTGTTTCCCCAAAGCTTTGAAATATTCACGATTACACAACGTAAATATAAAAAGCGTATCAGAAAATGTATGTTGCATTAATTCATATACGAAACGAGACTATAAACAAGGGCTATTGTAGTAGAAAACCTTAACATCAGACATTCCCTGGTTTTCAAAATCTGAGAATCAAAATTAAAGTTGAGCTTTTCAGCCTTAAGGTCTTTTTTTTGACAAATTCTCGGGTAAAGATATATCAAATGTGGTTTTATTCTAGCCCGGTCTATGGGAGATTTTGGTAGTTAATTTGAGACATTGGATCTTGGTGTCTAAATGAAGCTAAGGCCTTGTAATTCTGCAGATATATGCCACAGGGAAAGGTGTAAATGAGAGTCAAACCCAACCTTTCCAATTGTGCCTGACTAAAAATACTTGAAAATAATAAAAAAGCATCTCCTAAACGTTTTGGAAATAGGTCGTTCCTTAATTAAAGAAGACGTATTGTGCTTTTGTCTGCTGTATAGTTACAGCCAGTGCCCAGCTTTGATCATTTTGTTATATTTTGGACATTTTTAATCACAAAACTGATCTAAAACACCTTCATAAAAGAAATAAGTCAGCAGATTGAGGTCCACTGGGAGCTGATAACATAAACGTCATCATAACAAAGTGCTGCATGCTGTCCTAATGATGGCTGTAGATCACAATAGCAATTTGTTTTTAATTTGTGCCAAAATTATAAAGCAGTGGGCATATACCTGGTGCTGAAAATGTGAATGAGAAGGGGAAACCATTATCCCCTTAACGCCTACTGTCACAAATATGATACAAATCGTTTGGATCAAGATATAAGCTGAGATAGCGGCTGCATTCCCCCACTGCTGGTTCAGTTTCTGGTTGTCACAAATTTGCAACATACCCAAATTTCTATTTATTTATTTTATTTTTTTGCTAAAGTGAAATGATTAATCTCAACTTAATTTATTATCTACTTAAAGGCAAAAAAAAACCACACTAAACTTTTTTTTTTAATATACATCTATATAAATTCAGGCGTTAAGTTGTTAAAACACAGTTAAAAGCTGTAAAAAGTTGATATCATAATAAGTCTTTTTTAAGACTTGCAAAAATATCAAAATATCAATATATTGTGAGATAAAATTTGGTGATACAGTATCGTTATGATAGGCTGCTGTATCGATATATCAGCAAGGGTGTTTTTTGGTATATTTAAGCATTTTCTTTACAATTGTGTTACTTAGTTCAATGAGGTTCATTTGGTTTTCTGATAATTTATGTTATTAGGTTCTTTTTTCACTGTCACTGAAACTGTCAGGTATGAAAACAAACTCTTGGTCTGAAAAAAGAACCTAATAACATAAATGTTGTTGCTTATTTAGGGAAAGGGGACTTGTTTATGCAACACACTTGACATATTCACTGTTTTGATGATTAAATTAGATGTATTTTATTTATCATTGCACAGGTAGTGGTTTTACAAAGAAATATTATTGTGTCATGTGTAATATATTGATTATCTCATACCTCCCCATATCGTGATAATACTGTATCATGAGTCGTGTATCATGTATCGTATTGAATAGGGATGTAACAATATCCGAAATATTGTGATATTGTTTCGTCAAAACTCTCACAGTAATATCGTGGACTGTCAGAATATATCAAATTATAAGTTCCTTTGCTTAAATGCATGGTTTTATAGTAGCAACAGCTTCTAAACATTGGAAACTACATATCCCATGATTCATTTCAGCGCAGACAACATGAAGAAATATGTTTTTGCCTTGAATTCTTGGGATTATGATGGAAATAATTCACGCCAAAATCTTGTCAAAGTATTTTAAAAGCAAAAAAGCGTCCTGTCTACAATTATATCAGCCTCTTCAAAATATCGCCATAAATATCGTACCGTGAGATGCATATCGTGATAATATCGTACCGAGAGAGTTGGATATCGTTACATCCCTTTTATTGAATCATGAGGAACCCCGTGATTCTCAGTCTTAATATATGTTTTTTTTTTCTTCTTCTTCTTCTTCTTCTTTAGTCCCCACTGCCCCGCCCCAAAACGTCGCCATCCAATCTGCCACCGCCACCCAACTGGACGTGATGTGGGACCCCCCTCCAGTGGACGCCCAGAACGGGGACATCCAAGGCTACAAGGTCCAGCTTACGTTAAACAAATGCAGACAAAATACCCAAGACGCTGCACTATAGGAATATATTGTTATCCATAAATACCACTTGGGCCCTGTGGGGACTATATTTATTTGCAAATACAATTAAGTGCACATTTTACCTTAAAACATCCGGCCCGTGCGGTTTTCCAGAGGGGCCCATAATAAAAGTCTATTACTCTAAAGCTCTTTATGGGGAATAGAGTGGAATAGCAGCACTTTGCCTTTAGGGAGACAGAAATAGGCTGGAGATTTATTGCACAACACAAGTAGCAACAGTCCCATAACATCAACATTAATATTTATTTAGTGGTACTCGGGTTTCTCCCCGTGTAGGTCTTCTACTGGGAGTTTCAGCGTAAAAACGAGACGGAGAGGTTGCGTACGCTGTTCATGCCGGAGGGAGGGGTCAAACTGAAGAACCTGACCGGGTATACCACCTACATGATCAGCGTGGCTCCGTTCAACGCGGCAGGAGACGGACCGCGCAGCCCCCCCACCAGAGGGCGCACACAACAAGCAGGTGAGTACGGTGGCAAACGCTTTAAGATTTAAATTTCCTCTCTTACACAAAATTGAGTCTTGTGAGCTTTAAGTCATGTTGGAATGCTGTTGTGTTGTCATGTTGTCATCAGAAACGTATCAGAGTTGTGTTTTGCTTTCATTTCTGTTCCATTTTGTGATGTCGTCTAGTGGTAGTTTTCAGATACAACTACCTTTTACCTTTAGTGCAGTAGAGATTGACAATTCCAGAGCTGAAATCATCCAAATGATTCTCGAGAAGGTGGATAGAGCTTTTGTATTACCACTTGAGACATCGCAAGTGTTTTCAGTTCTAACTTAGTTTTAAAAAATGGCGTAATATAGGCCCTTTAACTAATGTTTTCTTATTACTTAATAGTTAAAGCTTGGGTACCTGATTTTCAGAGAGGAGGTTGGTATTTAAATCTAATTTGTCACTAGCTTTCACAAACCCTTTGGCACATGGTTAGAATTTAGAACAGCTTTTTCAGACAGAAGGGTGAGGCGGAGTGGACCACCCTTGGGCAGCCAATCAGCTCTCATCCCAAAGTGTCAAACAGTGACTCACATTGCTCTTCCTTAGGAGTTTGCAATAGATAATAACGTGTTTTTTTTCTAATTAGATGAAGGCATTTTTGTAATAAAGTTCTGTTTTTATAATACTTTTGAGTTGACAAATGTTTGAGAAAAAGAAAAGGGGCCTGTTTTGCACTACATACCACTTTGAGCTTATGTCATGATGCTATATCCTCATTAAAAACAAGGATAATACCCTTTACTGGCATTTTGTATATATCTTTTGTGATAACTAGGGCCAGCTAAAGCTAGAAGGTGTTATCTACACACATAAATTATACTTAATAAATGATTCAATGGTATTACTCTACTTAGTGATATTACAGGAAATGCCAAGGCTAAAGTGTCCAACATAGTTTAAAGAAACTCAATAATGCATGAAATAAGACCTTTAAATGTTAAGTATATTGCCGAAGGAAGTCCTCGGTTAAAGCTGGTTGTATTACTTTATTCTTTTAAATTAGTACATTTTGTGTTTTCTTCTAAAGAGTATATTGTAAAAGCAGCACTTTGCCACAAAATTAGGCAGAAAGTAATGCATATTTTATCTTTTATCTTCAAACCCAGAAGGGAGCTGTACATGCTGGAAAATTCATGCATGGGATTATTAGAAGGCCCATAACACACCATTTTCTGATCTATGTTATGTTATGTTATGTTATGTTATGTCGTTTTCTCATCAAAAACAGACCTGGAGTTGTGTTTTGCTTAATTCACACATGTTTAACTCACAAACTCTGCATATTTAGGCTGAGTGATTCTCTCAGACTGAAAACACTCTGTTCCACCTTGTCATGCAGTAACACAGGAAGTGCTCCACTGTGCTTTACAAATCCATACACTTTAACTCAAATCATTTGGATAATTTCAGCCCTGGAAATGCCAATCTCTACTAAACAAAAGGTCAAAGGTACGACAAAGGTTTGAAAACTAGTGCTTCGTGACATCACAAGGTGGAACAGCATTTTGGGCTTTGGTAGGGTATGTTTTTGATAAGATAACAACATTATAACATGGCTAAAAAGTAAAATTTTGCATAATATAGGACGTTTAACATTATATCAAAAGGTTAGATTTCAATATTGACTTTCTTATTTCATTGTTAGAGCAAGATACAGATATCTGACATGACCTTCTGACCACAGACATCATAGAGAAAAAGTGCATTATATTTTAATTCAGGTCTTGGTGTGCGTTTGGGAATATATTTAAGTCCAAGTGAAAAATGTGTCCTCAATGGTAATGAGTTAGCAGAAGGAAGTCTAAGGAGTTGAGCAAGGGAATTAGGAAGGCAACACGACTATCTACAAGTTTCAGTATTCCCAGGCTGTGCAAAGATCCAAACGAAGCGAATATTGGTGGACTGGCAACTAGTGGGCTCAAACCGCTTCAGAATGTATTACTAGTTTTGATGAAAAATGTGATAGAAATGCCAAAATATATATAGTGAATCATTGAACTGATACAAGATGATGAAGTCTGGAGGGACAATTAAAGGGCCCGTATGTATGCTCTTTTCTGATCTGTGTTCTACAAAAAATGCCTAGAGTTGTGTTTTGTTTCATTCACACATGTTTAACACACAAACCCTGCATATGTACACTGTGGATGAAACACAACACAATTTCAGGTATGTTTTCGATGAGGTAACATTATTGTAATAAGACTTAAAGTTTACGAGAGTCATTTTTGCATACCGTATTTTTCGGACTATAAGTCACACTAGCCAAAAAATGCGTAATGAAGAAGAAAAAAACATATATAAGTCGCACTGGACTATAAGTCACACTTTTTGGGGGGAAATTGATTTTAGAAAATGAGAGACCAGGAACCGACATATTGTAATAACAACAGAACCGAGAACAACAGCCTGAACTGGCTTCTGGTATGTAAACGTAGCATATTAACATTTATTCAGATAACTATAGCATAAACAATAGAACAGAACAAGTTTACCAAACTCTCCATCTCACTCCAAATCACTAAATCCATTCAATTCTTCGTCCTCGGTGTCACTTCTGAGCAACTCCACGACCTCTGGAGGTAAACCATAGATCCATGAGGCAAAAAGAGTGTCACTTCCTCTTCTGTGTAGCTGTCATCAGACTCAGCATCAGTTCCAGTTAGAATTATTCCGGCCTTTCTGAATCCCGACAGGATGGTTTCTGTTGTTACTGAAGTCCAGGCTTTGTCCATCCATCCAGTGAATTCCAGGAAAGTTTCATGGTGCACCCTCCTGGTTACCGTGAAGCTGTGTTCTCCATCCCCGCTTTCCCCCAGTCCCTCACAAGTTTCTTTCTCACTCCAAACTTTCTTTCTGCTGCTCGATTACCCTTTTCAGCTGCAGATTTTACTACTTGCAGCAGGACAGTGGCTCTTTCTGCAGGAGACATGTGCAGTAGAGTGAAGTGACAGTACAGGAGTAACAGGAGCAGCAGATACTGACACACAAGACTAGAGCCTCTCACAGCTGTCAGTGTGAACATTTTAATATATAAGTCGCACCGGAGTATAAGTCGCAGGAAACACCCAAACCATGAAAAAAAGTGCCACTTTTAGTCCAAAAAATACGGTAATATAGGATCTTTAAACTAATGCATGATTTCTGAAATTAAATGATACAAGGGAGCATAAACAGATAAGTAACCTCCTCAGATGTGGTATTTCTAACACTATATTTATGCACTTCTCATGCGTGTGTGTTTGGAGAACCCTTCGCGTTTTAGTGGGAGGGAAAGACGAGGATAATTTTTGTTGTCAGTGTGCCAAATGACGTTAGAGAAACCGCGTGGTGCGCCGCTCTCCAATCAGCAAATCCCTCACTCAGCCTCATGTTGAGTTTGAAAAATGGACAGAAAAGTAGTGTTTAGGTTATGTAAGGATGCTTTGTTTTGGTGCTGTAAAGAGGAGGAAGGAAGCCAATGACCCATGATTGAATAAGCGTAAACAGAAACTTGGCCCGTCTTAAAAGCTCGAGACAAATAACTATTGTCCAGTCTCTTGCACAATGTGTTTTAAACAGAAAAGTGAAAGAAGTGATATCACATGTTGGATTGTTGTTTACGCTGCAGAAAGTAATATCTAAATAAACACAAATTCCTCAAATTAAGAAGATTTGACTTGATTTGAGTTGATATAATTTAACGAGTAAAATTATCTACTCATGGAATAAGTATTTTTTTTTCTTTAATTCAAACAACATGCACTTTATTTTCTTATTTTAAGTACAAAGAGTTGTTGTTTTTTCTTATCTTCACTAAACTAGATGTATTTTTCTATTACAACTTTAGTTTTTTTGTAGTGGGCGTTACTTGGTGACCTCATTTCAACTGGCCCAAAGTTAAAGTTGTATTGTGGAATTTTTCTGGTGAAGGGTGCAAGACTATGACATTGAATGAAACCATCTGATAGGTTACTTGATTAACATATTAATTATATAACATTGTTTACTTTTCGTATGATGCACACTGCAAAAACCAAATAGCACATTTTTATAAGAAGGGGTCAAAAAGGGTCAGAAGTTGCGTAAATGTTTTATGAATTCTTTCCAAAAACACACAGAAGTCTGGGCAGGTCCAGAATAAGTGAGAGGTGGTTTCATTTTTCAGTTTGTGTCCATTGTTCTTTTAAGATGATTGTTTAATGTAGAAGTTTGTAGCAGATTTCCCTTTGCTTGTTGGTGATGAGATATTTGTGAGGTCATGTCCAAACATTTTTCCATGAAATATTGTCAATAGAGTCCGGCAGAGCACGAGTAGCGCTCCGTTTGAGAGGTGCACTTGTGGTGATAGTCGCTCTTTTTTATAAGACAAGTTTAATTGAAGATGAAGCCAAGTAAGTTCCTTTTGAAAAGTTTGTCAAAGTTTGGTGCAGCGTCTTCACTCACGCCTGCTCAAGCCGACATCTTCAGGTGCGGCCCTGTCCTGCCGCTTCCCCAGTTTAGGCTCCTGGCTCCACTAATGACATCACTCTGTTATAACCCTGTCGTCATATCACTGAATACATCTCAGAACGTCTAATAAACAAAATGTGATCTAAAATGTGTTCAATTAATACTATTGTGTTTGGAAAAATATCAGAATAGATTTATATTTTTGTTTATTAAAATAAAATGGCAAATATTGGTAGGGGCTTTTTTGTCTTCCCAAAATCTTGGTTGTGACATGTCCCCACCGTCCCCATGCAAACTTACACACTTGACCACGAGAGTTATTGGTCAGATCTATGGAAAGGTGACCAATGCTCATAGAAATAATGCATATTTTTGTGTTTTGCTGTGTGTTTTGGCCATAAAAAATTTGAATTACATGTCCTTTAAGGCATGCAGATAGTGGACCCTCTTCTAGAAAAGTTCACATTATAACTTTAAATAATAAGAATTAAACATCAAGCTGAAATATCAAAACTTGTAGTGCTTTATTTGCCATTAAACGCACACCTTGTACAACTTCAACTCACATCACTGAACTACTATTCTATTCTTGTTTCAGATTTTTTATTTTTTTTTTTTAATTTTTGTGATTATTCTTAAGTGAACTTCCCTAAGAATCTCTCCCCGATATTGCAATGATACAGAATCTTCAATATCATTTTCATAATCTTGGGTATCAAAATTCCTATATATATTTTCTATTTACGTGTTCTCTTTTTTATTTAGATCTGTTTATGATTGATTGTGTGTTATGTTTTTGTAATGGACATTTGTGCATTTTATCTTTTTTATTAATCTGTAGAGCACCTTTTGAGCTGATCTCTGTAAAAGACGCTCTATAAATCCTGTAAACGTTACTTTTTACTTACAAACAAGCTTAAACTCAAGGGTAACTCTAATGTATGAATATTGGTCTGTTATTGACCAATGACACTGTTTGATTTTCTAACTTTCTGTTGGTGAAATCAACAGTTTTGTGAAGCCCTGTGAGGTGACTGCTACTGGAACTTTGGGCTACACAAAATAAATTGAATTGAATTGGCTGGGATTTTTGTCAAAGTCACAAACTTGGTCTTTCAGCAAAAAACTTTTTAAACTCCCTGTTAAATCGAATGCTGTGAAGTTATTATATTGAACGGACAGTGACCTGCGCTTGGCCTTGCGGAGTCCATCAAACTGCTGAATTGTGACTTCTTTTGAAAATCTTTGTGACATTGTGGCTGTTGTGTTGTAGCTCCCAGTGCCCCCAGCTTCATTCACTTCAGTGAGCTGACCACCACCTCGGTCAACGTGTCCTGGGGAGAGCCCACCTACCCCAACGGCATCATCGAGGGCTACCGGCTCATCTACGAGCCCTCCACCCCCATAGAAGGTACCCCCACATGTGCATGAAAGGTTTTCTTTTGCCACAGATCTATGGAGTTTAATAATATTTGATAATACTGATACTGATACTGATACTGATGCCAATACTAATGATATAAGAGTCTAAATATAGTCTGTATGATCTAAAAAATAAGTACTGCTTTACATTGACTACAAATTAATTAGACTTATTAAAGCATGAAATAAGACTTAATTCATAATGAACTTTTTTTTTAACAATGAGGTTCAGGTTTAGTAACTACTTAATTAACACCCCAGTACCCCATTCCCCATTCTTGCATAAACGACTAAAATAAAATTTTTTTTCATTATGGATTCCAATTCTTTAAACATGAATTCTGCTTGTTTCCATGGAAATGTTGTTCCTCTGGCTATAAAATTCTAGCCTAGTCTGGCGCCACCCAGTGCCTCCACTTAATTTCATTTCTCCCAGCGACTATGTCAGGAATCAGAATACAGTAGATGGTTCACAAAAACCCCGAAGTGCAATTCTGGGCACCAGCCAATCAACGAAGAGACATACATTCTGTGTTGTCAACGATTCCCGAGATCGAGAATTTAAAGCCGAAACAAAGAGAATGTTTGGTGAATTTTATAGAGGGGAAAGACGTTATTGCCCTTCTTCCACGGGATTTGGAAAAAGCTTAATATACCAGTTAGCCCCGTTAGTGGCACATTACATAAGTCACGACCAAATAGCAGCGATTGGTTAAATGATAAGAAGTACCCGCCTACTGTCGAGCGAACGAATCCCAACACTGCGAGGTCAGACGGTTTCTATGAAGTGAAACCGGCTGAAGAATCAGGCTAATAAAATTTTACAGTATGGCCTGAAATGTACCTATCTCCATGGAGAATGAAATATGGTCTTAACTTTCTATTTCCATCGACTCATGCTTTCTAATCGGACTTTCCACCCCCAGAAAGTTACATACTATCACTTTAAGATTAAGGTTAGTAATTTGTCATTAAGTTACTAAGCTTTAATCATCAAAAAAAAAAAAAAAAAAAAAAAAAACTCCTCTGTTTGGTGCAGGACTTATTCAGCTCAGTGCAGTATAAATCCTAATGTCTCAGACCAGTACCATTAAATTAAAAATGAATTAAAAATGCTGGGTAGGAGTGGAAACGTCTTGATTTGATATTCAGATGACTACCTCTGAAAGCTTTCTACCATGCCCCGGTTAATAAGATCTTCTCCATTATGATATATTTGTCCAGACTCTTCAGTGGGCTGTGGAGACTGTCTGCACTCCCCCTCGCCTCCAGGGGTCAGTAAAACGGTGACGGTGGACGTGAAGGGGACCGGCCCACTGTGGCTCAAACTCAAAGACCTGGCAGAAGGGGTCACCTACAACTTCAGGATCAGGGCCAAAACCTTCATCTACGGACCTGAGGTGGAAGCCAACATCACCACGGGCCCAGGAGAAGGTACTCTTTTTACAGTTACTCCATTAAAGTTGGACTAAGGAACTTTTCTGGAACAGGTCCTGCTGTCTGGTTGTCTTCACTGAGGAGATGTTATTGTGTTGCCTGTAGGTTACACAGTATTACTAAAGGACTAAAGTCCACTAAACCAGGACTAAAACCAGGTCTAAACCAGGACTAAATCCAGGTCTAAACTAGGTCTAAACCAGGTCTAAAACTAGGTGTAAACCAGGACTAAACTAGGACTAAAACCAGGTCTAAACTGGGACTAAACCAAACCAGGACTAAACCAGGTCTAAAACCAGATCTAAACCAAGCGTAAACCAGGATTAAAACCAGGTCTAATCCAGGTCTAAACCAGGACTAAACCAAGACTAAACCAGGAGTAAACCAGGACTAAACCAGGAGTAAACCAGGGCTAAAACCAGGACTAAACCAGGACTAAACCAGGGCTAAAACCAGGAAAACTAAACCAGAAATAAACCAGGAGGAAACCAGGGCTAAAACCAGGACTAAACCAGGACTAAACCAGGACTAAAACATTATATACATATATATTTATATTATATTAAATTTATATTATATTTTTGTATTACACATTACCGTATGTCAAAGCAAAATTATTATGATGGCCCAGTTTTCCAACTTTAGTCTAACTTGTGAAGATTATGCAAAAAAACAAAAAAAAAGTTAAAGAAATTCAAATCTATTCAGTGTTTATTCAAATTACCTGACAGTGGTTAACATAATCTGCTTGATTAATATTGTACTAAACTTGTGTAATTGTTGATCAGGAGCCCCAGGACCCCCCGGAGAGCCGTTCATCACTCGTCACGGTTCAGCCTTGACGATTCAGTGGAGTAGCGGAGATCCAGGAAGAGCACCCATCACACGCTACGTCATAGAAGCTCGCCCGTCGGGTGAGTGCTGATCATTTATGCTGCGATCATTGTCAGGTTTGTACAATGAATGACTTTAAAACAGAGCCAGAGTCAGGAAGGAGATTTAAGCAGATTTAATAAGGCCCAGGCAAAGGCATAAAATCAATCCACATAACAAAAGAGACAATCTGAATGAAGAAGGGAACACGCAGACTAAAAAGTAGAGCTGATGGAACACAGGTGGGCAGTAGGGAATTAAATCTCCAACAGAAACAAAGTAAGTGATTTCAAAATAAAACAATTAACAAAATAAAAGGGGAGCAAACAGGACATGAGATATGACAGTCATATTTACGCCCTATTCGCACGGGATTAGTTTTACCTGTGGACCTCTGGTGATTTGTAATAATTGCGGAGATTGTCTGTAATTTGTAAAGTTCCGCCTCAAATGACGTACTATATTTTGCCAAACACAGACGTCCAGTGATAATACTAGTCCTGTGCAAATCTCTGCATCTCTGTGTTTGTTGTTGTAAATATGCGTCTTTCCTATCTCTATCTTTTTTTTTTTTTGCATTCTTTTCTTTCAGTCTCTGCGTCAATGTCGGTAAAATAGATTTATTTACAGACTTTGCTGATCCCGTGCGAATACGCTGCAAGTAACAGAGCTGGGGCGGTAATTTGCAAATTACCAGACGTCCTCAGGTTGTATTTATGCTGTGCGAATAGACACATTGTACCAAAACTGGGACAACATCCAGAACTAAACCTGGACTTGACCAAGACTAAACCAGGACTAGAACAGAACCAAATTAAGCATGAATCAACGATGCCAACTAGTGTGGGTGTAAAGTCTCTTGATGATCAATACTGTTTAGTTCCAGGTGTTAAATGAGACAGAATTTCAAAATAAGATGATGAATGATGAATATGAGTGAGTAACAACTTTGACCAACATAATATATAGCTACATTTTAAAAGTCTCAGAATGCCAATATAAACCTTACCTACTTATTATCATACTATGTTACTATATCCTAGAGTTGGTGTATCGATATCGTCACGGTATGAACCTCACGTTACGATATTTATTGCGATATCGTGGGAAAGCTCATGATATGGTGGGGAGGCTCACGATTAGGAATGTAACAATATCCAAATCTCTTGGTACAATATTTTCACGATATACATCTCACGATATGATATTTATTGTGATATTTTGTGGAGCTAACATAACTGCTACTTTATCCTTTTAAAATGTTTTGACAAGACTTAATCCAAAGAACTAAGATTTAAAAGTGCTTAGAACTGTTATTTCTTCTTGTAGTCTGCACTGAAATGGAGCAAAGGATCATGGTCTATGTAGTTCCCTCTGCACCACAATTAAAAATTTAAGCAAAGAGACTTGTAATTCGATATATTGTGATGGTCCACGATATTATTTGAGAACTTTGATGATACGATATCACAATATTTTGGTTATTGTTACCAACTATTATTGTCCCTACCAACTTTTATTTATTTAAAGAGACAGGGACAGAGCACAATTTTGATATTAACCTTAACAGGAGAGATGCATTGTACCAGGTTGTAGCACCAGTACTAATTTCCACCTGTAGTCCCTGGGCAGGTTCATGGCTTGATTGTATTTAATTGACCTTAGTAGCTATCAACTGTTCTTTCTGGAGACCTGTGTAGCATGTTTTGTGTGCATAAAGTTTCTTAAGATGTGTTAAAAATCCCTCAGTCGTCCAGGTAGAATCCATGTCAAAAGGAGAAATGAAATTGGTCAACTGGACAAAAGTTTATTTGGTCCAGAACTGAAGAAGTAGCATCTTGGATGATCCGCGAAATGTTATCGACCAAATAAAACTTTTATCCAGTTGACAAATTTCATTTCTTCTTTTGCCATGAAGTTTCTTGTCGATTAATACTGTTTAGTTCCAGGTGTTAAATAAGACAAAATTTCAAAATAATATGATGAATGATGATTATGAGCGCATAACAATGATGAATTTGACTAAAATTTGATGGATATATAGCTGCAATTTAAAAGTCTCAAAATGCCAGTATAAACTTTACTTACTGTACTTACAATCATATTATTATTATACTCCACGCTTCAAAAATGCTGGAAATTCTGCATTGAAGACAACTTTTGGGCCTATTTTGTTCAGTATTGTACTTCCTACTGTTTATATACCCTAAACCATAGAAGCCAATTACGTAATTTGTAAATATACATATGAATTTGAAGAAAAGTGTGACTGACAGTACATATTTGAGAGACTTGCACGGAGTTAAATGAGAGAATGCAAGTTTTAAGTAATTTCCGTTTTAATTCCAGCGTGATTAGGGTGACTGACAGATTAAACGACTCATCTGTTTTTATTCTGAGTTGTTAAACTGACAAGGACTGACCCTCCACTTTGGTCCCATTAAAGGATAAAACCAACATGTCCGCCCCTGTCAGTTTGAGTCTCAAGTTCACTTTTAAACAATAACAACTCCGTCTGTATTATTTATAGTCTCGCTTTTTACTCGCAAATGACTTTTACGGCGCGCTTTTTTTTCTCTGATGTGTTTAAGGAAAGGGTGTCATCGGCTGCTGTTTTAGCGTCCCTGGAATGTTAATGGGGTATTGATTGTAGCGAGGCAATAGAGACAAATGCTATTGTGTTGGGTTTGTGATTGGCAGGACCGGGGCGGGTTTAAAAGGCTTAAGAATGACATTACGGTTCAGGAGGGAGATGGGAGTCAGTACTTACGCGTGGGGCTAATTGAAGGGGTCAAGCTCATGGATTAACATTGGAGGAGGTGACAGCCACAAAGTGAAATGGGAGTGTAAAATGTAAATACTAAATGTGACGTGAAGTCTAAACGCACTTGTATGGGGACTACAGTATACAGTATGTGTGAGTTATAATTGATTTGAAGTGGTGCCATAATTGTTGAAGTTGAAGGTGGTGGAGCGGTTTGTTGTTGTGTCTTTGGCCAAGGCACTTCACCCTGTGTGTGTGTGTGTGTGTGTTCCTGTGTGGCTGAGGCTGCTGTTATACTTGGAAATACATATTGCAACAAAACTGGGGCTTTTATCACAGTTCCAGGTGCCACAGGGGGGCGGCAGTCACAAAAATGTCATTGTGTCCTTAGGCAAGACACTTCACCAACATTGACTAATATGAAAGTGGTGTGCGCGTGAATGATGGTCGTGGTCAGGGTGATCAATGTTGATGCAGCCGCGCTTCCGTCGGTGGCTACAACAGTAACTTACCTTCACCGGGTATTAAAATTATCTGTAAAAAGCGTCTTTGTGACTTATGTCTGTGAAAAGCACTAAATAAATAAAAAATGTACTTATTTACTTACTTACATACAATGTAGCTGTTAGTTTTGTAGAATAGGCAGGCGCAAACTTGAGGCCCTCAGGCTGATTAGATTTAAAGTCCTTTTTTACTTGGATGGATAATAGAGGAGATTATGGTGGACCCCCTTAGTCTAAAACATTGTTTCACAAAGACGCAAGAGATTTTTGGGGGATCACCTTGTCACAATGTGCATGTAGCTCTGCAATATACATATACATACATCTCCGCACACCCCTCCCCGCTCCTCACTTTTTCGGCAGCACCACCTTGCCTAACCAATTTTCTGTGGGAAACACTGATTACTGTTTTTCATTCATTGTTTAAAACTTGAGTAATACTGTAATACTGTTCAGAGACACGATCACTCAGTCAACAATAAAATATCCTCATTAATTGTGATTTACAAATAATGTCTATCGACTTGGGTTGTGAAGATTTGTGACTTTTAAAATATGGGTCCCCAAAAGTTTGTGAAACACTGGTCTAAAATTCTCCCCCAACAACCTGGACTATACATGGGCACCACAAAATGATAATTTGTTGCTCACTGACTTATCATAAACATTTAAAAATAAGAATACTGGGCAAAAAGGGCTGCTTTAAGATTAAATAAAGGGTTAGAGTTAGGGTTAATTAATGTCCCACAAATAGTATAAAATTCACGTATTAAAGTCTAAATTATTTATGCCATCAATATTTCCCCAAAATTTATGGAAAACATTGTGGGAGCCAATGCATTTTGACCGTCATCAGGGTAAAAAGGACTACAGGAAAAACAGGAAAAGAAAAAGCGGGCGATCACTGCACCACGGACAGTGTTGGGAAGGTGACTTTTAAAATGTATTCCCCTACAGATTACAGATTACATACCCCAAAATGTAGTTTGTAACGTAATCCATTAAATAACTTGAAGTGAGTAAAGTAATCTGAATACTTTGAATTACTTGTATTGTTTTGCTTTTTAAAACTACATGAATGTACCAACCACATCCTGAAAATGTTTGTTTGTTCTCTTCAAATTGTCTGTTGAGCCCAAGTCTCCATGAACAGACAACTGTTTGCTGTAGAGAAGCAAAGACCAGGAAATCTTAACATGAGATATTTAGTTTTGTCTGCTAAAAGAAAATAAAAAGGCCAGTTTTTACTTAAGCATATAAAAAATATTATTGATAGAGAAATTATTTCTATATGAAATCACTTCTGCCTTAAATTATGTCCACCTACTGTTAGGTGTCATGTTGTGTAGACCTGGTTTAGTCCTGCTTTAGTCCTGGTTTAGTCCTGGTTTAGACCTGGTTTAGTCCTGGTTTAGTCCTGGTTTTAGACCTGGTTTATTCCTGGTTTAGACCTGGTTTAGTCCCGGTTTAGTCCTTTTTTAGTCCTTGTTTAGTCCTGGTTTTAGACCTGGTTTATTCGTGGTTTATTCCTGGTTTATTCCTGGTTTAGTCCTGGTTTAGTTCTGGTTATAGACCTGGATTAGTCCTGCTTTAGTCCTGCTTTAGTCCTGGTTTTAGACCTGGTTTAGTCCTGATTTAGTCCTGGTTTAGTCCTGGTTTAGTCCTAGTTTAGTCCTGGTTTAGTCCCGGTTTAACCCAAAATGAGTGAACAGGAAAATACCGCCGTGTAATCCATTTATTTTAACAAAGTAACTGTAATCCAATTACCACTCATTCAAACAGTAACTGTAACTGAATACAGTTACTCATAAATTGTACTCTGATTACGTAATCCCAGTACATGTAATCCATTACTCCCCAACACTGACCACGGATCAGACATAAGCGTTTTTAAAATATGCAATGCACCTACAGAGAGCTGAACAATAAACCCAGTGTTATAACAGACCAATGCTCATGATGCTTCAAATGGAGTAGGCCTGTCATAATTAAGGCCCTCAACTTAGGCCCTGTTCCTAAGTTTCTCCATCAAGAAAGTCTCTTAATGTGAAACAGAAGGAGTCTACAGCTTGTTATAATGGATTTTATTTTGTCAGGATTTGTGAACCCTTATTCTGTTCCTGCATTTGACAAAACCACAACAGCGAATCCCAACTTTGTGTCGTTTTTAAATCTGGGTTAGGAACAAGCCGTAACCCACGCGACGCATTTCATCATATGCAAATGGAAATAGCTCTCTTTTTAACAGTACAAGTTTTCCAAATCAAATGACTTCTGCTTTTCCAAGTTTCTAAAGTCGTCCGCGGCGACCATGACAGATGAACTCTTTATGTGGCTATACTCCATTAAAACAGTCAAACTTACATCGATGTTTACAAGCGCCCCTGTGTAATAAATGCACTCTGGCTGCGTCTCCAAAAAGCACAGCAGCAGAACAACTACCATTAGTTCTCTTGAAATATGACCCCACAAGTATTTATGATGTACATTTGGAGGCTGTAAATTTTACGCGAGCTGTGAAATTGATGAATTGGGTAATATTGCTAAGAATTATGAATTGCGAGTTGGCGACAGGGGACTAGGATTTTATTACACAAACAAACAGCTTGTTAAAAGAATATATTTCGAAAGTCCAAATGGTTATATGAAAAAATGCCTTGTTTCACTGCACATTTATTTTTGATTAAACTTGAAAATTATGCGTATAAATACCATAGATAGATACCATGATGATTTGTGATTCAGGCTTCGAAATAAGTAATTAGAAAGTTTCACAATTTACCAGCCAAGCTCAGTTGTAATAGCTGATAGAATGGCTTTGTTGTAGGTTTAAGGTTAAAGCTGCATTAACACTGGTTTGGTCTTGGTTTGATCCCAGTTTAGTCCTGGTTTAGTCCTGATTTAGTCCTGGTTTCATCCTGGTTTAGTCCTGGTTTAGTCCTGGTTTAGTCCTGGTTCCGTTCTGGTTTCGTCCTGGTTTCATCCTGGTTTAGTCCTGGTTTAGTCCTGGTTCAGTCCTGGTTTCCTGGTTTCGTCCTGGTTTCGTCCTGGTTTCGTCCTGGTTTCATCCTGGTTTAGTCCTGGTTTAGTCCCTATCTGCTGCTGATAAAATGTCACTATAAAGTGGCAGGACAGTGGCAGAGAAGCAGTTCTACACTTTTAGGCAAGAAAGCAAAGGACCCGTTTATTATTAATTCACTTTTGCACTTTTCAATGAACAAAATGTAGAATATTAATATATACATTTGTAATGATTTTACTGAATACCAGAAAAAGCATAATATACCGTATTTTTCAGACTATAAGGTGCACCGGATTATAAGGCTCAATATCAATAGTGCTGAATTTTCTCGTCTATTTTCATACATAAGGTGCACTGGATTATAAGACGCATTAAACAAAACAAACAGATGACACTTGAGACTGATCCTTAGCCCAGGTGTCCACGATCCATTGGCAGATCGTGGTGTAATTCGCCCGGCGTTGCCTCACTGTCTTGATGAATGTGGATTATGAATGTGAATGTGGGTGGGAGGATCTTTTTTTTTTTTAAAATATACATGGAGTAATAATGTGTTTAATGCAGCTTTGGGCACATTTGTTTACGTTTTACAGAAACAAAACTTAAAACCACAAGGCTCATTTGCATAAACAATAAGCTCTGAAAAAACAGATCGCTGCGGTCAGCTTCTGTCTGACTAACTCAGCGAGGCTCCTGACTACGGTAGCTGTAATGCTTGTAGCTGGCTTGTAACTTACCAGAGTCATACTAAAACATTTTGAAAACATTTTTGTGTGCCGTGTACTACATAAAATCAGTTTGAGGTCAGTAAGTAAAACCAGAATTAATATATAAGGCCCACCGGATTATAAGGCGCACTGTCAATTTTTGAGAAAATTCAAGGATTTTGAGTTTGCCTTATTGTCCGAAAAATGCGGTATATTCTTTAAAGCTGGACTAGTGTGGGTTTTCTTCCTGTTTAATCATGGTTGTTTAGCTCTGTTTTTCTGTCCTATGATTAGACCTTTGTTAGATCTGATTTGAGACACATCAAAACACCAAAATCTAACCTAATCTGCCTTTTTTTTTTTTTTTTCCCCTTTTTCCAGATGAGGGTCTTTGGGATATTCTGATTAAAGACATCCCACGAGAGGCCACTTCACACACGTTCAACATGGACCTCCTCAAACAAGGCGTCAGCTACGACTTCAGGGTCATTGGAGTGAACGACTACGGCTACGGCTCTCCCAGTCTGCCCTCCCCCTCCATATCCGGTAAGATTCAAGATTCAACATATCAAACAATACAAGAAAAGTGATACTCAAGAGCCCAGATTTGTTGTTGCTATTGTATCAGAAGTAAATTTTCAGACTTAAATGGTGTTTTTGTTGCATGATTTGATAGATTTTTTTTACAAAAACATTTAAATCTATCTAATCTAAGTCTCTGGACTAGATGCTGGGAGATGCTCAGCGAATGAGAGAAAGTCAACTAAGAACTCAATGCAAAGAAGTTGAGAATACTTGTACTCTCAAGTTACTCTAGTTGAGAAGTGTTGCGTATTATTACAGAACTACCGTTAGTACTTTCACTGCAATTTCCTCAAGTTAAAATCATCATAACCCTCCCCAGTATCCAAAACTGTATATTTTATAACTTGCTAATAAGATTTCTTTTGTTTTTGTTTGTTTTAAGCCCAAAAAGTGCCTCCATTTTACGAGGAGTGGTGGTTCCTGGTGGTCGTGGCACTGGTGGGACTCATCTTTATTCTGCTGCTGGTGTTCATCCTCATTATAAGAGGCCAGAGCAAGAAGTACGCCAAGAAGTCCGAGTCAGGTGAGCCAGTGCTGCGGAATACAAAATGAAGAGAGGGGGTTATTAGACCGGGCATCAGCCGCTCTCACGTCCACTCACGCTCATGACATTGAGTTTGGAAATGTATTTTTACGCCTAATTTAAAGTACTTGTGAATAAGGAAGCAGTGAGTGGGTTATAATTATCATAATATCAGCAAATGCAAGAAAAAAAAGTTTTGTGATTCACAATTATGGTAAGGTTTATTTTTTCTTTAGTGATTAACATAGCCTGAAATATTCATGCTGGTGACCAAAAATATATTCTGTATTTTAATAACTTTTCTGGTGGTTGGTTTTACTTGTCTCCATGGAGATGTTATAGTTTTATCAAGAACATTCCACTTTATGGCATTAAAAGGATCAGTATTATAGGAGACAAATAGCTGATGTCAACAAGGCCAAGTTATAAGTCAGATCTGTGGACAGGCCACTCTGAGGCAGAATGCATATTTAAAAACGCATGTACTGTATTTTTTGGACTATAGGTGCACTGGATTATAAGGCGCAATATCAGTAATGTTGAATTTTCTCGTCTATTTTCATACATAAATCGCACTGGATTATAAGGTGCATTAGGCGAAACAAACGGACGACACTTGAGACTTGAAACGTTTATATTTCCTACGAGGACGACACAAATATACATTGAGCAATAATGTGTTTAATGCAGCTTTGCGCACATTTGTTTACATTTTACAGAAACAAAACTTAAAACCACATGGCTCATTTGCATAAACTATAAGCGCTGAAAAAAAACAGCTCGCTTGTTGTGCGCTGATACAGTTCAGCTCCTGTCGGACTAAAGGACACGACTCGAATATATGTGTTATTTCTGTGTCGTACTAAAACATTTTGACAGATTTTTGAGCGCCGTGTATCACATAAAATCAGTTTAAGGTCAGTAATTCCAACCAGAGTTAATACATAAGGCACACTGTCGATTTTTGAGAAAAATACAGGGTTTTAAGTGCGCCTTATAGTCTGAAAAATACGGTATTTCAAAACACATGTAATTGGATAAATGCAAGATAGACCATTTTAATGCCATACACTGGAACATGCAAATCAAAACAATAATATCTGTATGGAGATAGACACGTGGAAGATCTCCCCACCAGAAAAGTTGGATAGTGCACCCACTATCACACTACACAGGATTTTTTTGTGAAGTTTTGTCCATAGACACTTTTAAACAAGAAGCAGGATTCAAACCACCAACCCTTTTGAAACAAGGCGACTGCTTTTCCCTCTGACATCCCAAAGAAAATCTGCTTTTACTTATCACATTTGAGAACACCAGCTTTGTCAACTGCAGATAAATTTGCCAAGACAATAAAATCAGACAATGAGTATTACGTCGCCCATTCACGCTTTTATATAGAAATAAATAAGATTACAAATCCATTCATGTCATTAAATTTACACAACTCCTTTTAACAATCCAACATTTTGACAGATTCATAACGTCGATAGTCGAGACAGGAAGCTCTCGTTGCCGGGGTAACTGTTATTGAACTAAATCCAGGCTCTGACAGTTCAGACTTGAATGAGCCTCATATAAACTGTACAGTCTTTGACAGCAGCAGGCATTTCCCCGAGCTCAGCATTTGTGTGGCTACCCAGAGAAGGGGGGGGTCCCTGGGGTCACTGCGCATTTTTCGGCCTGGACAGGGAAAAACAAGGAAGTCCTCTCATTCGCTCACAAAGCCCTCTCCCTCCACCTCCATCTCCCCTTTAGGAATCTGGACAGGGCCCTAAACTATCCCGCTGGTGTCCCCCCTTTTGTACAGTGTGTTTGTGTAACCCGCAATTGACCTGAATAAGCGCATACTGTTGAAAAAGTTTGGTTTGAAAAGTAGAGATACATTTTTGTTTTCAGAAGCATTCCTTTTTAAATTCCAACTTTTATTTTAAGTAAAACTCAGACAAATACTAACCAGGTCTACCTCAGGTCAAGACCAAAAACTAAACAAGATATAAACCAATACTGAACCATGATGAAATAGATGTAATATTGCATGTAATAATTTTCTTATAACCAAAAATTTCCAAGTTTCATCCCACCTCTGACTAGTTCACTTGTGTCCTTGAGCAAGACATTTCACGCAGTATGAATGAAATCACTGCTCTTTAGAGAAGCAGTGATTGTACAAAAGTATAATACCTTCACAAATTGGTTTAAGCTAAGATTTTAAAAATTGGTTTGAACTATCTGATTTATTAAACTTATGCGGTTCTATGTAACTTTTGAGGGTTTGCCATCTGCCTTTCTCGATAAAGACATGCTATTGCTTTGATTGGAATGTTCCAGAGTACGGCATAAAAAATTTATATACTGTAACATTTCCGTAATTTCAACAATTTTTTTATTGCTCATAAAATACTTAGTACTCTTAGGTGTGAGGTAGGGTGACCTCTCCACAGATCTGACATGTTAAAAGTTTTAGAACACCACACTTTTTCCATTTTTTTATTGTTTACTGTTGACCAAAACGTATTCTTACCTTTTGATTGATGTGTGTGTCCACCTTTGGCAGATATAACAGCTGAACACACTCGTGGCTCGTTCTTTTTACAACAGAAATCAAATATTGTTCATAAAGTTCTTCCCAAGTCTGTTGCAGAAGTTCCCATAAATGTGTGGCACTTGTAGGTTTCTTGACTTTCACTCTTCTGTCCAGTTCATCGATGGGGTTTAAGTCTGGAGACTGTGCTGGACACTCCAGGTTTTCCAAGCTTTACCATCTTATTCCTTTTTTCCTGAGGTAGTTTTGGCAGAGCTTGGACTTGTGTTTTGTACCTTTTATCTTATTTTTTTTAACCTCTGTCTGTTCAGTTCTTACCTTTGTACCATTTCAAGCTCTTCACTGGACTTGCACGACTTGAATTGCTATAAATATCTGGAAAAATTAGGGTGTTCTAAAACTTTTGACCGGTAGTGTAACTATGTTTAATACCATACTGTGGAATATTCTAGTCAAAGCAATGATATCTCCATGGAGACAAACAGAAAAGTTGTACCTTTAAGAACCAGGATTAAACTGTGACTATACTAAGACTACTGTAAATTAGGTTTTAAAGGTGCATTGTGTAACCTTTCTGGTGGAGGGTCCGGCAAATGTTTGTCTCTGTGGAGATGTTATTAGTTTGTCTGGAATGTTTCACAGTATAGCATTAAACATTTCTATTGTCAGGGAGACCAAACCAGACCAAGATACAGGTCAGATCTGTGGAGAAATGACCTGTTTTTACCTGTTTTTCTTGGTGTTTTTGAGCTATAAAACTTACCTGCAGTTTAATAAATGTAAAGTGGAGCTGTTTAGTGTCATACTGTGGAACATTCCAGGCAGAGCAATGACATATCCATGCTATGACGAACCCTCCGCCAAAAAAGTTAGATAATGCATCAAATTTGAGCATCTCTAACCAGGTCTCAACCATAATCTTTGCATCCATACATTACACACTTCCCCAGCGCTGATCCTGCTTTGCACAGTGTGTTTTTGTAAGCAGACTTTGACCCCTCCAGGCCCCCGTAGCTGCCACAGCAGAGGTCCCGGCCTGCAGCTCTCCTCCCAGACAGTTGTTTTAACCTGTGTGCAGCCCCAGCTCTGCCAAACATTAATCTACTTTACAACCCAGACTCAAGACCTGTCCTGCATTTTATAGGCCCAGACACTTGATCAATATTATGACTGATTCGTATCCAATATTCACACAAAGCGCCAGTTCATTTTTTATTGTCAATTCATAGTTGGCCAGTGGTATGAATGCATCCAGAGGGCAATATTTTATTAAAGAAGACTTGTAGGTGTATACGAGCTGTCAATTGGAGTTTAGAAGTTCATGAATTTGAGTCTAACTTCCTGCGATGAACCTTAACTTTTCTTATCATTTATTTTCAGTGTTGGGAGTAACGCATTATAAAAGTAACTAATTACTGTAATGCATTAGTTGGTGATGTAAGGCATTACCGGGGAAAAAATTATAATATTTTACTCGGTACAAATGACAATAACGAGCGTTACAATGCTTTTTTAAATCTGGATTGAAGTGGTGGATTTTTCTTCATACAAATTCTCTAAAATCACCGCGATATCAGCATCGGTGAAACGCCGGAGACGCGCCCGTGTAGACCGTGGGCTGACCGCGAGCGAAAGGACGTGACGCAGAACTTTGGGCTCCATGGGGCAAACCGCAGCTGACGCCCGATCGAGCCTTGCAGACATCCTGCTCCACGGGCGCCGGCACTCGGGGTTCTCTCAGGGGCAGTCCTAGATTCCAAGTTCTAGTCCAAGATTAGTCCTGGTTTGTTTCTGGTTTAGTCCTGGTTTAGACTTGGGTCAGTTCTGGTTCAGCTCTGGTTCAGCTCTGGTTCAGTCCTGGTTCAGTCCTGGTTTAGACCTAGTTTAGCCCTGGTTCAGTACTGGTTTAGTCCTGGTTCAGTCCTGGTTTAGACCTAGTTTAGTCCTGGTTTAGTCCTTGGTTCAGTCCTGGTTTAGACCTAGTTTAGCCCTGGCTCAGTTCTGGTTTAGTCCTGGTTCAGTTCTGGTTTAGTCCTGGTTTAGACCTGGTCTTTAGTCCTGGTTTAGTCCTCGGTTCAGTCCTGGTTTAGACCTAGTTTAGTCCTGGTTCATTTCTGGTTTAGTCCTGGTTCAGTTTTGGTTTAGTCCTGGTTCAGTCCTGGTTTAGACCTGGTTTAGTCCTGGTTTAGTCCTCAGTTTAGACCTAGTTTAGTCCTGGTTTAGACCTGGTTTAGTCCTCAGTTCAGTCCTGATTTAGACCTAGTTTAGTCCTGGTTCAGTTCTGGTTTAGTTCTAGTTTAGTCCTGGTTCAGTCCATATACGGTGCAAAAGTTCAGCATCTTCACAGTTATTTTGTTGAGAGTAACTTAAAGTGCTGCAATAGTTGTGTAATGTTTCACATTTTAAAAACACAGTAATATTCTAATGTAACAAATCACTTTGAAATGACAATAACAAGTCATAAATAACACATTACAATTTTAAAGTAACTTGCCCAACAGTGTTTATTTTAGTTCCCTATATCATTTATTATTTTGTGAATGATGGAGAAGAATACACATTTAAAGTGGCTTTTCTGGTGGTAAATGATATGAAAATGTTGTAGCTTTGCCTGGAAAATTCAACAATATGGCATTAAACTTTTCCATTTTTCATTCATTCACGTCAACTGAAGAGTTTGGTGGCTAAGAAATACATTGCTACTGTAAGCGGGGACTCCTCTGCATAGATCTGACCTGTAAGTTGGTTTCTGAGGTTGTACCTGCTTGTCTCCGTGGAGATCGATAAGTTTAATCCTTTAATACACACCGTACGGTATTTGCTGATGGTCAAACACTGAATTCATAAAGAAGTCAACGATAAAAAGATTTAATACTGAAGTGAATTAAAAGTGACATTATCCTCATCTGATCTTTTATCTCTTTAGAAAATGTCCTTGAATTGTCATCTTCAAAGCTTCCATCAAATTCACCCCCCATAGAAACTGAAAATTAATTGGTCTGCTAAATACTACTTTGAAGTCAAATTATGTGTTGTTGACTTAGTAATGATGGACTTAAACTGTTATTTTTATGTTATATTTAATACAAAAGTACAGTTCATAGAAGCAAGTCTGACAGTCAAAGAGTAAAAATGCATAGGTATAATTTACAAATTTACAACATGTTTTTTTACACATTACATTTTGCTTTAAAAGTGCATTGTGTAACTTTTCTGGTAGAAGATTCGTCAAATGCTTTTCTTCAGGGAGATATTTTTGCTTTGTCTGGAATATTTCACAGTATGGTGTTAAACCTTTTTATCTTCATGGAGACCAAACCAGACCAAGTTACAAGTCAGATCTGTGGAGAGGCGACCCCACGCACAGTCAGAATGTTTCTCTGGGCATTTTTTAGCTATAAAACCACCTGTAATTGAATAAATGTAGAGGTAGAGCTGTTTAAAGGGACAGTCGGGAATTTTGGACATAGGACCTCATTTCCTACTGGTGCTACGCTAGTGCATGTCAATGGCCATAGTCCTGCCACTAAAAACAGTCTTACCCACTCCACAAAACACCCGAAGCAAAACTATTATTACACCAGACTGTCAATGTAAATGTCTGTGTTGGTAGAATAATTTTAGAAGTAAAAACAACGTTGCATTTGAAGGATTTATGTCTGAGCAGCAGCAGCAGTGAGTTGTACTTCCTGATAGAAAGCTTGGCAGGGGCGGACTGATATAGGAGAAAATAGTCCCTCAACATGTAATGATTCATGTGATTTATTTCAAACATTATTCTATCGACACAGACATTCACATCGACAGTCTGGTGTAATAATAGATTTGCTTTAGGAGCTTTGTGGAGTGAGTAAGACTGTTTTTAGTCCTATGTCGAAAATTCTGAACAGTCCCTTTAATGTCATACTGTGGAACATTCCATATAGAGCAATGGCATATCCATGGAAAGAAGCAGGTGACGGACCTTTTAATAAAATCAAATATGATGACCACTGAAATATTACGTAAGCCTAGGATAGGGGTTTTCTGGGGTTTGGTTATAAATATTATTATTATTATTCTCATCTAGCCTCCTTCAGTGCCATAGCCTCTAACCCTGTCCACCTGTGTGCCTGCTGTGGTGACACAGTGTCTCTGTACGTGTGTCCAGGAAACAACTCCAACTGCAACGCCCTGACCCACGGGGACATGGTCAGCCTGGACGAAGGACGCTTCCCTGCCCTCGAACTTAACAACCGCCGCCTGTCCGTCAAAAACTCCTTCTGTCGCAAGAACGGAGTCTACACCAGGTCAGTGCACACACAGCACAACCACGAGATGAGATGGTGAGAAGTTCTGCCTGATTTCTTACACTGACCGGGGGTAAAACAAGAGTTACATACATAACTATGGTTCTATGAAGCTCAGAATAAAGCACAGAATGATTTCCACTGACATTTTAAAGGTTTAAAGGGTGCTATTTTCTGATCTATATAATGTTGTTTCCTCATCAAAAACATTAATGGAGTTTTGTTTCATTCACATGTTTCACGCACATTTTCCTGCATATTTAGGCTGAGTTCTTCTCTCAAACGGAAAACACTCTAATACAGGAAGTGCTTCACTGTGTATTTAAACTCCATGCATCTTCCCTAGAGTCATTTTGATGACTTCAGCCCTGGAATTTCCAACCTTTACTGAGCTTAAACTAAAAGGTAACTGCTTCATGGGAAATAAACATTATCTTGCTAAACTAAAATTACTTCAATTAAGAACATTTTACTTTATTTGATTAGATTCAACTCGACAAGTAAAATTATCCACCAATGGAATACGAGTGTTTTTCTTAATTCAAGCAGCACTCAATTTTGTTTCTTATTTTAAGTGCAAAAAGTTGTTGTTTTTCTTATTTGTATTAAGTGTAGCAAGATGTATTTTAATATTTTAAGCACAAAAAGTCTTGTTCTACTGGCAGATAATTTTACTTGCCAAGAAAGGTTTATAATGATTTGAGTCAATTTTACTTAATTCAAGTCATTTTAACTTGGCTAGATTTAGTTTTTTGCAGTGTAACTTAAAAACTACCTCTTAGTGACATCAAAAGTCAGGAGCAGAAAATGTTGAGCTTTTGAGATGTAGACCGACTAATAATAAAGCGTTACTCAGACATGTGTGAATGAAACAAAACACAACTCCAGATGTGATTTTGAGGAGCTTACAACATTATCACAAGAGCCAATTTTGTGTAATATAAATACCACAGTGGGCCCCAAAGTGCTAAAGACTTTTCACAAATGTATACTGGGCGAACAGAAGAACCAGGACTATAGCAAAATGTAACAAGATAACTTTGGATAAACAATATTTTAGTCACTGGTACGGAAATATATCATAGATGACTTTCCAGATGAGTTACCAAGGTGACTTCTTATGTTAAATACAGAAATGAGTCTGTCTTTTTGCTTTTGGAAATGAACAGATTCCACAGATTCGTCTCTCATCAAAGACCCCAGAATCCCATTACTACAAAAACCCACTCAAAACAACAACTCACAAACAGAGTGCGAGCGGAGTTTGAAATTTAAATTAAAAAGCAATACGACGCTGTAATTGTGTTTTGCAGGGAAACTTTTCTTCATGCCTCAAAGCTTTAACAGCTCCAGCAACATTGTCATCCCAGGAATGTTTTTACCACTATTTAAAAGTGGAATAAGTCGACTTAGCTGCGAATCTTTTTAATGAGCTTCTGTACTGGGTGGATGTGTAGCTGGGAGACATGCGAGAAGTGAGTTAAACCAAATCATTTTGACTGACACCTGAGAAGAGCTGTTTGACTCATGAGAATGCAGTCCAGGTTTGCACCCATAACTTGGCCTTAAATGAAGTGTACCTTTGTAGAGGATTTAGAGTGAGTCTGAAGGACTGACGGATGTGTGGGCTAAGATGTACGGATCACAGAAAAGTATAGCAGGTGAACTTTGAGGAGTTCTTAAAGGTACACTATGGAACTTTTTGGTTTGGGTTTCTGAAATTAAACATCTCTACTTTACATTTATTCAATTACAGATGGTTTTATGGCTCAAAAATACCTAGAAAAAGAGGCGTTCTGGCTGTGAGCAGGGTCGCCCCTCCACAGATCTGACCTGACCAAAATCCTAACATATACATCACCAAATAAGAAAACTAAAGTCTATAATTATATACTTTTGAGTTTTCTTACTTGGTGAGAAAAAATGTATTTTACTCATTAAAAAGTGTCATGACTTAAATATAGCAGTACCAGTAGTAGTAGTTGTAGTAGTAGTAGTAGTAGTAGTAGTAGTACAAATAGTAGTATTAGTTGAAGTAGTAGTAGTTGTTGTAGTAGTAGTAGTAGTTGTTGTAGTTGTTGTAGTAGTCGTTGTAGTTGTAGTAGTTGCAGTAGTAGTTGTAGTAGTAGTAGTAGTAGTAGTAGTAGTAGTAGTAGTAGTAGTAGTAGTAGTAGTAGTAGTTGTAGTAGTAGTAGTAGTTGTAGTAGTAGTTGTAGTACTTGTAGTTGTAGTAGTAGTTGTAGTAGTAGTAGTAGTAGTAGTAGCAGTAGTAGTAGTAGTAGTAGTAGTAGTAGTAGTAGTAGTAGTAGTAGTTGTAGCAGTTGTAGTAGTTGTAGCAGTTGTAGTTGTAGTAGTAGTAGTTATAGTACAATTAGTTGTTGTTGTTGTAGTAGTAGTAGTTGTAGTAGTTGTGGTAGTAGTAGTAGTAGTAGTAGTAGTAGTAGTAGTAGTAGTAGTAGTAGTAGTAGTAGTTGTAGTAGTAGTTGTAGTAGTAGTAGTAGTAGTAGTTAGTAGTAGCAGTAGTTGTAGTAGTTGTAGTAGTAGTTGTTGTAGTAGTAGTAGTAGCAGCAGCAGTAGTAGTAGTAGTAGAAGTTATAGTAGCAGTAGTAGTAGTAGTAGTAGTAGTAGTAGTAGTAGTAGTAGTAGTAGTAGTAGTTGTAGCAGCAGCAGTAGTAGTAGTAGTAGAAGTTATAGTAGCAGTAGTAGCAGCAGCACTTACTTTCATGTAATGTTTCTATTGATTATTCAGTGAATTTACTTCTAGTTGAATAAGATTCTTTTTAAGTGATCTTAAAATACATGCATATTTTAACATCATCCTTTGACCAGTTCCACCTCAGGTAATAAATACATTTGGAGCCAATACATAATTTTAATCTCATATGAACATGCCCTTGAGCTGATCAAAGTACTCCCTGGTCTTTGAGATTCTTCCAGACAGTTTCCAATTATGCATCAACTTTGAAGAAATGACATGCGATAGAGGCGAGGGAGCGAAAGAATGCACAGATGTACCTTTTCAAATCTTACCTCTTTGAACTCTCCGCGCCGTACAGACAGTAGAGACACAGAAATCCCACACCTGAGCCCGCGATTAGCCAATAATACTGCACCCCGGTCTCCAGACTCCCCATACAAAAGGCAGGATCAACTCCGGAGCCTTAGACCGGATCAGGAATCAAACGGCTCCACCATCCCACTGTACGGAGCGCTAATCCCAACCTGTGTCGGAATTTGGAAAGAGATTAGCACCATATCGGGGTCAGATAGTGTGCAAGAAAGCAAGGGCAGATGCAGGGGTGTATTTGAGGAAACTTCATTTTTGGAGTAAATAAAGTTCGTCACAGATCTGTAAGGAGGTCAGGTAATTAGTGAACATGTACATTCTCTTTATACAAAAGCATGACGACTTAAAAATAATATGAATAATAATATAAGACTGATTCTGTGAGTAATAATGCACTAGTGGTGACAGTATATAGATGTTATTGCTTTGTCTAGAATGTTTCACAGTATGGTTTTAAGCCTTTCTATCATCATGGAGACCAAACCAGACCAAATTACAGGTCAGATCTGTGGAGAAGCAATCCTGCTCACAGTCAGAATGGTTGTTTTTCTGGGTATTTTTGGGCTATTAAAAAAAAAAAAAACGAATTTAATATACAGTATGTTAAAGTAGATTTGTTTAATACCATAATGACAGTTGAAGCAGAGCAATGACATTTCCATAGAAACAAGAAGGTGATGGACCCTCAACCAAAAAGTTACATAGAGCAGTGGTTCCCAACTTTTTTTGCACCATGGATCAGTTTTATGGCTGACAATATTTTTGGACTGGGGAGGACAGTAGGTGGTGCAACATGTGGGAGGAGGCGCGGTCTGTGTTGCATGGTTTAGTCCTGGTTAAATCCTGTTTTATTACTAGTTTTACACCTGGTTTAGTCCTGTTTAAACCTGATTTAGTTCTGGTTTAGTCCTGGTTTTGTCCTGTTTAGACCTGGTTTTAGTTCTGATTTAGAGACGTGGCCATGCAGCATATTCGAGAAGACACGGTTCACGCGGCGCACAAGAGGGGTGTTTGCGCTTTCGTGGCCCAGTACCAAACGACCCACGGCCCAGTACTGGTCCACAGCCCGGGGGGTTGGGGACTCCTGACATAGAGCACTTTTAATAACATATTATGGCTATTCATATATATCTTGACTATAGACTTACTAACTGTTAGTTGGTGTTACTAGCTCTAAAATAATGTACTATGTCACTTTTATGTTGGAGAGTCCACCACCTGCTTTTCTCCAGAGACTGACATGTTCCACAGTATGGTATCGCCATGGAGACAAGCAGGTGATGTTTTGGAAAGTATTTTTTCAGTATTTTTCACACAAGACAAACTTAACCCCTTAACGCCGAGTGTCACAAATATGCAACAAACCGTTTGGATCAAAACATAAACCAAGACAGCGGCTGCATTCCCTCATTGCAGGTTTGTGCATATACAGGACCTTCCTAGAACCTTTGGCAAGCACTTGTTTCTATTTGTCCCAAATTTCTATTTATTTATTTATTTATTTTTTGCTCTAGTCAAATTAATAATCTCAGTTTAATTTACCATCTACTTAAAGGCAAAAACACACACGCAAAACATTTTTTTATATACATCTATATAAATTCAGACGTTAAGGGGTTAATGCTATATTCTGGAACATTCTAAACAAAGCAAATGTCTCCATGAAACAAGCAAGTGGCAGATCACCCATCATAAAAGTTGCACAGTGAATCTATTCATGTGAATCCTCAAAAGACCAAAGTAAAACAAACATTATTTATATTACTGCAGTATTATCAGAATGTCTGTATAGATGTTAATCAGCATTCACATCATAAACACTTCATCTTGTATAAGTGTGTTTTGACTCTTATCGATACACTTCATCTGATTTACAATCACTTTATAAACAGGACTCTTGAACCTCCCCGCTGATCTCCATATACCGCCCCGC